CCAAGTTTGAAGACCCCTGAACTATCTGGTAGTATTAATTCAGCAAAGCAACAAAGGAACATAGCAGCCTGAAGGGGACTACAAAGACCTTCTATAGCACAGGTCAAGCAAAGAGTGCCCTCTGGTGGTTATTTTGGGCATAGCAGCCTGAAGGGGACTACATAGACCATATATAACACAAGGCATGAAAAGAATGCCCTCCTGTGATTATTTTCGGCAGAGCAGCGTGATGGGAACTACAAAGACCATATGTAGCACAGGACATGAAAAGAGCGCCCTCTTCTGGTTATTTTGGGCATAGCGGCAAGAAAGGGACTACAAAGACCATATATAACACAGGGCATGAAAAGAGAGCCCTCAAGTGGTTATTTTGGGCATAGCGGCCAGAAAGGAGCTAAGACTGGTTCTCAACCTGTGGGTCGGGGCCCCATTTGGGGTCGAAGGACCATTTCACGGGGATCGCCAAACAATGCAGTCTGCCATTTTTTTCCCCCTTTTCCTTAGCTGTGCTACTCCCTTTTATTCTATTGGCTTTTGAAAGTCAATAGAATAGACTCTCTTGAATAGAGTCTAATTCCATTGGCTTTCAAAAGCCAATAGGAATTGTCCAGGCTGTCTCTGCCCTGCTGAACCCGCCAAAAGTCCCATTCTGCAAACAGTGCTGCACCAGTTGAGTAGTCCTCGACTTACGACCGGTTGAGTAATTCTTGACTTATGACCGGTTGGGTCGCAGCATTAAAAAGGTTGAGAACCACTGTTCTAAGACCATCTATATAGCACAGGGCAAGCAAAGAGTGCCCTCCTGTGGTTATTTTGGGCATGGTGGCCAGAAAGGGCATTCTAAGACTTCTTTTGGGCATAGTAGCTAGAAAGGGACTACAAAGACAATCTATAGCACAGGGCATGAAAAGGGTGCCCTCCTGTGGTTATTTTGGGCATATCAGCCTGACAGGGACTACAAAGACCATCTATAGCACAAGCATGAAAGGGGTGCCCTCTTCTGGTTATTTTGGCCATAGCAGCCAGAAAGGGACTACAAAGACCATCTATAGCACAGAGCAAGAAAAGGGTGCCCTCCGGTGGTATTTTGGGCATAGCACCCTGACAGGGACTACAAAGACCATCTAGAGCACAGGGCATGAAAAGGGTGCCCTTCTCTGGTTATTTTGGGCATGTAAGCTGAAAGGGACTACAAAGACCATATATAACACAGGGCATGCAAAGAGTGCCCTCGTGTGATTATTTTCGGTATAGCGGCCTGACAGTGACTACAAATACCATCTATAGCACTGGGCATGAAAAGGGTGCCCTTCTGTGGTTATTTTGGGCATGGAAGCCTGAAAGGAACTACAAAGACCATATATTACACAGGGCATGCAAAGAATGCCCTCCTGTGGTTATTTTGGGAATGGCAGCCTGACAGGGACTACAAAGACCATCTATAGCACAGGGCATGAAAAGGGTGCCCTCTTCTGGATATTTTGGGCATAGCGGCAAGAAAGGGACTACAAAGACCATATATAACACAGGGCAGGCAAAGAGTGTGCTCCTGTGGTTATTTTGGAATAGCAGCCACACAAGGAAATAAACCTTACCCCAAAGAGGGCAAAAAAGTCAGGCTTTCCTAACATATCACAAACTATGTTTGTCATTTTGGGGACAAAGTCATCCTTATGTCTACTTAACTCTTTTCTAACCGCAAAATGGATCAACAGTCAAGCCGTAGTCTCTTCTTACCCAAAAGAGGGCAAAAAAGTCAGGCTTTCCCAAGATATGAAAGACTATTTTTGTTATTTTAGGGGCAAAGTCATCAGAATGCAGCATTAGGTAGGAATAGCAGCTACAGAAGGAAATAAACCTTACCTGCTGACTTCCTGTCACACATGCGCAGTAGTCCTCCACTGTCCTACACACTGACCTCCTCTGGGATGGCCAACTTCCTGTCCGTTTCTGTGGCCATCCTTCCACTTCTATGCAGAACGACCAGCATGGCCGACTTCCTATCCCTAAGGAGGTGGCTGGATGCCGGTAGTTGCTACAGTACGAGAGACTGGGAAGCTGGGTCTCTTTGTGCCCTTTCCATTTCAGAGGGAGAAAAACAAGAGGCCAAATTGGGAACACAGAGATAAAGTTCATATGTTTGCAACATAATTTTCAGGGATTCTTTCTCAGGCTTAGTTGCTGCATCTGCATTTCTAAAATGGCCCTCGGGCCCTGTTTTACAACTGGAGAGGACAAGTTCAGGGGACAGAATGATCAGGATTTTGAGGTTATTCTTCTGCATCTTTATTATTACAAGCTTTGATATTAATAATAATAGAGCAGGGCTTTTCAACTGGTGGTATGTGTACCACTTGTGGTACTTTGCCACATGGCCAGTGGAACGGGATTGCAAGCCAAGTGAAGCAGGGGAGGGGAATGAGCCAAAGTGAGCCAAGCCTGAGGGAGAGGCAACTGCAGCCACAGGACTGTCTGGGCTGGCAGGGCAGGGCTCCAGCTGATTGGCGCTTCCGGAAGGAGCTTACAGCTGGAGGTGAGCTGAAGAAAAAGGCAAAGGGGGGGGGGGAGAGGAGAGGCTATAAAAGAATGTGGTTTGGGTGGGGGAAGGGGGAAAAAAGACACCAGGAAAGGTTTAATCCTTTAAACAAATGTAATTAATTTTACCCCTTTTAATTGAGTCTGTGGCTTTTAGAAAGTTTTCTTTGAAGGTAAACAGGCTTAATTTAAAGCTAAAGCTTTTTGCAATTGCCGGAGCTTTTCAGTCCTGGATTGCAACATTGTGACACGTGATTCACCTGAGAGAGCTTAAAGAGAAAAAAAACGGAGTTTGTGTTTCTTTATTTTCTTGCTTTGCACTTGATTTCTTTAAGGGTACAGGGAAGGGATTGGAAGAGCTCAGAAGAGTCAACCAGCTAGCTCAAGAGTCTACAAACTTAGCAATTTTAAGACCTGTGGACTTCAACTCCCAGAATTCCTCAACAAGCAATGAGGGCTGAGGAATTCTGGGAGTTGAAGTCCACAAGTCTTAAAAGTGCCAAGTTTGAAGACCCCTGAACTAGCTGGTAGTGGTGCATATTAATAAACATGGATAAATTCATCATACATTTCTCAGTGCAAAGGGAAAGTGATTCAGCAAAGGAACAGCCACAGAAGAAATTTTTAAAACTGGTACTTTTTTTTCTTTTTTTTTTCTACAATTTGTAATATTTTATTAGATCAGGGCTTTTCAGCCAGCGGTACAGGTACCACCTGTGGTACATTGGCACCTGGCAGGTGGTACACGACCATCCTAGAAAAGTGGTAGCGGGGGAAGGGAATGAGCTGAACCGGTGGCAGCATTACACAAGCCTGAGCGAGAGACGGCTGGAGCTGCAGGGCTTCAGGGCTCAGCGGAAGCGCCAGGATTAGTACTGCTTTCCAGCTGATGGGCGCTTCTTCGGGATTGTCAGGGCTCAGTGGAAGCGCCAGGATCAGTGCCAGGCTCCAGCTGGAGCTCGGCGCTGATCCTGGCACTTCTGCTGAGCCCAGAAGAAGCGCCAATCAGCTGGAATGTTGCAGCATCTCCAGGGTCTTGTGATTTACATTCAAATGCTTGGCAACTGATTCATATTTATGATGGTCACAGTGTCCCAGTGTCATGTGAAGTGACCAAAACCTGCTGCAACCACCCAGCAGATGGGGGGAATAAAACCCCCACCCCACCCCCGCTGCCAATCCTTAACAGAAATGCTCACAACAATGAAAACCTCAGACAGGAGGAAGAGCGCAGCTGGGCGGGCAGGCAGGTGTCTTGCTCAGCTGTGGCTTGGGGGGCACTTTTTTCAGTGCCATTGTAACTTCGAACAGTCACTAAGCAAACTGTTGTAAGTGGAGGACTACCTGTTACTTTATCACTTTTTTCCTTTTTTTTTTTTTGGTCATCAAGTTTTTGACACCTTGCTAGGCAACTGGTGGTACTCAGATGTTGCCATATCCTAAAAGCGGTACAAAGGTTGAAAAGCCCTGTATTAGATTATAGAATAAAATACAAAAATACAAAAGCAAATAGTAGGACACAGTGGGGAGGAAAAAGGGGGGGAAAGTGAGGGGGAGAAGGGAAAAACAGACTTCCTCTGTTGCAGTAGAAGGAAGCATTAACATCGAACCTCATCTTTTTACTTTTCCATAATATTATAAACTAGCCATTTCTATAACAACAAATGAATCTAATCAATAAAACCCAAAATCCCCCCCCCTTTTTTTTTAGTCATAATGTTTTTGACAGCTTTCTAAGCACTGCTGGTACTCAAATATCGTCACGTCCTAAAAGTGGTACAATCTGTGAAAAGGGTGAAAGGCCCTGGTCTACAACACTGCATCTCCCGGGGCACCCCACACACCCTCCACGGGTGTCGTGTCCTAGCCGAAGAAGTTAAAATCGATCTGGCCTGGTCCACCACGGCCCCACCGTAGGTGGTGGAGAGAAGAGAGAAATTCTGAAACAAGGGGGACAGGATCAAAGGCCACATGGCTGCTCCACCAGGTGCTTCAAAGGTGGGGAAAGGGTGCCAAGCAGTCGACGCAAAAGACCCACAAAGAAGACAGGGAAAGAGACGGGCCCGTTGGGTTCCCCCCAACGCCTGGCCATGGCAGGGCAACTCCCACCACCCAGCCGAGAGAGCGACAGCGAGGACGGCCCACCGGTCAGCCACCCGGGATACCTGTAGCCATCCCAGGAGGCGAAGGGAGACCCCATTGCCCCCCTGGACTTGGGCTGTACAGGCTGTTTGCTCAGTCCTGGCCACTGACATCCCCTCTGGAGGAAGGAGCTCAAGGACAGCATTTTGCCCACCTTGTTCTGAACGACTAGGGGGGGCAGGAAGAGGAGGGGGGACATGAGAGCAGTCCTGCGGCGTTTGAGGGGCTCCCCGGAGAAGGGGAGGGCTCCACCTCCCCTCCAAAGCGCTAGAGGGCAGGGCCGAAAGCCCCTCCAGCCACGCGGGCCAGGCGGGTCTCCTCAGGGCTTCCCGGGCTCCGGCCGGGTCAAAGGGCGCAGAGCCAGCAGAGGGCGCGAGATGCGCGCCGCGTTTCCTCCGCGGGGACGGGCCAAGTTTGAAAGAGTTCCCCGCCGGAGCTGGGCGTGCTGCGGCGATGGCGGCCGGGCGAAGGCAGCAGGTGAGCGCGCGGGAGGCGCCGCGCAGAGCAGGTGCGCCTTTGCAAAGCGGCCCCCCGGCTCGCGCCGCCTGAGCGGCCGGGACTGCTGCCTCCCCGTCGTGGGGAGACTGGCGGGGGGGGGGCGGGAGTTTCATTCCGACGTTCAACGCGCGTGTTGGGTGGCTGGCTGGGGGAGAATTCGTGACTCCGGACTGGCTTGTTTGGGAGGGCCCCGGCTTTGCAGGGGAGGGAGTCTTTAATCTGCCTTGAATGTGTGAATGTGGCCCCTTCTGCGCTCCTTCTCTCTTCAAAGAGAGCTTCCCCCCCCCCGCCCGGCTCAAGCAATGGGATGTAGATGAACGGGGTGTCCAAACTTTGGACCAGGAACCCCTTTTCTGCTGCTGGTTTCCCTGTCGCTTTTGGCCCTGGTGGGGCTGGCTCTCTCTTGTGTGGAGCGGAAACGAGTTGTGTTAGGCTAGGCAGGGAATTGTGGTTTAGGTGGGCAGGGGAGACAAACATCCTCAGGTGTGGAGAAGGCAACAATGGTGCCGGTGATTTAATGTTTCTCAATCTCTGCAGCTTTAAGGTGGGGAGACTTCAACCCCCAGAATTCCCCAGGGAGACTTCAACCCCCAGAATTCCCCAGCCAGCATAGCCCCCCCCATCTTAAAGTTGCAGAGACTGAGAAACAGTGTGCAAGTAAGCAGTCCTTGACTTACAATCACAACGGAATCCAAAATTCCCGTTGCTAAGTAAGACGATTGAGGGAATTTTGCCCCATTTTACAACCTTTCTTGCCACAGTTGTTAAGTGAATCACTGCAATTGTTAACTGAATCACACGGTCGTTAAATGAATCCAGCTTCTCCCACTGACTTTGCTTGTTGGAAAGCCTCTCCCCCCCCCAATCACCCTCCCACCTCCTTCGCCCTTGGTAAATCTGAAGCCAAGCTGCGTTTCCTCCGAAATCCAGTCTGCTTCCTCCATGGGCGAGACTTTCCTGCACCCGCCACTCTTTATCCAACTTCCAGGAGTTGTTTGTTTAGAGACGGGAAACCTTCCCAGATTTCCGGCCGGGGTGTTTCTGCTGTGGACATCACATTTCCACACACTTTGCACCCACCCCTTCACTAAATGAATGGTTGTAAATTGAGGACTATCTACAGTCACACTCGGCTTTAGTGACTTTAGCAGATGCATTCACTTGTTGTTTTTTTGACAAAGATTTCTTAAGACCAAAGTGCTTTTTGCTTATTTCTTTCAGGACTCTTTGACTTTTGACTGTTATGCTGAGATTTCTCGTTCAAGATCTAAAAGGGAGTTATAATACTCCATTTACCCTTTGGGGAAAGGGCAAAGTTGCCTTCGCCATTTTACAGCCCTTCCTCTAGATTTGTGTTTTTGCATTTTAAGATTTGTGTTTGTGTTTTGATTTGTGTGTCTGCCTTATACATTTTGTGTTTGTGTTTCAAGTCCTACTCTTGCCTCTTAAATTTTATATATGTTTCATGTTTCTATCTTTTAAGTTTTGGCTTTGTTTTGATTTCTCTTCCTGCATTTTATTTCTCTCTTTATTAGTCATACTTAAATCATCACCCACCTCATGCAAAGTCGCTCTAGTCTAGGCGGCGTACCACAATTCAATAAAGTTTCAAGTTGTTTATTTGTGTTTTGATTTCTTTTTCTGCAACTGGCTGAAGGTCCCAGATCCAGCAGGGAGCCAACAGAAACTGGAATCTGAAAAGGAATCGGTCTGCCGGGCCATTCAGAAAGAGCTGAAAATCAAGGAAGGGGCTGAGAATTTGCGGAGGGCGACCAAGGACAAGAAGAATTTGGCCCACGTGGAGACAGCGCTGAAGTCCTCCAGCCTGAAGTTGGAGCAGTTGCATTGCCAGCTCCAAACACTCCAAGCACGGATTGTTACAGGGGAGAGAAACAGTGGCCAAGCAGGTGGGATGTGGAAGTGTTTGTGGCTGGGGAATTCTGGGAGTTGAAGTCCATGCCCCTTAAAGAATGCCAGCTGGGGGGGGGGTTCTGGGAGTTGTCGTTTACCCGTCTTAAAGTCTGGCAGCTGGGGAATCCTAGAGTTGAAATCCGTGCCTCTGAAAGCAGTGCTGGTTGGGGAATTCCGGAAGTTTAGAATCTCTGTGTGGTCTCCCAGCCGGTGGCTGCGGTTTAGTCGCCTCTTATTGATTGGCCTTTGTGTCCTCCCCAGATGGAAAAGGGCCACCCGATCTCAAGCTTTGGGGAAAAGATCCAAACCACGTTTCAAAAAGGCTGGAAGCGTTGAAGAAGCAGCTTCACATAGAGCTGAAAGTGAAGCAGGGAGCTGAGAACATGATCCAGGTCTATTCCAGCACAGCCAAGGTGAGCTGGGTACCATTTGCCCTTGAGCAGGGGGTTGGACTAGAAGACCTCCAAGGCCCCTTCCAACTCTCTTATTCTGTAAAGTTCCAGTGACTGAGTCTAGTGCCAATTTAGTGCTGGCGGTTATTCGACTAGATTCGTGGGTAGCGGCCTGAGCAATACATCAGCTGAACTGGAGCTTCAGGTATGATCCTGATTTTGCACACCTGACGATGCTCTTGATGTTCCTCACCTCGGAATCTCTTTTCCCTCTCCAGGAGCGGAAACTCCTGGCAGCTGCTCAGCAAACTTTTCAGGACAGCAAGACAACAATCGAGCTGATCCGGATGGAGATGCTGAAGCTCTCCCAGGCGACGGGCGCACCAGGTAACCCCCTCAGCCCGACAGATTTGTCCCTTTGCCCAAACTCTTATGAAAGTTTTCATTTAGTTTCTTTTTGCAGTCCTTTACAATCATCTCCTTTTGTAAGGTAGATTCATTTCATCTCTCTCTGTAGCTGAAACTCTTCCAACCATTGGCAGTGTTGGTTGATTTTTATTTCTCCAGAGAAGGTATAAATTGATATTAAAAGAACTCTAGCCTACCTGTTCAATTGCATGTGGCTAAGTTACAAAATGCAGGCTGTTCACAGATGTTTCTCCTTCACCTGCTACAAAGATAAGGCAGAGATTGGAGCACAGCTGTCTTCCGGGACTTGTTCTTGCTTCCTGGTCTAATCTAAATCCCTGGAATTTCTTGGTGGCCTCCTACCCATTCCTAACTAGACCAAAAGCTCCTTCAGTTTTGAACCCAGAGCAAGGTGGACAACAGTGGCAGGCAGTCTTTGATTTATGGCTGTAATGGAGCCTGCCCATCATGATTGTAAATCGTAACAGTCGTACAGTGGAACAATGATTACCCCCCCTTCTGTCTCTGCAGGGGTGGGAGGCAGGGCCCCCCTCTTACTTCTGGAGCTGCGTCTTGAAGAACTGAGGCATCGCCTGCGCATTGAAGCGGCGGTGGCCGAGGGAGCCAAAAACGTGGTGAAGATCCTCAGCGGACGGCGGGTGCAAGACCGGAAGATGGTGGCAGAGGTAAGAGCAACTTTGCGTTTGTAGCAAACAGATTCTGCAACCAGAGTCGGTGACTCTGCATGTTTCTACTCCCTGTAGAGGGTGGAGCCTGCAATTCAAGGGGTCTTCCTGGGCCTGGTATGTTGGATTATAATTCCCAGGACCCCCCCCCCCAGCAAAGACGAGCACTAAAATTGCAGCACTGTAGAGTAACCTCTGGAAACTGCTGGATTAAAGAAAAATCCACTGGGTCTCATACTTGTATTATCCGCATTGAATTTTGCACGTTAAAATTGCTCATAACTTGCAAGGACACCTCTGTGTAATTTTCTCTTACCACACCCCGTGCCAGCCTGTGACGTCCATCTGTTCAGTTTTCCAGTCTAGCCAATTTCCTTGGAATTTCTGGTTGGCCCTCCCATCAAATTACGTCTGACTCCAGGTGGCTTGCCAAAATGATATTTTTTAAAAAATAAAAAATAAAAAAACACTTTTTAAAAAAAAATACTGTATTTAGGGCTGGAGAAAGTTCCAAGGCAGCTAGGTGGAAGAAAGGTTTTGAAATATTTTATTTATTTTCCTGTCTATTTATGCAATAAATATTTCCAGTCCTTTTATAGTTCAAACTTCCTTTTTCCCTCTTCTCTGCTCTTCTCTCTCCTTCGCGATATGCTCCAGGCACAGGCCTGTCTGCAGGAATCGTCCCAAAAGATTGATCTGTTCCGACTGGCTCTTGAACATCTTCTGAGCCAACTTTCTCCAGATCACCCGAAACGGGGGCTGATCAAGCAAGAGCTGACAGACACCTTCTCCCTCGGGGTCCAACAGTTGTCCCCGACTCTGATCAAGCCCTCGGCTCTCACAGGTGCCTTTGTTCTGTTAACTTTATTTCAATATTTGTGTGTGTCTTTCCATTTGGCATATTCAAACCTCGATATACACGGCAGGATGTAATTAGACTGGAAGGGAGGAAACTCCTTTGAATGAGAGGAAGCACTGATCCGGAGTTTTGTACATGGAAAAAACCCAGCCAGAATGAAATCTTAACTTTCATTTGATTAACAAAACTCTGGATATTTTACAAAGAAATGAAGACGTTCGCTTTCTAATAACATCCCGACTTTCCAGCAGCTATAAAGGTACAAATGCAAACGTACGAATTTGCCAATGCTAATTAAAGCCACTGTATCAAATCCATTAAATATGATTTTCTGTTTCAGCCTATCTGCATGCAAATCAAGAGAAAATAAAAATTATGCAGTCATAGATTACTGGAAGCAAAGAATACCACACAGATTTTATTGTTATTTAATTTCTTTTCTTTTCCTTTTTCATCCATTTATCTCCTTTCTTTTTTCTTTTCCTTTGTTATTTCTTTCCTTCCCTTCAAATTCTCCTTTCCCTTCCTCCTTTTTTCTCCTTTTCTTCCTTTCCTTTCCTTTTCTTTTATCAATTTCCTACGCCGCTCCTCACCTACAGTGGCTCTGGCCAGCCTTATTGCATGACAGTTTCTACATTTTAGACTTAACAGCCATTGTTTTACAAAACAAGGAATGTTCTTTTGTGATAAGGAAAATGTTGTGTTGTTTTTAAACAGATTAACTGTGTTTAGTAAAATAACAAAGTTATCTCACTTATCCTCACTTATCCTTGTGTGTTTATGTGTAAACACCAAGTTAAATGGCAACAAAGCTGCAGACAAGTTGTGCCAATTTCCACTAAAATTTCAAAGTACTCCAGATAAACAGAAGCCTGTTTTCTGAGTATTGTAACTGGATCAAATTAGTCAAAGAACCAACATCTCTGTTCAGTCCCAGAGAGATAAAAGTCCTAATTTCTTTTAGATCTACTGCCTAATTCATGCTGGATTTTCCGTTCTGAATTTATTCTGGTAAATGATTTGAATAATCACGGCAATTTTCTCCTTCAGTGATATATTTTGAACATTTTTCCTTACAACCCTCTTTTGTGACAGTGGTTCACGCGTTGTGGCTCTTCTCTTTGGCTTGCAGGTGGCCTTCTAGTCCGTTTGGTGGGCTGTGAAGACCTCTTGGAGAAGATGCCAGGCCGTTCCCGTATGGCCACTTCCGCGCCTGTTTACACGAGCTCTGGTGACTTCAGGCTTTTGACCCGGACATGGGCTGGCATCAACTTCCCCGGCCGGGGGCCTGCGGGGAAGCTCCTTTGCCAGGAGGAACTCAGCCGTGAGTGTTGATGATCCTCCGTAGAGGAACTGACAGCAGACAGAGCGGAATCAGGTTTATTATCCAAATAAAATATGCCAGCTCACACACACAGAAACAGGCAGACAGACAGACAGACACACACACACAGAGAGAGAGAAACAGGCAGACAGACAGACAGACACACACAGAGAGAGACAGACACACACACATACACACACACACACAGAGTCCTTCTTTAGCCACACATTCCTTCACAGATAACAAGATATATATATATATATCTTTTTTAATCCAGAAATTTCAACAGAATGATATCCCACAATCAGGCAGCCTTTGGGATCTGCCCCTGCCTGTGTGCATCTGAAGTGCTAGCTAAACTGACAGCCCCCCATCTCTTAAAACCCCATAAGGAAGGGATCCACCTTCCTTCCCACAGTTTATTGCCTAGAAATAGGACCTGCACTTAAGTTGGAAAAATGTGCTTTAAAACGGAGCCTCCGTGCCCACCCTTGTGCCTTGTAGCCAGCAAGGAAATCTACATATCGCCAGGAACCATTTGGACATCCCACTCCTGGTGCCCTGTTTATGGAACTGTTTTCTTGTAAACCTGGGATTCTTACCATAGGCAATGTTCTGCTGGCAAGCTGCCTCTTTCCGGGTATCCAAAGTTATGGAGGTGTCCAGCCGGGGCTGCATATGTCCACATTCCGCTATATTTTGAGGAAACAGAAAAAGCTTTTTAAGCAGGAAGATGGGAGCAGAAGAGATCTTGTGGGATGCTTTGACGAGGAGGCACCTGATTGGAACACTTGCCTCTCCTTCAAACTTAAACCCCTGTTTTTCTCTCTCTTAAATTCTAGTATAGACAAGCAGATGCAGAATTTTCTTTCCTTTGATGCACAGTTTAGAAATGTTTTTGGGATGATGCTTTCAATTTACCTGCAATTCTTCCCACCTCCTCCCTACTGAGACTAGGAAGGAGGTGGGGAAAAAACAAATCCCTTCCCAGTGAATCATGTTATATGATCCTCTGACACATTGCTTGCTCATATCAACCATGGTGACCTAAAGAAAGTTCTTTTGTAAAACAAAATAATAATAAATAAATTAAAGCAATTTTTAACCATTCCCCCCCCCCAGGTCATTTAATTCAAGTTACTTTTTGACTGCTTACCTTCCATACATTTGCATTCGCTGCCTTCACATAATTTAACAAGAGATTCTTCTCCGTAAGCATTATAAACGATGGTGCACCGTTTTTCTGTAGAAACAAAACAAAACAAAAATCATTTTCTTGAAATCGAGAGAGATTGATCATGTATTTAAGTTAGGGAAGGGGAAGGGGAAGAGAAGGAAAAGAAAGGGGAGGAAGAGAGGAAGGAGGGAGGGAAGGGGTGAAGGCATGAGAAGGGAAGGGAAGGAAAGGGGAGGGAGAGAGGAAGGAAGGAATTATTATTTTATTTATTTATTTTATTTTTTATTATTTTATTGTATGGTACTGTACATACAGCGTTGTACGTATGGTACTGTATACGGTGCTGTACGCACGGCACTGTACGGCAACAGCTTGGTGGAAAGCGCTGACAAGTCACTTTTTTAAGTGCCGCTGTAACTACTTCAAGCGGTCATTAAATAAGTGCTAGTGGTCGCTAAGGGAGGACTGCTTGTACTGTTAGGGGGCTTGGCACAGTCTCTTCCCAAGGAGACCCCCAAAGATCTGATGTCACCCCTTCTTTTTTCTTCTGTTGGCAGGAGACGTCCTTGCTGTTCTCAAGGTCGACAACAAAGTTGTGGGTCAGACAAACTGGGGGCCGGTTGGTCGGCAAGCGTGGAACCAGACTTTTGCTGTTGAGTTGGAGCGAGTAAGTGTGCATCCTCACTTGCCCCAGGAAGAAACCGCAATCCACTTTGGAGCAAACATAGAGTATCTATATGAGTCGTCCTTGACTTACGAGTGACAACATTTCCACTGCTAAGCAAGACCATTGTTAAGTCACACGTTTTAAGGCGGCTGTGGTTGCAAGTTGAGGATGGGGTGAATTTGTCCCTGAGCAGGGAGGCAGGCTCAATAACACCCTGCAGTCCTGAGGACTAGCAACCAATGTCCCCGGCCAACCCCCAGAGGGCTAGTCCATGGCCACCGTCACTGCAGCGCGCACGTCTGGCGCCCTGTTGAGAAACCGGTGCTGCAATCAGGATGTCGGAGAACGGATCCTTTTCCGAGCAATGCTGATCTCTCTTCCCTTCACCCTGCAGTCTCGGGAGCTGGAGGTCTCCGTTTATTGGCACGACTGGCGCCAGCTCTGCGGGGTGACATTTGTGCGTCTGGACAGCTTCCTCGACAACGCCAGCCACAACCTGGCTGTTCCTCTGGAACCCCGGGGGAGGCTCTTCGTAGAGGTAAGGGCAGTTCTCTTACAGGTGGCTCAATTGTGGCCACATGATGTAAAATCCAGCACGATTCCTTTAACAACCGCCTTTCTTAGCCACGTGGGAGTTGAGGTCTATAAGTCTTCAAATTGCCACGGTTGGGCCTCCCTAACTGCAGCCATTTTTATTCCTTCCTCCATAGGTGACGTTCAGCCAGCCGGTCGTTGAGACCCACGCCAAGCTGCAACGCCAGAAGCGCATTTTCCCTAAACAGAAAGGTAGGAGAAATTCCTCACAAAATATCAATTTCAATATTTTCCCCTGCATTAAGAACTTCTGTCGCATGGCCCAGTGATCACCCTGGTGGTGCTGGACAGCGCAACAGCTCTTAGAACCCAGAACTTAGGTCATAGGGCTGGAAGGAACCATGGAGGTCTTCTAGTCCAGCCCTCTGCTCAAGGCAGGAGACTTTACACTTCATTGTCCACCTGAACTCAGATTGAGTTTTGAGGAGAAATGCTGGACATTTAGAATCAAGGGTGACCCAGGTGGTGGCTGGGTGGCTGAGCATCGCTGGCTTTGGTGTCCTTTCCTGCAGGAAAAGAGTTCCTCCGAGCTTCTCAGATGAACGTCAACATTGCCACCTGGGGACGCCTGATGATGAGCCTCCTGCCCCCTTGCAGTTCCCTCAGCGCTTCCAGCCCCCCTTTCCGGGGGTCTCTGCATCCAGATGTTGGCTCTGCAGCTGCCGCTGAGGACAGCTCCGGGCCCTGCGCACCCAGGTGAGCTGTCCCTAAATACAAGCCGGTTGCCCAAATTCTGATCCTGTGATCCTGGATGGTTGTAAGTGCAATGACCCTGTCGCAAGTCACTTTTTTCAGCGCCGTTGTAACTTTGAACAGTCACTAAACGAATGGCTGTAAATTGAGACGGCCTGTGTTAGGCGGGCGAGGCTGACCGAGACATTTGGAGAGGAAGGGAGAGTTTACAAATGTTTAAAAAAGAGCCTCTCTTCCAGATGCAGCCCTTCCCCTCCGGAAAAGCTGACCCAGGGAGGTCAGCCGCCCCCCAAGCCCCCTCGCCTCTTTCTGCCTCTCTCGCACAAGGAACCCGTCACGCCTCCCACGGATCTGGGGGTAAGTTTCTCCTTTGCCCCTCCTGTCTGTGCTTCCGTTGGAGACGTTGTAGATTCCCAGTCCCTGGCCGGTTGCTTGCTTTTTATTTTATTTTATTTCTTTATTTCTATCCCACTTTTATTATTTTTATAAATAACTCAAGGTGGGGAACGTATCTAACCAACCTTCCTCCTCCCATTTTCCCCGCGACAACAACCCTCTGAGGTGGGCTGGGCTGAGAGGGCGAGAGGGACTGGCCCATAGTCCCCCACCCGGCTTTCCTGCCTAACGCAGAACTAGAACTCAACATCTCCTGCCATTGGCCCAAAGTTTGTTGATCACCCAGTGGTCTCCACTCCTGCCCTGTATTCTATTTTTAGAAGACTCCCCTCCTCCATGGAAAAACAGGCAACTTGCAACAAACCGTCATCAGGTACGAACCAGAAAAACGAGAAGCATTAACCAACCTGGCTGCCTTTTCGGCAGGTGCCTTAAACCCCCTTTGCTGCATTTGGTACCTTCCAGCTGGGTGGGTGTAGGAATGACGGATACAAGCAGTCCTTGACTTACAAGGTTTCTGTTGCTAAGTGAGACAGTGAAGTGAGTTTTTGCCCCATTTTACAACCTGTTAGGGGAACCGCTGCAGTTTTAAGTTAGTAACAGGATTGTGGGGTGAATACGGCTCCCCTCATTGATTTTGCTTGTCGGATGGTCGCAAAGGGGGATCACGCTGCAACCCTCGTAAATATGAGCCCGTTGCCAGGCGTCTGAATTTTGATCACATGACCACGAGGATGCTGCAACAGTTGTTAAGGGTGAAAAATGACCATATCACTTTTTTCAGTGCCGTTGTCATGTTGAACAGATACTAAACAAACCGTTGTGAGTTGGGAACTGTCATATACGACGTCAGACACGAGAGCCTTTCGATCTGAAGCAGCTTCAGGACTTTCTGGATGCTTTAAATATTTTCCTTCGCTCTCCCAGGGGGATGGCCCTGCAGCTGGAAGACTTCTGCTGTATGGCGGTGCTTGGCAGGGGCCACTTTGGAAAGGTAGCGTGTATTGTGTGTGTGTGTGTGTGTGTGTGTGTGTGTGTGTGTGTACACCCACCACTGCCCTGGCTCCAACCAACAGTGTGATAAAGACATCCCGGGTTGGTTCACCCTTGCAATATCTCTGAAGTGGGAATTTGGAAAAGCAACATGAAACTCGGGTCCCGTCTGCATTAACGCCGTATTGGGTGTTCCCGAGTCACCCAACTCCCCTTGTTCCGAATGAACAACACGCAGACCACTTTCCGTGATGGTTTCAGGACCCTGGGGTGGAAATGGCCTTATGTCACTGGTCAGAAAGTGTGTCCAGCCTCCCAAAGCAGGGGAGACAGGAAACCGTCACTAAATGTATGGTTTTAAGCCAAGGATTGCCTGCACAGCAAGCAGACAAGAACGGATGTGACACATTTATTTATTTTAAAAAATGATCCAGTCGTTTCAGCCGTAGTGGGGTAGATGCAAAGCTGGGTGGGGGGAGAAACTGGTTTTGATTTTGACCTTTTCCCAAAAGGATTGGATCCTTATTTCTAGGTCTTGCTCGCCCGTTACAAGGCCACCAAGAAGCTCTTCGCCATCAAAGCCCTGAAGAAGCAGGAGATAATTAGCCGGGATGACCTGGACAGGTGAACATGGCTTGGTTTGTAAGACTTGCCCATTGTTTTTCCTCCAGGAGGGGAGCATTGGGTATTCCTTCCAGCAACCTTGTCCGCTGGGCCAGATGAAAAAGACGACTGGCAGAAAGTTTGTGGGGTTGACGGTAGACACTTTTGTGAATTTATACACTGCCTGTCTCACTCATTGGACTCCAAGCAGTGTGCAAAATTAAAAACACAGAAAAAATTTAAACAAATAACAAAAAATTAAAAAAACCATTTTAGATAAGGCGCTAGTCCTTGTGAAAATGAAAGGAAGGAGAAAGTGAAGGGGAAAATACAGTTCCGGGAACAAAGGGTATCTTTATTGTCTTTTGATGTTTCCTTGAAATTTTATCTCTGGCAGCCTGTATTGTGAGAAACGTATTTTCGAAGTCATCAACTCTTCCGGCCATCCCTTCCTGGTCAACATGTTTGCCTGTTTCCAGACTTCCACTCACGTGTGTTTCCTGATGGATTACGCCCCCGGCGGGGACCTCATGATGCACATCAGCTTCAACAATTTCTCTGAAGATACCACTCGGTGAGTGGATGAAAAATATAGAACACAGAATAACAGAGTCGTAAGGGACCTTGGGTGTCATCTAGTCCAACCCTCTGCTCAAGCAGAAGGCTCTGTTCCATCCCAGTCAAATGGTTGTAGTCCTTGACTTACGATCACAATAGCAACTGGAAAATTCATCATTAAGTGTTCGTCGTTAAATCAGGCGTCCCATGACTGCATCCAATTGTATAATCTCCACGGTTCTGACAAGCAACCTTCCCTGTCGACTTCCCCATTGGCTGCTTGTCAGAAGCTGGCTGTGATGGTCTCAGATGACCGTCATATGACCCGGGGAGGATGGAACCGTTGCAGATGTGACACCTGAATCACAACCCTGACTGTGGGGACACTGCGATGGTTCTAAGTGCGAGGACAAGTCATAAGTAATTTTTTCCCAGTGTTGTTGTTAACTCCAAACACTTGCTAAGTGCCCGGTCTTAAGTAGAGGACTACCTGTGTGCCCTCAATGATGCTGCTGTGATGTTTGATCGTCTTCCTTTCCCCGTTCAATCTTTCAAAGGTTCTACTCGGCCTGCGTTGTCTTAGGACTTCAATTCTTGCACGAGAAAGCCATTGTTTATAGGTAAGACATCTGAGACGCAAGGATAGAATTGCTGGCTTTCCTGCCAACTAGAACTCACCGTCTCCTGCTTTCTACACCAGCACCAAATTGGCCCCGCTGCACCAAACTGGCCCCCTGTCCCCTTAATAACGGACTTCCCTTTCTCCTCCCCACCTCCCTTTTCCCTGCCGCTGCTCCTGCAGGGACCTGAAAATGGATAACCTGCTCCTGGACGCCGAAGGGTTCGTGAAGATCGGGGATTTTGGGCTTTGCAAGGAAGGTGAGGAAGAAGCAGCAGCTTTGCTTGGGGTGTGGGGGGGGGAGAAAGTGGGAGAGCTGTGTGTATTTGCAATCTGTTGACAGGCTTGCTCACCTCCTCTTTATCCCGCATCCCAGGGGTCGGTTTCGGAGACCGGACCAGCACCTTCTGCGGCACCCCGGAATTCCTGGCTCCAGAAATTTTGACGGATCCGTCCTACACCCGGGCGGTGGACTGGTGGGGGCTGGGCGTGCTCATCTTTGAGATGCTGGTGGGAGAGGTGAGCACAATTTCCAGTCTGGGCTGAACATTCACAGAGTATCCGGGCTGTAAAAAAAAATTGTAATTTCAGCAGGCAGAAAATATGCGGTTTACAAATAACATTTCTGTACAGGTAGTCCTTGACTTACAACTGATTCGCTTAGTGACCGTTTGAAGTTACAACAGCCCTGAAAAAAAGGGACTTGGGACCTTTTTCACACTTGCTACCGTTGCAGCCCCCTTTATGGATTACTGCCTTGTCATGGCGAAGGGGCTTGCGTAACTCAATGAAGCTATCAGCTGTGCCGTGCAGGGCCACCCAAGACGGACAGGTTATAGCAGAGAGTTCTGACAAAATTTGATCCACTGGAGAAGGAAATGGCAAACCACTCCAGTATCTTTGCCATGAAAACCTCATAGATAGTACTAAAAGGAAAAAGGATATGACGCTGGAAGATGAGCCCCTCAGGTCGGAAGGTGTCCAATATGCTACTGGGGAAGAGCAGAGGGCTAGTACTAGTAGCGCCAGAAAGAATGAAGCGACTGGGCCAAAGCCGAAAGGACGCTCAGCTGTGGATATATCTGGTGGTGAAAGGAAAGTCCGATGCTGTAAAGATTTTTTCTCCATAGGAACCTGGAATGTAAGATCCATGAATCAAGGCAAGCTAGACGTAGTCAAAAAAGAGATGACAAGACTGAACATCGACATCTTAGGAATCAGCGAACTAAAATGGACAGGAATGGGTGAATTTAACTCAGATGACCATCAGGTATACTACTGTGGGCAAGAATCCCTCAGAAGAAATGGAGTAGCCTTCATAGTCAATAAAAGAATAGGAAAAGCAATACTGGGATACAATCCCCAAAATGACAGAATGATCTCAATTCGAATCCAAGGCAAACCATTCAATATCACAGTAGTCCAAATCTATGCCCCAACCACTGGTGCTGAAGAGGATGAAATTGACCGGTTCTATGAAGCCCTACAGCACCTTATAGAATTAACACCAAAAAATGATGTCCTTATCATCATGGGGGATTGGAATGCTAAGGTAGGAAGCCAAAAGATAACCGGAATAACAGGCAAGTTTGGCCTTGGAGTACAAAATGAAGCAGGGCACAGGCTAATAGAATTTTGTCAAGAGAATACGATGGTCATAACAAACACTCTTTTCCAACAACCCAAGAGATGGCTCTACACATGGACATCACCAGACAGTCAACATAGAAATCAGATTGACTATGTACTCTGCAGCCAAAGATGGAGAAGCTCTATACAGTCAGTAAAAACAAGACCAGGAGCTGACTGTGGCTCAGATCATGAGCTTCTCGTTGCAAAATTTAGGCTTAAATTGAAAAAAGTAGGGAAAAGCACTAGGCCACTCAGGTATGAACTAAATCATATTCCTGATGAATATACAGTAGAGGTGACAAATAGATTTAAGGAACTGGATCTGATAGACAGAGTGCCTGAAGAACTATGGATGGAAGTTCGCAACATTGTACAAGAGGTAGCAACTAAAACCATCCCAAAGAAAAAGAAATGCAAGAAAGCAAAATGGCTATCTGAGGAAGCTTTGCAAATAGCTGAGGAAAGAAGGGAAGTGAAAGGCAAAGGAGAAAGAGAAAGATACACCCAATTGAATGCAGAATTCCAGAGAGTAGCTAGAAGAGATAAGAATGCCTTCTTAAATGAACAGTGCAAAGAAATAGAAGAAAACAACAGAATAGGGAGGACCAGAGATCTCTTCAAGAAAATTGGAGATATGAAGGGAACGTTTCATGCAAAGATGGGCATGATAAAGGACCAAAATGGCAGAGACCTAACAGAGGCAGAAGAGATTAAGAAGAGATGGCAAAACTACACAGAAGAACTATACAAGAATGAGCTTAACATCCCAGATAACCACAATGAGATGGTCATTGACCTCGAACCAGACATCCTAGAATGTGAAGTGAAATGGGCCTTAGAAAATCTGAGCAACAACAAAGCTAGTGGAGGTGACAGTATTCCAGCTGAGCTATTCAAAATCTTAAAAGACGATGCAGTAAAAGTGCTACACTCAATTTGCCAGCAAATTTGGAAAACTCAACAGTGGCCACAGGATTGGAAAAGGTCAGTTTACATTCCAATTCCAAAGAAAGGCAATGCCAAAGAATGTTCAAACTATTGCACCATTGCACTCATTTCACATGCTAGTAAAGTTATGCTTAAAATCCTACAAGCTAGACTCCAGCAGTATGTGGATCGAGAACTACCAGAAGTACAGGCAGAGGAACTAGAAATCAAATTGCCAACATACGCTGGATCATGGAGAAAGCTAGGGAGTTCCAGAAAAACATCTACTTCTGCTTCATTGACTATGCTAAAGCCTTTGATTGTGTGGATCACAACAAATTGTGGCAAGTTCTTAAAGAGATGGAGTACTAGACCATCTTATTTGTCTCTTGAGAAACCTATATGCGGATCAAGAAGCAACAGTGAGAACTGGACACGGAACCACTGATTGGTTCAAAATTGGGAAAGGAGTCCGGCAAGGCTGTATACTGTCGCCCTGCCTATTTAACTTATATGCAGAGCACATCATGAGAAAGGCAGGGCTAGATGAATCAAAAGTTGAAATTAAGATTGCCGGGAGAAATATCAACAACCTAAGATATGCAGATGATACCACTCTGATGGCAGAAAGTGAAGAGGAACTAAAGAGCCTCTTGATGCGGGTGAAGAAGGAGAGTGCAAAAGTTGGCTTGAAACTCAACATTAAGAAAACCAAAATCATGGCATCCAGCCCTCTCAATTCCTGGCAAATAGATGGGGAAGAAATGGAGGTAGTGTCCGATTTTATTTTTCTGGGCTCAAAGATCACCTCAGATGGAGACTGCAGCCAAGAAATTAAAAGACGCTTGCTCCTGGGGAGGAAAGCTATGGCAAATCTAGAAAGCGTACTAAAAAGCAGAGACATCACCCTGCCAACAAAAGTGCGTATAGTCCAGGCCATGGTTTGCCCAGTTGCAATGTATGGCTGTGAAAGTTGGACCATAAGAAAGGCTGAGCGCCAACGAATGGAGGCCTTTGGACTATGGTGCTGGAGAAGACTCCTGCGAGTCCCTTGGACTGCAAGGCGTTCAAACCGGTCAGTCCTAGAAGAGATCAACCCCGACTGCTCCTTAGAAGGCCAGATCCTGAAGTTGAAACTCAAGTACTTTGGCCACCTAATGAGAAGGAAGGATTCACTGGAGAAGTGCCTAATGCTGGGAAAGATTGAGGGCAATAGAAGAAGGGGACGACAGAGAATGAGATGGCTGGATGGAGTCACTGAAGCAGTAGGTGTGAATTTAAATGGACTCCAGAAGATGGTAGAAGACAGGAAGACCTGGAGGAACGTTGTCCATGGGGTCGCGATGGGTCGGACACGACTTCGCAATTAACAACAACAATAACAACCGTTGCAGCATCCGTATGTCCACCTCAAGACATACCTCCCTCTCCTAAGACACCCCCGCCCCCGAGGCTGGTAGCCTAATTAGGTCTTCTTAAACATCCAGAGAGATGGAGCTCAATTACTCATTAAAATTAATTATTTTAAACTAATTAACCAGGGCTTCTTGATTAAATTCCTCTTCGGCAAGAGCTGGTACTTTGGGCCACAACATCTCTCTGTACAGCCTACCTCATAGGTAGAGGAGAGGAGGCTGTTTTGAACACACACACACACACACACACACACACACCTTGGAAAAGGTAGGAGAGAAAGTTAAACAAGGAACAAGGATTAAACCGTTTCAAATTCTGTCCTTCCAGTCTCCGTTCCCCGGTGACAATGAAGAGGAGATGTTTGACAGCATCATCAGCGAAGAAGTTTGTTTCCCACGATTCCTCTCCGAGACCAGCACTTCGCTTATGCACAAGGTAGCGTCGTGAATTCAGGGCGGGGGTCCCACAGCAAAGTTTTGGTGCTGGATTGGAACCCAGTCCCGATTTTTCCTTCATTTTTCTCACCAGCTTCTCCAAAAGTGTCCTGAGCGACGTCTCGGAGCGGGAGCCAGAGACGCCAGAGAGATTCAAAGTCACCCTTTTTTCAAGGTATGGAGATCCCTCTGCATTTGCCATCCGGTAATCCCCTTCTGGGATCCATTTTCTTCCCTTTCCGATCTCTTGAATCAACACTTAAGTTGAGCACCCAAAACAGTGGTTCTCAACCTGTGGGTCGGGACCCCATTTGGGGTCGAACGACCATTTCACGGGGGTCGCCAAACAACGCAGTCCGCCATTTTTTCCCCCCTTTTCCTTAGCTGTGCTCCTCCCTTTTATTCTATTGCCTTTTGAAAGCCAATAGAACAGACTCTCTTGAATAGAGTCTAATTCTATTGGCTTTCCAAAGCCAATAGGAATTGTCCAGGCTGTCTCTGCCCTGCTGAGCCTGCCAAAAGTCCCAGTCTGCAAACGGTGCTGCACCAGTTGAGTAGTCCTTGACTTACGACCGGTTGAGTAGTCCTCGACTTACGACCGGTTGGGGGTCACAGCATTAAAATGGTTGAGAACCACTGACCCAAAAGGAGCAAGAAACAGTGAGCGGAAGAAAGGCAGTGCAAGAGATTTTTAAAAAAAGAAAGAAAAAGACCTCAATTTAATCTTTCTATCTACCTGCTCTCCATAATTTAATCGTTTTGCCTTTGTTTTTAAATCACCTCTTTTTTGGACTCCCTTTCATTCTCACCTGTATTTCTCTTTTCCTCCCTCTCAGCCCCTTTCCAGTTCTTTGATATATTTATGTATAAACTTTATACGGATGTATGGAGGCTTTGAAGAAGAGATTGGACAACCATCTGTCTGAAATGGTTTGGATCTCTTGCTTGAGTGTTTGTGTTTGTGTGTGTGTGGGGGTTGGACTAGAAGATCTCAGAAGTTCCTTCCAACTCTGTTATTCTGTTATTTCTTTTGCAATTTGATCCTTATTCTCTCCATATCAGCGTTTCTCAACCTCAGCAACAGAGACAGAGGAGACCTAACAGAGTTGGGGAAAGTGGATTTCTGTTTTTCTCTCTTTCTTTCCCAACCCCCCAGGAGATGGATTGGGATGCCCTTTTTTCCCGGAATCTCAAACCACCCTTGGTGCCCATCCTAAAAAGTGCCACCGACGTCGGCAGCTTTGACAAGGAGTTCACGTCTCAAAAGCCTGTCCTCACGCCTCCCCGGGACGCCCTCCCTCTCTCTGTCGAGGAACAAGCCCGGTTTAAGGATTTTGACTTCCTATCTCAACACTTCCTGAATGTCTGAATGTGGGCCTGATCCCTGCCCTGTTGCTCAAGATCCTCTCCCCTCAGGTGCTGCTCAAGAGAAGCTTTAACAGATCACGGTTTGGGGGAACCAACATTTCCAAGCACTATTTTTTTTTTTTTTTACTTTTTTTTCTTGGCAAAATTTTTAATCCTCTGAATCTGGCCCCAGGGAGCATCAAGGTCAACTTCCATCAGCTTCCCCTTAATTCTGAATTGTTGAGGAAGGGGCATCAAGACAGGATGGGGCATCCCAAAACCAAGATGAGGATCCCCGTGGTGCATTTGGGAACCTTGTTTCCTCTTCATCCCCAGAAGCTTCGGAGAAAACCCTAGTAGCTTTAATATCATTTTCTAACTTGAGACCAAACACTCCGGGTTGTTTTTTGTTTGCATTTTATGATGAAATCTTTCAACTCCGACCAGATGAAGGAACCTGGCTCTCCAAAAATGTAGCTTTGCTTTAGAAATGCAGGGTGTAGTTTGCACTATGTAGGTCTTTCTCAAGCTTGGCATCTTTAAAATGGGTAGACTTCCCCAGCCAGCTTTGGGAACTCTGGGAGTTGAAGTCCACAGGTCTTGAAGTGGCCAAGTTTAGAGAGCCCTGACTTAAGAGGATGAAGAATTTGATCCACTCTGATCTCCTGATCCGCCTGCAGCCTCCAGCCCTGCAGAGGGGAAATCTGCTCCCAGCTGTTGGTTCCCACAGCTGGAAAGTCTGTACATCTGGCCAAGCTCTGTCTCTATCCGTATCGGACCTCTGGTTAGGCAGGAGGCAGAATTATCGACAGGCAGTTTGCACGCTCTGGCTGGCACTGATCGGCATGGAATTTGAACTCTCTCCTCCCCCGGACGACTGTGTGAGATGCCCAGCGTTGGCTGCAAACAAAACGGGCCTCTGTTCTTGCCGTGGCTTTGGAAACAAAGCAAGTTCCTTGTTCCCGAACTCAGCCCAGGGCACAATGCCTCTCTTTCGACAGGCCTCAGCTGCCTTAGTTTCCCCCTGTTTCGCCTCCCGAGATGTCACTTTTAGAGGCCACAGAACAAATGTATGCGAATTGTATTTTTTCTCTTCCTTTCCGCATCAGGCATGGGGTGCAGATTGTTTGGACAGAGGGGGCAGAAGAGAGAAGGCAGGAAGCTCAACGCCAAACACGTCTCGCCTTTTGGTTCTCCACTGTGACTGAATTAATTTAAAATTAAACTCATTTCAATAAGAAAGAAGAGCATGTTTTTCTAAGATGGGGATATCCTGCTAGCGAAGTTGAGCCTCTGCAAGAGGCAGGAAAGTTTTAATTTTTTCCATTGCAAAGCCATGTCCTGGGCCACCTGGTATCTCCAGTCCAGCTGTGGATGATAGGAACCGTAGTACAAGATACCCGGGAGTTATGTCGTGATGCCAAAGATGCCAAATTTCTGTTGTGAATTTCTCCTCTTTTCTCCCATCAGCTCTGAAACAGAAGCCTTAATTTTATTATTTAACACCTTAGTGCCAATTTTTTTTAATTGGACACCCTAGCACAGGGGTGTCAAATTGCCAGCCCGCCCCATTGCCAGCAATGGCAAAAAAGCTCCGATATGTTGCGTGACGTCATGTGACATCGCGAGTTTGACATTTCTGCGCCTAGCAGATTCACAAAACACCGAACCCCATTGTGGTTTGGCTGTGGCTTGCTACAATGTGGAAACCCAGCTACTGAGAGTTTACAGAAGGAGCCTGGGAGACCCAGGATGGTCTTTAACCCCATTGTTTGTTGCCCTGTACGTCATAAATGTGAGGACTGGTCATAAGTGACTCTTTCACTTCCAACCGTCATTAAGGAAATGGTTTTAAGCCGAGGGACTTGCCTGCCCACTGGCAAAAAGAAAAAAAAATAATAAGTACAAAGAAGTGGAAGACATATTTTAAAAAATAGTATGATAGGTCATTACTAAGAGTAAAGCTTTTTTTTTCTTTTCGCCAGCATCTTTGTGTTTTGTTAGGCAAGAAGGAACAAAATTGGACCTGGGGAAGTGACTGGCTCTAGCCCCGCCCATATTTAAGCCCCACCCTCCATCTCTTGGCACACGCCCACACCGAGCCAACAAAACAAACTTTGATGCAAGCTTTGGTCTTTTATTAACGTTAGTGTTGGATTAAAACCTTTTTTCTTTAAGCTCTTAAACCCCACGGCACCAGGTGAAGCTGCCTTGTTCTTTGCAAAACCGCTCAGCTTCCAGGGAGCGCCCGTCTCCCCAGCCTCAGTTCGATACGAACATCCGGCCGAAATCACGACTTGTATTTCAAGCCGGGGATTCTGGACCTTTTCATGTTTGGCTGCCTGTGTTTCCTGCTTCCTGCCTTGACGCTGTAGGATTCTCCTTCGGTTCTTCTTTGTAACAACTGCCCAGATCTCTATATCTCCAAATCTCAATGGTGGATCTCCAGTTTTAGGGTTAGCCCCCCCCCCACTGCCTCATCCCCAACATCCTGTCAGATTTTAGCCTTTGGTTAGAAGAGGTGATGCTTCTGTAAATAGGTCCTTCTCCTAGTCAGGACGATGATCTGGTGCTTCGGCGTCCTCTCCAAAGCTTCTGTTGAGGCTTAAGGCCCTTAGGATGGTCCGATTCATCTCTCAAGATCCTCCTGCGTTCACACCAACTCGCTCTCCTCTGGAGGGTAGAGTTTCTCCCAGGCCACCAGGCGACACGCGCAGAAGAACCTCCAGAGGTTGAGGAGGACCCCCTGGTCAAAGGGATTCTCCACCTTGCAGTGTTTCAGGTAGGAGATGCGATGGCGGGAGATGAACTCCCAGGTGGTGGTGTTGCAGGAGATGAGGTAGAGATGGGAGCCCAGCAGCAGCGTCGCAACCACCGTGCAGACGAGGAGGAGCAGGAAGGAGAGGAGGAGGAGCAGGTGGCACTGAAACCAGACCCAGGAGAACGGCTGGAAATTCAGGCCGGACCTTTTGAAGTGGAGAGAGAGACTTGCTCTAACACAAAAGCTTCCTTTCTATCGTTGGACAGGAGCACCTGATTTGGATGAACAATGGCGGAGATGCCCTCCGTCCCCCTTCAGACTCAGCACAAGGGTCCCCAATCCCTGGGGCCATTCTGCCCATCCCTTACCAAGCCAACTGCAGAGCCCAGAGCAGGACGGCGAGCTGCACCCCCAAATAGAGTATGAAAAGTGGGTGATTCCTCTCCCCGATGCAGTTTTCAATCCAAGGACAGTGATGGTCGTAGCGACGGACGCACTGCTGGCAGGCCTGGCAGTGCTTGGCTCGCAAAGGTTGCTGCAAGACGGCAAAGCAGTGGGTCAGACTGGATAACCTTCAGGATCCCTTCAAACCCTGACTTTCTATGATTGCGTGCTGGCAAACTCCTATTCTTTTCCCCCTCCATAAATGCCTCAACATCAGAAACCTTGGGGAAACTTCTACCTACAAAGGAGAATATTGAAATGAAGTTTCAGAAGTTGTGGGTGCTCCATCACCAGAGGTTTTTAAGAAGAGACTGGGCAACCATTTGTCCAGAATGGCATAGAGTCTCCTGCTCAAGCAGGGTTGGACTAGAAGACCTCCACGGTCCCTTCCAGCCTCATGATTCTAGGATTCTATGGTCTCTCTCGGGCAATGTCACCTGGAAACCAAGCGTTACCTTCACCATGCAGTATCCACACCGCCTCAGACGGACGCTGTGATCCTGAGAGAATGTTTTGGCTTTCTCTTCTCCGGTCATTGAGTCCTATCAAAAACCACATCAAATAATCTTTAGCAAAAATTGCACAACCTCAGCACTTAACCTGTCCATTCCTAGATATCTTTTTTTTTTTTTTTTTGAAAACACATCTTTGTTTTTAACAGCCTCCAAAGTATTCCCAGTTTTTCCTCGACCCACCTTCTCGACCCACCTTCTCGTCCTCACTCTGCTCCACGTAGCCTGGGTTCATGAGCGACACAACAAAATACAGGACGACGGAACAGAGAACCAGCAAGGTGAACAAAAGAGGCTGAAGCAGTTCTCCCCGCTCAAGCTGCCTCCGGAGATCTGGAAGAGGAAGACAAATGGGAAATAATTATTCATAACCAAGTGGTGCCTTGGATGCATTCCTAAAACAACTGGAGCACCATTAGAATCCCATTGGCATCGACAAATTCACCAACGGTCAATTAGTGTGCGGACTCAGACGCGTTTTTTCAAGAGAAGGGAGAGAGCACCACGCAGGGACTTTTCACTATCACGCCGATCCTTGGAGGGAACGTCTCAAGGCTGAGCTCAGGGGCACTTAGGGTGGGAGCAGCAACCACGGTTACCTAGATCGCAGCTTACACTCAACAAGCCGCGATCGCTCCCCCGGGGCTTGGCTTGGCGGGTCACCCCCGCGATCTCCCGGGCGCTCGCTGGGGGCCCGAAGCAACTGGGGGGGGTCTCACCTGTGTTGTGCAGAAAGAGCCCCACGGTGACGCCCCAGCTGAGCCCGGTCTGCGCCGCCCGCACCGCCCACCCGCTGCCCGCGGGCGCCCCCGGCCGCATCCCGCCAGCTCAGCCGCGGCCCCGGAGCTGCTCCAAGCGGAAGCGCAGAAGCCCCGCCCCCGCCAGCGGGAGAGCGCGATTGGCGGGCCAGGAGAGGGGGGGAGGGCGTGTCCAGGGATGCCGCGCGCTGATTGGCTATGGCAGCTCGAAATGTTGAAAGTGGTACAAAAATAAACATAAATCCTTTTTTTCTCTTCCTCATTAAGGAAGTCCGAGCAGAAAAAGGAACCTCGTCTGGCTGGGGGGCTTTCAGGGGGTTCCCCCGCTCAGCCACGCCTGGGTTCGTCCATTGGGGGGGGGGAATCAAGAGCATCAAGGGCGGTTTTAGTTCGGGAGGCGTAGATGGAACCAAAAGTGCAAGGTAGGTGCACCTTTTGATCAAAAACAGGTCTCGCCTGGAGATGCCTTCCGGGCAAAGGTTCAGGGAGAGACCCTCTCTGGTCTGGAGATGCTTCAGCCAAGGGATAGGAGGGCCCCAAAGGATTATAAAATGGGCGGCTGTATAAAGATTTTAAATTAAGTAGGTAGACAGAAAAAAGAATGACAAAAGAAAAAGGGAAAGAAAGAAAGAAAGAAAGAAAGAAAGAAAGAAAGAAAGAAAGAAAGAAAGAAAGAAAAACGTCAATGGGAGAAGTTGGATTCATTTGTCATGTGATTGCCTTAACAACTGCAGTGATTTGCTGAACACCAGAGGCAAAAAAAAAATAGTCAAACTGGATCTGACTTAAAATAATAGTCCACCCCTAATGCAAATCCACAGAGTAGCAAGAGAATGAGCTCACTCTTTGCATAAAGCATGGTGATTTTTGCGCCTTCCCAGAAACGATGTGATACCTTTTTCCAAATGGTGTTTTGGAAATACACAGGAGATAATTTGCACTCCCATGCGTTATTCGGAAATCAAATAAAAACACGGCATGGCTTTCATTTCAAACATTTTCTGCTAAGCCCAATTCTCCTTACTTCAAGACAGAAACCCATGCCATTGATGCCTTCCAACTTGACATTTCTTAAAAAGCCCAAGAAATTTGATTTTCTATCGGGAAAATTTTTAAGTATTTTTAGAGCACCCCAAGGACTCTAAACGAACAAAACACCACATTTAGCAAAAAGGGAGAGCTTTCCACTTGATCTTCTCTCCTCCAGCCAACAAAATTCAGAGAGAAAAATCTCTAATTCCCTTATGCTCGGTAAAATTACAGTTTTATTTTAAAGGTAAAATGTATCAGTGAAAGACCAACCTTCCTTGCAGATCAATTCAAAAGACTGTATTATATATGAACCAACATATTCATGATAAACACAAGAAAAGTTGTTTTCTTTGTTTATTGATGACATGTAACAGCAGACAGAAGAATTCATAACTGTCCAGAATAAAAATCTTTGCGTCACAAATATAGGATCAAGAAGAGGCTCTTCAAATTGAGAGGATGGGAAAATTAGCTTGGTTAAATTTACACGGGATTTCCACATCCCTGTTACGGCATCAGCAGCAGAAAATGAAAATCTTCCAGTCTCTCTTAAGCAGTTCAAATCCTTGTCCATTCTTTCTTCTGAAAACAAGGAAATAAAGACCATCTCCTCCTGGAAGATTGAACAAATCCACACCTTAAGATGCATTTTTCCAGACAAAGGAAAATTCGGGATTTTTTTTCCCCTTCTCAAAATCAATCACCATCTGCCTTTCTTCTGGACTCGGAGGAAAATGTACAGATAATTCTTCTTTTTCTTCTGCCATCTTTTTAGGACCTCACAAAGCCAGATTTCCTTATTTATTTATTAAATTTGTCACCCATCTCACTGCAAGGCAGCTCTAGGCAACTTACATTAAACCAGGTTGGATCAACTGACACCAAACTCATGGAGTGTCTCTGAACCTTGGCCAACTGAAAGGGAGTGGACTTCAACTCCCAGAATTCTCAGCGATGGTTATGCTGATTGGAATTCTGGGAGTTGGCGTCCACATATCTGGAAAACTGCCAACCCTGGAGTAATGGTTCAAATTCAATCACATGTAGAAGACGCCGAACTATAAGGTCATCAGGAATCAATTCCTTCTGCCTTGAACTCACGAGAAAGTTCAACCATGAATCTTGCTCTAGAAAAGAGTATAACATCTATAGGTAGAGTCTATCTATACAGAAGGATAAATAGATAAATTGATAAATTTGGGGCACTCTTGCTGTAGATTAGGAGAACAGCATGAAAAAGAGAATTTTGGGGTGGATTTTCTGTGCCAGATGTTTTCTGGGCTCCAGATGTTGTGAGAAGACCTCTGTGGAAGGTGTTTTCAGTTGACTCCAGCCAAAGGAAGACTCAGTTACATCCGTTCAAAATGTCATAAACTACCTCAGGAATTTGCGAATTTCTTCCAATTCTGATCCCATGGCAGTTCCGGAGGAGATAGAAATGAAAAGCTGCATTTGCTAGAATTTCAGACACATGGAAGAGAACCCAAAGGAGGGGCTTTTTTTGAGACTTAAACTTTTTTTGAAATATAGATTTAAGCCTGCTTTTGCAATCAGTTAACCAAACCTTCCTTGGTTTGTCAACAATAAGGTCTAAAAGTGGCTCCATCCACCGAGGACTGATTTTGCCGTGCCGCACGCTCCCTGCTGAATTCAGGGAGGGAAGGAGAGTCTGAATTTGCAAATGTTGATCTAAATTTGCAAGTTCTTTGACCTGTATCCATTTTTTCTGACCCTGACACTCAAGCAGCTTCCAAAGAAACTTTAAGCTACGAGAGAGACTCTGCTTTTTCCTGGCTAGAGAGACCCGGGGTTTTGGGGTTTTTTTTTTACTCTGTCTCAGCAAAGCTTCCTGGTCATCCGAGTCTCCACCCCACAGGTTTTGCTTGTGTCATCCAAGTGGCGAGCAGCAGTCTCTGCCCTGTCTTCAGAGCACAACAACCAGTTAATTTCCACAGCTTACACTTTTCAGATCTCCACTCCTAACTTTAGGATTCTGCTAAAAAAAAAATCAGCTTTTTTCCGCTGCTTCTTAAAAGCCCCGAAGCGACCAACAGCACTGAAATCTCCTCCTCTATCTGAAGGAGTTGGGGAGGGGGGTAGATCAGCTTTGACCTACCTCAATATTAACCAGTCAGATTTCCTTGCTGCTTGCAAAGCTCAGTTGCAGGAAGGGGCAGATTTCAAAAGCTCAGGGACAAGCAAGGCCATCCGTCCCTCCTTAGTGTTCCAATCCGAGTGCTCCAAGGTACTTCAGATAGGTTGACAGCACCCATAATCCCCAGCCTCACAGTCCTTCCTGGTCTGGGGTTAGCAGCTTTGCCTAAACCTTTTATAGTCCTGCGGCGTTGCAAGAGGGAGAATGACCCTCATCCGAAGGGCTGTGCTGTGATTCGAAGGAGATCTTCGTGCTCTGTCGAAAAGCTCCAAAGATACACAACAGCGTGGATTTTTGTTTTATACAGTCATGACGCGCGCACACACACACACACAAAAAAACAAAAACACCAATCAGTACTTTTTAAACACACACACACACCCCGCTGTATCTCAAACTCCACCTTTCAAGGGAAGCAATTGTAGTGTGCAAAAAAATGGTCCCTCAAAGACAACTTGCTCAGGTGTGGTTTTTCTAACCTCCCCATTCCCCTCCTGCCCCCCCCCCCGTTTCCTGAGCCTCTCTCATCTTCCTAACACTGTCCAAGTATGCACACTTCCAACACACCCCAGCACGCACTAAGGGCTTCTTCCGACAGCTAAGCTGATGAGAGGAGACAGTCCAACCTATGTACAGGTGAATTTGAGAGGAGGCGGGCGCAGGTGGGCTGCACCTGGGATTCCACGCTCGGCTCTATCTGGAGGTGTCCATGTTCTCATCCGTAAAGTTATTGCAGTGTTCGATGACTTTCCTGGTAAGGAAGGAAGAGAGAGAGAGTTCCAGCTTCTTATTTTAGGACAGAGAGAGAAGATGGGGCAAAACTGCCGGAGGGTGGAAGGGTTTGGAAAAAAGAAAGGAGAAAGAGAAGGGAAAAGGAGGAGGAAGGAAAGGAGGTAGATAGGGAGGGGAGGGCAGCACCTGGAAAGGCGTCCTTCCCCAAGAGAGCTCACCTTCCCATCTCCTTGGTTTCTGGCTGTGCTGATGCCATCAAAATCATGTCCTGCAGGAGGAGAAGGCCCCCTTCTTTGATCAACAGGGGGCAGTATTTGTCCGCTGGAGATGTAGGCAGAAAGAGGAAGAGGTGAGGGGCTGGAGCTCAGTCTGAAACACTGGGTCTGTATCCCCCCCCCCCCTTTGGAAGATGCCCCTTCCCTCAGCCAGATCCCCTGTGGCATGCAAGGAGCAGGAGACCACCCTCTGGAGAGGCACCTCAGAGGCCCACAGGGGGCGCCGGTCCAATTTTACTGAAATGCTTGGCTGCTCTGGGTTTTGTGATTCTTTGGGGCAGGATGGAAAAACAGCTGAGAGGAGGACACTCACGGTAGACAGAGACCAGGTTGTAAAGGGCCCACGTCGCCCAGTGCTGGCTGACTGGGGAGATCCACTGAGGGATGAGTCTCAGGATTGGTTCAAAGGACCTGTTCGAATGGCCACAAAAACTAGATTAAGAACGAGGGAGGGAATGGAGGGAGGAACTAGCAATCTGCAGCTCCAGAAAAAACACTTCCCTTCTTCACCACTGCCCGATTCGGACACAATACTTATCCCATCCACCACAGTTTCTTTCTAAGATGTGGTGGAATGTGGTCTGGATTCCCAGAAGGGAATTCTAAGTCCTGCCTTAGGCATGAAAGGCAGCTGGCTGACTCTGGGCCAAGCCAAATCTGTTCCAAACCAGGCAGAGGCATCACGAAGCACCCAATAGAAAAGCTTGATCAGAGATACAGGTAAATCAAGGTTGTCCCTTTACGCAGCTGGCCTGCTCACCTGTAGTTAATGTTCCGCCTGGAATTGACATCCCAGCGTTGAATTGCCGCCCACATCCTGTCCACCACCTCGTCCCTGGTGGGCTCAGCGATCAGCCAGGCCTCTGGCCCATCAAACATAATGTGGGAAAGGACCCCGCAGGCGTTGTACGACACTTCGATCCCGTCCGCTTCACTATCTAATAAATTGCTGTCACAAAATGTCAGGATTTCAATCCCCAAACCCTGTAATGTTGGGACCCCTTAAAAACCACATTAAGAGGGATTTAAAATGCGTTTGGAAGTCTCATCTCAGGGTCTGGATGAGCGACTGGATGCTTTGACTTTGCCCCCCCCCTCCAAAGCCCACTTACAATTTGACTCATTTCAGCATTTCTGGCTACAAATTTGTTACCAAAGTGGCTGAGAGCAGCCCCCCAAAGAACCACCGCTGCCTTTTCACCCCAAGGCAATGCAACGGAGGCTTCACCTGAAGACGCTGATGAACTGGGACGTCATCAGCTGGGGACGGAGGGCTTGAACTTCGGCCACGTTGCCCAAGAGGCCCAGCATGTTGCGGTGCAGCTCCTGCTTGTTGGGAAACTCCTGAGGGAAAACAGCCAGCCTGTCACGACGGAATCTCAGCAGCCTGGATGGCCACAGAATTACAGGCAGGCAATATTCCTCAGCTTGTGAGCCACAATGCAGCCCAAACTTTTTGCTGCAGAGTGAGACATTTCTTAAGTGAATTTCGCTCCCTTTTACAACCTTTCTTGGCACAGTTGTTAAGTGAATCACACACACCCCGCTGTCATAAATATGAGTCAGTTGCCAAGAAATCACGTGAAACGAGGCCCACCTTCAGGCACTCCAGGAAGAGCTTCATGCCGCCGTAGTTGAGGAACATCTCGCAGTTGCTCGGCGTCTCGTCAGTGATGTTCCACAAAGCGCTCCAGGAGAACTCCATCACCTGGTCACACTGGCCGAGCCGAGGAAGAGAGAAAAACGACAACCGTTCACACCGTTGCCAGCAACAAAACAGAGGAGCAAGACAATCGGAGGGCTGTGGGAAGCATCCTTAACGAGCTGCACCAAGGTGCTAACACTTAGGGGAGGGAGGGGGATTCTGGGAGAAGCAGTGTGGCACAGTGGTTAAGGTCTTTGGACTCGGAGGAAGGGAGGCCAGGGTCCCATCCCGGACCTGTTTATTTTTCTTTTCTAAAATTGTCAGCCTGAGAATCTGAATCCGACACTTACTATTTTGTCCCCCAATTTCTTCTGAATCAGCCTCAGCATGGTCTGCCGGAAGAAAACAATGAAGAACTGAGTTACAGGCGAGGGGGCGAGTGGCAGAGGATGTCAATGGAGAATTTAGACTTAGCCGTGTGACGGTCTGGGAAGAGCTTTGGCTGCCACCTTTAATAACGTCAAAACAAAAGTGTTTTTTTTACAGCAGACAAAAATCAATCAAGCAACTCTTTAGATATTTTTTTTTCTTCCCAGTCTCTCTTTCTTTTCAAATCGGCAGCTATTTTTAAAGACCGGGGATGTGTGTAAAGAAAGAGTTCCTTTTTGTTTTATATAAAATATGTGGCCTCTCGGCAACTACCCTGCATTGACAGTTGTGTTATGCAAAGCAGTGAGCAATTTCTCCCCCCAACAGGAGCACAATTCTCGAGGGCTCAGCCACCTGACCCACCGTGACGAACCCCATCCGGCCGACGGCCTCCTTGTGGTCGTTGTCCACCTGGCAGACCAGGGCGTTGCAGAGGTGCACGGCGATGCGCTGGATGGACTCGTCCTGCCGCGTCGGGTTCAGGATGTTCAGCAGCAGCTCGTTGACCCGCCGGTACTGGAATTCCAGCTCTTCGGGGATACTAAAATTGCACAAGGTGAGGCAGCAGTTCCGTTGCACCTGTGGAGGAAGCGCCCGGATGAGCCAGCCAGCCAGGGAGACGGGCCGGGGCTGTGGGATGCTGCCGTCCTTCCAGTTCTCGACTTATAAGTTTAGTGAAGTTACAGCAGCACTTTAAAAAAGGTGACTTAGGATCATGTTTCAGACTTATGACTGGTCACGTGATCAAAATTCGGACACTTGGCAACCGGGAAGAGAGGCGGGGGTGAGGGGGGGGTCAGCACCCTCACCGTGACTTCCTGGTAGGACTCCATGCCGTTCAGCACCACCTGGACGACCTTCTGCCGTAGCCTGGTGCTCTGCTGGAGGCGGTACTCGGAGTTGGTGAGGTAGAAGAGAGCAGCGCTTCCCGTGACCTGGATGTTCTTGTCGTACTTGTGACATTTCAGGGCGGTGATGACCAGCTGCAGAAGCAGGAGAAGGAACAGGAGTTACATGCCTTCTGCCCACACAGTCTTCCACTTACGGCCAAAGTTACAAAAAGGCTTAACCAGCGTTGCAGCATTTTGCAGGCACGTGATCCAATTTTGTCGGCAAACGAACCGCACTGCAAAGGACAAGAAGCCTGGAAAGGCGGAGTGCCAGGGCGGTGCCACCTGGGCCTTGAGCTGAAGCCGAGCACCCCTCACCTTCAGGGCTCTCAAGAGCTGGGTGCAGCGCTCAATGCGGACAATGTCGAAGAGGATATTGAGGGCTCGCGATGTCATCTCCGGCCGGTGTTCGGTATACGCCTCGATGGCGTTCAGGACCTGCTCCTCGTTCTTCTCGCCCGTGACCTGAAGTTGCCAAGGGGGGGGAGGGGGTGGATCAGAGGCCAGGAAGCAGATAAGCTGAGAAAAGCATTCACTACACACACCTGGCTGGGTTCTGCTTTTACCTTGTAGGCTGGGATGTGCGTGACGTGGCAGAGAGAGACCTCAAACAGCCCCAAGAACTGCAGGGGTCTTCTCAGGCTCCGCAAAGGGGCGATGCTGCTTTTCGCCGGGTTGGTGCTGAAAGAAGAAGCAGGAGAAACGAACAGGTTGAGTCAGGAAAATAGAATCCTAGGTCTAGAGGGGGCCTTGGAGGGCTTCTAGTCCAGCCCCCTGCCAAGGCAAGAGATCCTGTACCGTTCTGGACAAATGGCTGTCCAGTCTCTTCTTGAAAACCTCCAGTGATGGAGCACCCACAACTTCTAGAGGCAAGCTATTCCACTGGTTAATTGTTCTCACTGTCAGGAAATTTCTCCTGAGTTCTGGGTTCGTTCTCTCTTTGACAAGCTTCCACTCAGGACTTCTTGTCCTTCCTCCTCCTCCTCCTCCTCCTCCTCCTTCCCCCTCCCTCCTCCTCTCCACACTGTTCCATTCTAGCACTGATGACATCACCTAGTTGTGCCATGAAATGCCTGCAAGAAAACCACCAAGCTCAGACAGCACCAAGGATCTCACAGTTCAGCCCTGGGCTACAAAGGTTCTCCTCCACTGATAGCTTCTCTCCTCACGGTCAGCCATGTCCAACACCCACCTGGGCTGATCTGTTTTCTCATCCGAGCAGGCGATGGTGCAGTTGTCCAGCATGGTGTGACCCGAGATATCCAGAGAAGTCAGGTTGCTCAGATTCTCCACAAAGAGGTTCAGGACTTTGCGGGTCAGCTTGAACTTGTAATAACTGGACAGGCAGTCTCGGGAGATGTCTAAATGTCTGAAGGCAAACGGGAGATGGAGATTCTCAGCTCTTGGGGGTCTCAAAGGTGTTTTTCCAAAAAGAAAACAATTGGACTTTCTCGTTTTCCCTTGAACACATTTCTCCTTCTCACCCAGAAGCTTCTTCATAATTGAAGAACTGAAGAACTTCTGAAGAAGTGAAGAAACGAAGCTTCTGAAGAACTGAAGAAGCTGCTTGTTTGAGAAGCGAAATGTCTTCAAGGAAAAACAAAGGAATTCCAACTATCTTTTGAAAAAGCCCTTTTGGAAGGAGTCGTGTTTTCCAATTTAGGTGTTTATTAAATGGCGCAAGCTTTCGCGTATCTTTTCTGGCCCACAAAGCTTAATAGTTACGTACTAAACTCTGTCTGATTTTGGGTTATTGTAGACCAACGAGGAAGAATGCAAAGTCATAAAATTTGCATGTGAGCCATAAAGTTATTTTTTACTGGAAATTCTTATCTAAAGATCTTGTTTCATTTTGTGGCGCTTATCAGTTCCTGGTTTATTCAAGTTTTATTTTTCACTGTCTCCTTCTTCTTGCTCTTTCTCTCCTCCCCTACCTCAAGAACTTTTCATGGAAAAGCAGCGACGTCTTTCCAAAAGACTCACCTGAGCTTCCGCAGCTGGGCTATCACCTGAATGTGCTCCTCGGAGAGATCCATGTTGTACAGCACTAAGGAGGCGAGGCTGTCCTTCCACTGGGTCAGGAAGTGGATGTCGTTCAGCTGGATCCCGGAGAGATCCAGGGCGGTGAGGGAGGCCAGCGGCCGCAGGAGGCTTTCCACGTTGATCCCTTCAATCATCCGGCCCAGGTTGAGGAAACGCAGCCGCTGGAAGCCTTCAAAAGTGAAGTCCTTCACCAAGACCTGCCGGGTGGGGTTGAAGTCATCCTCGCAGCCGCCTGGGTTCTCCTCTTCGTAGAAAAAGTTGGTGCAGCCAAAGAGGCTGAGCGAGACCAGGGTGGGGCTGAAGCTGCCCAGCGTCTGCAGGCTCTTAGCCGTCAGCTTCTCACAGTTGGTCAAGAACAGCTCCACGAGGTCCTGCAAGTCAAGCAGGGGAGGGAGGGCTGTAAATGGAACGTGCGGAGGACCTTGGGGGATGAAGGGAAGAACTGCTGCCTTACCTAGGCTCAAGCCAAGCCTTAAGCAGGTGTCAAGTCCCAGTCTAGGGTTTGAAAGAAGCATGCCTAGAGAATCTAGATCCATGCCCACCAACTCTGGCAGGGCAAGCCACTTGTATATAAACAGAGAGCAAACCCTAGTCTCTTCTAGCATGGATGAAGTTCCCTAGTTGGGTTATGAAACGTCTGCAAGAAAACCATGAAGCTCAGGGAGCACCAAGGACCCCTCAGGCCTCCTTTTCCTCTCCCCTTCCCCTCTGGCACCGATGATGTTCCCTACTTTGATAATGAACCATCGTCAAGAAAACCAGCAAGCTCAGAGAGCACCAAGGACCCCACAAATACAATCTTCAGGTTCCCTCCTGGTTTCTAATCACTGGAAGCCAATGTTCTCAATTTGGGCATGCTTGGCAACCAGAAGGGGTGCCAACAGACTCCTGATGTGACCTGCAGATTCACAAAAAAGTGCGGGCCCTTACTTGCTTCCGAATGGCTTCCAGGTCTTGATCCTGGACAATGTCCTCTCGCAAGTGGATGCGGGCGAGCCGAGTGCTCCGAGGATCCGAAAAGAGACTAAAAAAGTTTTCATTGTGTTCAAACAAGGTGTCTGCGTTCACGAGGTCCACGTAGCTAGGAAAGAAAGAAACAGGCGTCAAGGCGGCGATGTGGGGTTATTTGCAATCCGAGTCCAACGGAAGCAGTTGGTGCAACCTAGAGAGAGAGAGATAAATATTTGTAACTTACTCATTGACCAGCCTGTCGCAGATCTCACTCGGAAGGAAGATGTCTGTGTGGAGGCGGAAAGTCTCGTTGTCCAACAGGTAGCATAGAGTCCCTTCAAGGTTGTGAAGACAATAATCTATGCACAAAGTCATCAGTGACTCTGGGCTGTCAGAAGCCATCTTGGGGCCGTGGAGGATGGGAAAAGGGGAAGGGAAAACGTGAGATCAACTTAGTGATTCCTCTTCTGGGGTCTTCCTGGAATGTCCGCCCAAAGAGATTTCTGAGTGGACTTTGAAGTGCGTTTCCAGGCAGCTACAGCAAAAGCAAAAAGAGAATAAATCAGCTCTTTTAAAATACAGGCAGTCCTCGACTTCCAACAGTTCATTTGGTGACTGAGGTAGCACCAAAAAAAGGGACTTAGGACCATTTTTCACACCTATGACCATCGCAGCATCCCCATCTGAGAAACATCCCACACATGATTACAACCACATGGCACAAACCAACTCAAGCTCTCCAAAACAGCTTAAGTAAACCAAAAGACCCAACAGCCCCAAAATGAAAAAAAAAAGGTCTCATTTACAACATACAATATAAGGACTGTAACAGCCAGTATGTAGGGCAGGCAGGCAGAAGGCTAGCAGATCACATCCATAAACACCAACTAGCAGTCATAAGAAATTATGCAAATTCCTTAATTTCACAACACATGGACTCAACCACAGTTTGATAACAGAAATTGCGAGCATTCTAGACCAAGCTGAATCCAAAAATTCTAGAGATTTCCTGGAAGACTGGCATTCAGAGAAATCATCTATCAAGAGGCACATAGAGATAAACCACATTTACACACCATTCAAAAGAGGCAATCGAGAAGCTAAGGAAACAAAAAGAGCAGAATTTATGCTCTCCAGCAAACAACAGCCAGATAAGCAGAGGTTAACACCAGACAAACAATCAAGCAGAAAACCTTAATCAGGGAAAATATCAAGGAGAAAACCACAGCCCTACCAACGCTAGCAGGCCAAGGTATTGCATATAAGCAGGGAGCCAAAACCACACTGAGCAGCACTGATGTTACCTAGGATAAAAAAAACAGGCCAACATCACAAGAGAATAACAAGGCAAGTTGTGCCAAATATAAACTCCAACATCTCAAAAGAGGATTTTGTGGATGATGCCCAACTAGGAAAAATATGAAATGCACAGAGGAATTCAACTTCTCCATCTAACCCAGTTTTCTTCTAACTTGGCAACAGAATAACAGACTTGGAAGGGACCTTGGAGGTCTTCTAGTCCAACCCCCTGCTCAGACAGGAAACCCTCTACTATTTCAGACAAATGGCTGTCCAGACTCTTCTTAAAAACCTTCAGCGATGGAGCATCCACAACTTCTGTTACTTGTTCTAACTGTCAGGAAATTTCTCCTTTAGGGAGAGGCTGGGAAGGCCAACACCCAGGATTTCCCATCCAGTTGAAAAACGCTGATCCAACTCATCTCACTGGGTTACTTTGCTTTGCAAGGCCCCCTTTGTTTTTATAAACATAGAAAGGTGTGTTTTTTAAACGTTGTTTTCCTCCTTGATGATCTGATCTCCCTTTTAAAAGACCTGCTCTTCAAGATTACTGCCATGGTCTCGGTTGGTTAAGATTCTGGAGAGGCAAAGCCACCTAAAGATCTTTAAAAGGGGTGGATCAGATTCAAGATCGACTGTCACTATTAAAAGATCTCACCAGATGATCCCAAAGGTGCTCCTTTTTTGTCTTTTTCCAAAAGGCAACTGGACTGAAAAGAAAATCCAGTTGCCTTTTGAAGGGGGAAACGCGTCTTTTCTGCACCTTTGGGGCAAGCATGAGAATCTCCCTGGAGATCCCACCAGATCCCTTCCAGCCCTGCCAGGAAGAGAGATCGGACCTGCTTCTCCTTCGGGCTCAGCCAAGCCGGGTAGCAGCAGGAGCCAGACTACAACTCCCATCCTCCTCCACAGAGCCAAGGAGACTTTCCACTCCTCCCGTGATCCCGGGGGCGCCAGGCTGGGGAAGCCGGGGGGGCAGCACGCGCAGGGAGGGGGGCGAGGAGGAGGAGGGGCGGGGACGGGCTTCTATCCCCTCCGGCGCCTGTCAAGGGGGAGCCCGGGGGCGCCTGGCGCTGCGGCGACGCCTCTGCCCCCCCCAACCGGCAGCGTCCTCCCCACTCACCGGACTCCCCGCCTGGCTGGGGGGGAAGGGGGGAACAAAGCTCCCCCTCGCAGCTGGTTCCGGTTCCGGCGCGGAGAGAGCGCAGTCCCCACCGGGGTCCGATCTCCCCGTTCTTTTCGCTGGCGCTCGCATTGGCAGCGGCCGCCGCTGTCAACAAATCCTCACGTCACTTCCGGCGGCCGTGCCTTCTACCGGCCTCGGGGGTGCAGCGAGAAACGCTTTCCTCCCCCTCCCCCCGGAAACAGAGGCGGGCGGCGGGGAGTTCCGCCGCGCTTCCTCGCCAAGCAGCCCACCTCGCTTCCTTGTGAGTTGGGGAGTGTGGCTGATGGGGGTTGTAGTACAACCCCTCCAGTTGCCATGGAAGGAGCTCAGGTGCTGTTGAGAGAAAAGTACCACAGGGAAGGAAGGCAGTCCCAGGACTGTGGTAGGGGCTTCTTAAGGGGAGGGGGGGTTTCTCAGAAGCCTTTCGGGCTTTGAAGGACAGCCCCAGCAGTTTAGGGCGGGGGGTGAGCAGAAACGACCGTCTACCTTAGACGGCTGCATTTTGCACCAATGGCCACGTCTGAGCAGCCTTCAAGGGAAGCCCTGCCTAAAGTGCCTTGCAGTAGTCCAGATAACTTCTGTTTGATCCTGTTTGACGAGAGTTTCTTCAAGCGTTTCCTCCTTCAAATGCTAGAAGGGTGTATTTTGGGCAGCAAAACCGTCCTAGAGGCAGGCAGACAGAATGGATAGATAGAAGACATGGATAGAACAGATGGATGGATAGATAGCTGCCTATACAGAAGACATGGACGAGAGAGAGAGAGAGAGAGAGAAACACACACAGACAGAGAGAGCGCAATCTCTTACACGCATCTACATATATACAAGATGTACACACCCAAACATGTATATATTTAGCCATCTGATATTTTATTCATTTATCAAATTTTTACACTATCTCACCTAAGTGACTTTGGGAGTGTTTAAAAACCATAGTTAAAACCATAGTTAAAAACACTATACTAATCTAGATTTTTGTTTTGGTTATTTTTGCTCTCCTGGATTTTGCATTGCATTTGTTAATGCTGTAAATGTCTTAGCCAATGACAATATTTTGCATATTTGCCTCTGGGGCATTTAATGAATAATGTACAGTATAGTGTTACATTATTCTAACAATGGAATGATCAGCATTAGTAGGCTTTACCTATATTCCTAGATAGCGTACAAAAAACAATGAAAACAGAGCCTGCAGCCATATTAATTATTTATGGTTAATATTATGCATATGAAGTATAATGTATAATTAATATATAAATTGTTATGTATCTTATACAATATGTAAATTGGAAATTGCTTTCCTTGTTGCTCAAAGAAGATGCTAGATCAAAGATCACGGGGATCAGGGAGGATGCTCATTCCCTCTTAACAGTGACCCCCAAATATAGTTCTTCATCATGGGTGTCTAGACTCCTTATCCCATTAGTCCCACCCAAAACAAAATGCCTCTTTTTGTTTCATTATTAGCCCTTATTCCTCTTCCAATAAAAGCTTGTAATATTTTAGGAGGATTCACTAGAAAAGAGACGAGGCTGGCTGTGGAGCATAAGCAATGGAATCCAGCCCCCCCTCCCAAGCTACTAGGAACTTTGCTGGCTGTGGAGCATGGGCCTGGAGCCCTGGCTACCAAGTAAAAAAGACTGCTGGCTTGGAGCATAGGCATCAGAGTCCAGGTTCCCCCTCCCCAGATTGTGGGGCTGTGGAGCATGGGCAACGAAGCCCAGACTCCCCCTCCGCGCCCCCGATTGTGGAGCGTAGGCTTCCCACAGGTCAGCTTTGGCCCATGGGCTCTGGAGTCCCGGCCGCCGGCCAGGGAGGAGGGAGGGCGGGGAAGGAGGGGAGGCAGGGCGAGCCGCAAGCCGGGCCGGCGGGCAGCCGAGCTCCGCCTCCGTCTCCGCCATTTAGTCTCCCGGCGGCGCGCCGGAGCGCCCGGGAGAAGCGGCGAGAGGGTCCGGGCTGGTCCCCGCGGGGCCCGCATCATGTCGCGCCTGCACCGGAGCAGGTAAGCAGCCCCGGAGGGGGCGCGAAAGGGGACCCCCGGCCCGCGTTTTCCCCGCGCGAGCCTTGCAAAAGTTCCCGGGGTTGCATCGCCCCCCGTTCCCATTTGGGGCTGGGGGTGAAGGGAAAGGGGCTTTGCGCCCCGGGGGCGAAACACGCCTTTGGGGCAGATGCCGAAGACTCTGGGAGACCCGCGTTCTCTGGGCGGCTTCCCTCTCTCTGGAACTGAGCCGCTTTTCCCCTTGCCCGGGGCGATGCTTTCCTTCCCGCTTGGAGCACCCGGGCGCGATTCTGTAAAGGCGCTTTGACAATCCCCTGTGTGTTGTGTGTTTGTGTGTTTGTGTGCATGCGAAGGCTGTTGAGAAGCGGTCCAACGACCGGCTCGGGTTTCTTTTGTTCTTTCTCCCATCCTTGTGTTGTTCTTCCTTTTCTGCTTCTTTGCCCAACTAAAAGCAACAATGAAACAAAGAAAAAATAAAGGAAGCTTTTTCAGGTCTCCAAAGGCCATTCGGTACTGTTTTCCCCATTTTTCCGAAATTAAATCTTTGCTACTCCTGAATTTATTACAGTTGTAGAACGAACTGGTAGGACTGTTAATGGTGTGGTGGGTACGGTCCAGCTCTTTGCTGATTGTTTTGAAAACACATACAAAATAGTCCTAACATAAACAAGACCAGGATTGTTTCCTTTCCAAATTTCCCTGTTTCTGGCTGGGAGGGGGAGTTGGCTTGCTAGCTGTGGAAGTTACCGACTGTGGATTTTCCCCTCTTGAACAAAAATAATCTGGAATAAAAGAGGCTTTTATATGGATTGTTATTAATGAACGTTAATGAAACATCTCCAATTTACGGAACAAAATCCATAGTCAACTGAAGGAAAGGTGGATCCATTTTTACCGTAGAAAACTGAATTTTTAGCACAGGAATGCTCTTGCCTTTGGGTGCTCCTTAAAAAGTAAATTTGTATTTGGCCAAAGTTTTAAGAGGGCCGAAGAGCCAGAATGTAACTTTTGAGTTCAGGCAGGGGAAAATGGCTATTTTTGTCCAGCTATTCTTCATGTGGCCGTTTAAGGATTTTAAACATCTAGGATAGCTTTTTTCCAACCAGGTGTTATTCAGATGTGCTGCCACATTATTTATTTAGTGATCGAAGTTAGAACGGCATTGAAAAAAGTGACTTATGACCATTTTTCACACTTATGACCGTTGCAGCATCCCCATAGTCATGTGATCAAAATTCGGACACTTGACAACTGACTCACATTTATGACGGTTGCAGTGTCACATGATCCCCTTTCGCGACCTTCTGACAAGCAAGGTCCATGGGGAAGACTGAGTCATTTAACAACCATGTTACTAACTGAACAACTGAAGGCAAAACTCACTTAACAAATGTCCCACTTAGCAACAGAAATTTTGGGCTCAATTGTGGTCTTATGTTGAGGACTACCTGTGCAGATCTGGGGAGGCATTGAAATTGTTGCAGCTATTGCTGATAACAAAATTCAGGCTCCCTTTTGCGCTTAAACATGGTTTAAGCTCAGATAAAAGCCCTTATCAGAATGCTGCGGTTTTTCAGTTAGCCTCCATGTGGCCTGGGGGGGAGGAATACAAATAACGTTGCACAGTGTTGTGTTTGTGGCTTCTGGGCTTTATCCTATCCTGAATGGAGACTGAAAGAAACTTTATATGCATTTAGCTAAAGCCCCAACAAAGTGCTCTGCCTCATAATGTTTCACCCGCCTGCAGGTCCCAGGTTGCTTTAGGCAACACAGAACCTTTTGTGGTTTCAGAGTGTGTCTCTCTGTGTGTGGTGTGTGCTAACAGCTTTGTCTGGGTTGTGTTTCCTGCAGAATTGCAGAATTTGAAGACATTCTGAATGAGCCCAACATTGTGCTGCAAAAGCTGCGGAAATTTTGTTTCAACGGTAAGCTCAGTCTGGCAAAATTTGCACAGAAAGCTGGTTAAGAGATACCAGTTTCCACTGAGAAAAGTTACATAAAATCATAGGGCTGGAAGGGACCCTGGAGGTCTTCTAGTCCAACCCCCTACTCAAGGCAGGAACCCTATACTATTCCAGTGAAATGGGCTGTCCAGTTTCTTCTGAAAGTCCTTAAAAATCCTCCAGTAATGGAGCAACTTCTGGAGGCAAGCCATTCCATTGATTAATTGTTCTCACCGGTAGGAAATTTCCCAGCAGATGATGGAAAGGAGGAGGAGGATAATGATGGGGGAGGAAGAGGGGAGGAGGAGGAGAAGAAGGATGAGGAAGAGGGGGAGGAGAAGGAGAAGGGGGAGGACCTTGCTGGATTATGTACCTGTCCCATCTTGTCTGGCCATCTGTCCTCACAATGGTCACCAACTGCCCACTCAGCAGGTGGCCTCCAGAAGTAGCCTCACTGCTCTTCATCCCAGGTATCCATAAATTGATCCAGCCTTTGCTTGAGGCCAGCACCGCATGTCGAGGTAGCCAATCCCGAAGCTGAATTATGTGCTGCGTTAAAAATAGGCCCTCTTTGGCCTGTCCTGGTTCTCCCAAGATTTCCTTCCTCTGGGTGGCCTCCGATTCTAGTATTTTGAGCAGGGGAGAACAGCGTCTAATTGTCCACTTCATCCACACCGTGGATAATTTTGTGTGCTTCTGAACCTCCCTCAGCAACTGCCAATAAAACGTCCATCTCGCCTCTTAATCCTTCTGCCACGTTGGAAGGGGCTCCATTTAATCACCCGACTCTTCTCTTCCATAGGAATTCCCTTTGAAGGCGGTTTGCGCTGTCTCTGTTGGAAGGTAAGCGCCTCCCGATCAAAGAGCATCGCTCCACCTGCTCATTTTATTCCCTTTTGCATTGCTGTATTTAAATGTGTTTCATTATACAGGCAGTTCTTGACTGACAACCATTTGTTTAGGGACTATTTGGGAAATTTCTGTCGCTAAGCGAGGCAGTTGTTTTGCCCCATTTTATGACATTTCTAGCAACTCTCCTAGGTACATGCCAGTTGCCAAGCATCTGAACTTTTGATCAGGTGACCACAGGGACGCTGCAATGATCGTTAGTGTGAAAAACTATCATAAATCACTTTTTCGGTGCCTTTAATGCCTTTGGTCACTAAAGGAATGATTGCAATTTGAGGACTATCTGTGTTAAATGAAGAAGGGTTAACGGTTGGGGGTTGGGAAAGTCTGGTTAGCAAATTGAGGAGCTCAGAATACATTTTCCCCCCTAATTCAAATCCTTTTTCCTGTTTGCCTTTTGCAGATCCTCTTAAACTACCTTCCTGTGGAAAGGTGTGCTTGGAATTCCCAACTGAAAAAGCAAAGGTGTGTTGAACCATTGGCACTCTCTCCATCTTTCCTTCTTGGCATAGAGAATAAGAACATTCCTGTGGGAGAAAGGTGGGCAGAAGCAGGAGTCAAGAGAGGAATCAGCCTGGAGTCGTTACGTGGCTGCCAACGATTTTAAGTCCGAGCTCTCTTGCAGTTAAAAAAGCCAACACAGTCCTAGGCTGCATTAACAGGGGGATAGAATCAAGATTACATGAAGTGTTAGTGCCTCTTTATAATGCCTTGATAAGACCACACCTGGAATATTGCATCCAGTTTTGGTCGCCATGATAAAAAAAAGATGTTGAGACTCTGGAAAGAATCAGAGAAGAAAGAGTAACAAAGATGACTTGGGGGACTGGAGGCTAAAACATATGAAGAATAGTTGCAGGAATTGGGTATGGCCAGTCTAGAAAAACGAAGAACCAGGGGAGATATGATCGCAGTCTTCCAATAATATTTGAGGGGCTGCCACAAAGGAGAATGGGGTCAACTTTTTTTCCTATTCTCCTTTGGATCAACTAGCTGTTTAAAATTAAATTTATTTTAAAATTAATTAAAATTAACTAATTTTAACTTAATTACTTAAAAGCTTGCATGTCCATCTGGATCGTTTTAATGAGTTTTAAGAAAGGTGAAACAAAGGAGATTTGTTACACGGTCACTGAGAGTTGAGGGTGATTTGACCCCCCCCCCATAATCAATTAATCAATGAAAAGCATTTCCTTCCTGTAGATTTAAAATTTCTTTTCCTCATAGATTAACTAAACTGCAGGGCTGATGACTCAACAGAAGCTCTGCTAACACTTCCTGTCCATTTTTTAAAACATTAAGTCAGCGTTTTTCAACCTTGGTGATTGTAAGATGGGTGGACTTCAATTCCCCAAATGCTGGCTGTGAAGTTCTGGGAACTGAAATCTACCCACCTTACAGTCACCAAGGTTGACTAAGTTGGAAAAATTATGCATATATGACTTAGAGTAGAAAATGTGAATGTATAATTTGAGATGTATTTAGAAAGGCGATTAAAGGCAATGTTCAATCAGCTGGACACTGTTGCGGCAAATTTATTTCCGCATTGCTGCTTGAGGTGTTTGGGGTAGAAAGCCAAATGGTTACACTGACTATTTTTGAGTCTGTGAAGGCGGTGCTTTGTGGGGGCTAAAGAAATTACATCAAAAATTTAAAACTGGGGTTGTGTTCCTAATTATTCTGCCTGACCAGATTGGTAGATGCTGCTTCTGAATAGCCAGCAATGGCCTTTTCCAATAGAAATCAATGGAAAGCCGTTGCAATGGAGTGCTTTAAAAGCAGAGATCAAATCGCAAATTGGTCGTGCTCCTTAATAATGCATGGAACTGCATAACTATCGGTGTATTTTTGTATGTTCCCTGGAAAATCACTTTAAGGCAACCAGCCTTTGTTGTATTTGCGGGGAAAAAAAAAAGGTCTCTGGAAATCTTTCAAGGAATCTGAGGGAAGAGATATGTCCAATATGTACACCGAAATAATTTCAGGTTTGATAAGTCCAAGGCTCTAGATTTGATTTTGCGCTAAAGCTCAGGATGAAGCTTCATATAACTTCTGAAATGTGGGTGTGATAAACGCATCCCGTATTGTGTCCCAGTGTTCTGGCTCGGGGGGGGGGGGGGCTGCTTCCCACAATGTGCTAACACAGAGTGATCAGTATGTCAAAGCAAGAATATACAGTATTTGCCTGAAAGTTCTTTGAAGTGCTTCATTAGTCGGAACCTGTGACATCGTGACCATTTTAGCCTACTGTAGCATGTTGTGTGAATCTAACCAATTCATGCCATTTCTCTCTCCTTCCTTCCTTCCTCCCTCCCTCCCTCCCTCCTTTCTTCCCCTTCTCTTCCTCCCTCCCTCCCTCCCTTTTTGTTGGGTGTGTTTCAAACAAGGCGGCTGTGTGTCTTATGTTAAACAATATTCAGCTCTGCTTGCTTTTGAAAAAACCTAGCAGTGCCGATGGAAATCGAGTGCAAAGCCTGTTCCTAATATGTGCTTCTTTTTGAACTGTCTTCTCCTGCATCATCTCTTCGAAGGGAGTTATATGCCCAGTTCTTGAAGGAAATGATTATCCAGCCAGGAATAACGAAAGCTGAACTTGGAGTCTTCAGGGAAGATGTTACCTTGGAAGACCACGTAAGCCATTTTCTTCTAATTGTGGATATTTCAGTTGGGGGTTTAGGATCACCTCACAGGGTTGTTGTTCTGGGGAAAATTGGAGGAGAAAGGCATGTAGGAGATATTTGCCCCCTTGAGTTATTTGTAAGAATAATAAAGTTAGGATATAAGTAAAAAAATAAATAAAACAAAATCTGCATTTCTGCTCTCATCTTGGCTTTGAGTGCATTTTCTCTTCAAATCTCTCTCTTCAAAGCCGCTGAATCCAAACCCCAACAGCCAGTGGAACGCCTACTTCAAGGACAACGAGGTCCTGTTACAAATCGACAAGGATGTCCGGTAGGTCAAGAAGGCCGAGTCGCCCTTCGTCTTCGCTCAAGCCCCTGTTTCAGAAATAACCAACACTCCATTGGCAGGATCTTGGTGGCTTCATCTGCAGTAAACCATGATTTATAATAAACTTGTTAGTCCCAAACTGGGGTTTCCTTGAACCATGGCTGTCAGCTCCAGTAGAGAAGAACATTTTGGGGATGGCTTCAGAGCTTTCCTCTCTTAAAGCAACTGCAGCAGCTTCTCCGGCGTTGTGACAGGCACACTTTGAGAAACTTGGTTTTTTTTCCCCCCCGTAGACGACTGTATCCCGATATGGCTTTCTTCCAGCGCCCCACAGAGTATCCCTGTCTGTTGATCCTCGACCCCCAGAACGAATTTGAGACCCTTCGCAAGCGGGTGGAACAGACCACCCTCAAATCGCAGACAGTGGCACGGAACCGGAGCGGGGTCACTAACGTAAGAGGATACTCTAGTCTCTTCTTAAAAATCTCCAGTGATGGAGCGCCCACGATTTCTGGTGGCAAGCCATTCCACTGGTTGATTGTCCTCCCTGTCAGGAACTTTCTCCTTAGTTCCAGGTTGCTTCTCTCCTTGATCAGTTTCCAGCCATTGTTTCCCGTCCTTCCCTCTGGTGCTTTGGTGATGTTGGGGCCCCATTTTTTTCTGACCTTGCAGGTGAGCTCCCCTCTGAAAGCACCGGTGCTGAACGAACACGAGGTTCTGCCCGATGGCTCAGAAGCACATTGGGAAGTTGTAGAACGGATCCTCTTCATCTACGCCAAGCTGAACCCCGGAATTGCCTACGTCCAAGGGATGAATGAAATTGTGGGGCCCCTTTATTACACCTTTGCAACAGACCCCAACAGCGAGTGGAAAAGTAAACAGGGTGGGGATGTTCCTGCCGCGTTGGTGTCTGGTTGATCTCCCTGGATGGAGCTGACGGTGTCCCTTTTCACGCACAGAGCACGCCGAGGCGGATACTTTCTTCTGCTTTACCAACCTCATGTCTGAGATCAGGGACAACTTCATCAAGAGCCTGGATGACTCCCAGTGTGGGATCACCTGCAAGATGGAGAAGGTCTACGTCATCCTGAAAGAGAAAGACGGGGAGCTCTACCTGAAGCTGGTGAGAAGTTTGCAGCTTGAGTCTGGCCCTTTGGGGAACCTAAAGGGAAGGTCCATCGTAGTCAACTGAATCAGGAATGTCCACCACTTAGACCAACTTCGTGGAGCTCAAGGCTCATGGAGAGGCATAAATCTGTTCAGGCAGATGGCCCAAAGCCACCCATCTAAGGCAGGTCTAGAACTCACCGTCTCCTGGCGATTGGCCCAGAGTCACCCAACCGGTTTTCATGCCTAAGGCGGGACTAGAACTCGCTGTCTCCTGGCGATTGGCCCAAAGACACCGAGCTGGTTTCATGCCTAAAGTGGGACTAGAACTCATAATCTCCTGCTTTCTAGCCTGAAGCCTTGACCACTAGACTAGACCACACTGTCTCTCATTTTAGGTGTGATACTTAACAAACGGCAATATTAACAATTCAGCTATTCCTATTTCAGGAAATTCTGCAGCCCAGCTGAAATGTTCAGTGAGGTTTGCTCCCCTGGGATTGCAGGAGGGCTCAGATTTCTATGGGGCTTCTAGGCGTTCAGTTAGGACCCACATCTAAGAGGAGCTTCTGAAGCGAAGAGGATCTTTCCCTTCTATTTCAGTGGGCAGAGACTGAATGTTAGGAGGTCCGTTCGTGGTGCCCCCGTCTGCTTCGTTGTTGAACATCTTTTTTATCTTCAAGAAGAAGAGGAAGGAAGTGCTACCGATTGAAAACCACAAGCTTCCTTTCGGGTGATAAAGTGGTTGAATAAATTAAGAGGCCTGGGTCTAATCCACGGATCCTTGCTGAGGACAAGCTGCCTTGCCATTTGTGAGAAAACTTTATTTCCAGACAGTGCCCAGTTTGATCTGTTTAGGGCGCCAGGCCAGAAAGTGGGAGATTGTGAGTTCTAGTCCTGCCTTAGCCATGAAAGCTAGCTGGATGACTTAGAACCAATCACCAGGAGACGGCGAGTTCTAGTCCCACCTTAGGCATGACAGCTGACTGGGTGACCTATATATAATTTTATTATTACTAAAAGGATGTCTTTGATACTTTCTTTTTCTTGCCCACATTTTCTGCCGCAGACTGTGTCAATATTCTATTTTCTCCTTCCAGCAAGAGCAAAACATCAAGCCCCAGTTCTTTGCTTTCCGCTGGCTAACCCTCCTGCTCTCTCAGGAGTTCCTGTTGCCCGATGTCATTCGCATCTGGGACTCCCTCTTCGCTGACGACAATCGCTTCGACTTCCTCCTGCTGGTCTGCTGCGCCATGTTGACGTGAGTTGTAATCCGCACATTTTAAAGAACTTTTTTCATTTCTGCTCTTGGATTGTCCATGCTCGACCCCTTTCCTGTTGGATCCGGGCTAAGTCCATTTTTTCCCCTGTCATGTTATCCCTACAGGCTCATTCGAGATCAACTGCTGGGAGGGGATTTTACTGTAAATATGCGGCATTTGCAGGTAAAGAGGAAAGGCCAAGTATTTTTCTTCCTGGCTAAGAACAGCCTCAGCCACAACTCTGTAACTTTGAATGATTGCTAAAGGAATGGTTGTAAGTCAAGGGCTACCTAAAAGTCCAGGGGGACAAGGATCCTAGTGGTCACCTGTGGATCTGAGGCTGTCCAGGGCTTGGGATCAGTGTCTGTAAGTGGTTCTCCCCTCTTGAAGAACGGGTGGCCTGCAATTGTAAGGATTCCTCCCTCATTCAGCGCCTGCGTTATTCCTTTTCCATGCAGGACTATCCTATCTCTGATGTCCACCTGATTCTGAAGACAGCCAAGGATCTTCAGGACTCTAAGCAGGTGTGATGCCGCTTCTCTCCTCTGGGTAGGACCTCGGAAGTAAGTCCTGAGGAAGCCATGTTTAGGTTGCCCAGGATCCAGTTCTTCTCTTCCAAAATCTCCCCCACCAGGAATGACTCCTCCTTGCCACATCTTTTGGGCAAGGGACTCTTAAGGAGATGAGCCACAGGGCATTTCTTCAAAGGGTCCAGAAATGGTCCAGAAGCAGGACCCACCTGGAATTTGACTTGATGGGAAAGAACCAACCTTTCGGGGGAACCTCTTCTCTAAGAGACCACCAAAACCAGCTTCTGTATCATCGTTTGGGGATAGGTTCTTCCCAGCTCTCCATTCAGACACCAAGATCTTCAGCCTTCTTTGCAAGATTCCTTCCTTCTTTCTTTGGAGGCCAGCTTTTCTTGGAAGCGTAAAAAAAAAAAAAAAAAAAAATTGGAACGATGCTGGAAATGTCTTCTTACCCACTGCCTTAGAGTGAACCTATTTCCTCCTTTGCTGAAACACGGTGGGGATGTTCAAATGCAGAACAACATTCTCCTTGCTGAGCTTAAGAGTTTCAATTGTCACCCTGTTGCGTTTTCCTACTGCGTGTGATCTTTCAGTGATCTGCAATGAATTATAAATTATCCTCCCCAAAAAGTGGTAAAAGCCTATCCTTGCCCATAAATGCCTCCAATAAAAGGTTTCCTGTGAGCCAAAATAACTGATAATTTAGGGATTGAAGATTTCTTCTTGGTCTGCTAGTTTTCTGCTTGCAGGGAAATCCCCCTCTCCAATGAACATTGGCGCAGAGGGATTATTCTAACAATGAAAAAATAATTTTGGTTGTTTTCAGAATTCTACCATGTTAATAACGTGCTATTCTGGATTAGTTTGAATTCCCAAAAGCTAATTAGGTTCTTGTGACAATTGAAGTGGCTTTCTTTTCCTCTAGTTAAATTCAATGTAATGTGTGTGACTTGTTAATTAGCTACTTTGTTTTTTTTTGAGGGACCCCGTTACCTTGAATGTAAGGTCGAAATTAGAGGTATGATGTAGCTGAGCAAAGCAAGTTTGTTTTCTTTCCGGGTTTCAATGCCAATCGGAGAATTTTCCTTTTAAAATGGTTTTCAAACAGCCCTGCAGATGTCAACCTTCATGTTGTGTTTAAAGAGGATTTAAAACAAGAAGTCTGCTTTTTTCAAGAAGGATGTGGAAAAGGTCATTTCCTCCCTTCCTGCTTCCATTCCTGATTTTGCAACAGAAAATATCCCGATTGTCCATTTTATGGCTTTTTGGATAATGCACGATGGAACCAGAAACCAGGAGATGGAATCAAAGCATTTCTACATTTAAAAGTCAGTAAGCTGTAATCCTAATGGAAACTCACTGCAGAAAACACATGTTTGCTTTATTACCAAAGGAAGACAATTAGCAAGAGCCATGGAGTTTCAAAGCTGGTATTCCATAGTTCTTCCCTTATTATCCTGAGGTAGGGAAATTGTTCTGTATTAAGGAATATGCTGGGCACTTTTGAAGGCTGCTTGAAAATTAGCCTTACAGCTTTTATACAGCGTAATCACTGCCAAATCCTGTAGCTTAAGTTTCCTGCCTCCTTCCGCGGAAGAAACCGAAAAAGTCACAAAAATGCAAAACTTGCACGAAGAATGAAATAGCCACTTAGCAGTCGACATTTCCAGTAGAAAGGAGAAAAAGAAGACTTGTAAAAAATACATAAAAATTGCTCTTCTCCCAAAATACAGATTGGGTTTCTTGCAAGACACCTCCCAACCATTTTTTTTTTCATATTTTCCTGGATAATTGTCTTTTTGTTCTTTTTAATTTTGATGACAAGACTCCTATTGGACATGATGTGTGATACAGAGCAGCTGGTTTTTGCGTGACCTAAAAATCATTCTCTGTTGGTTGAATTGAATGTAAAAAAATGTTCAGATTATGATATTTAAAATATCATGTTGCAACGAAGGGACAAAAATATATCTCTGTGAGTGTCTGTGCATAAAAATTCCAGTTTCTTGCATATGGGTGTAGCATATAACGTATGTCAAGATTTTTACACACCCATGCACACAATCCCACAAAACTGCTTAGAACCATTGAGCCTATTGTTAACTTCCAAGTTCAGTGTGTAAAAATGCTTTGTAAATCTCTTCAACTATGCTGTACGCAAAGGGAGAAATACTTTTGTTTTTCTTTGCAGATATAATAGAGCAGATCAACTCAGTTTGCTGCCATTTTATTTTGCTGTCCCCCTGCCAAATCTTGCTTTCGCTGTTTAATTTGTACATATTCCACTACTTTCCGAAATAGCTTTTTTATTTCTACTGGCTAAATGAAATTGGCTACCCAGTTTGAACATCAGTTGTAAAATCATGTAAAAAGAATTGATGGGGAAAAGATAGAATAAGGTTAAAAAAAATTGCCTGAGAAGTATGTAGTAATAGGAAAGAAGAACTTTGACTCAAGAGGGAGTTCACAAGTGTATAATTTGTACAGGAAATTCTCTACAACTCTTTGTCGATCTGTATTTTTTTTTAATTCTATTTTTTCTGAAGAGCAGAAATATTTGTTTTTTAAAGATCGAGTAGAGAGCAGTTGCCAATATGAAACAGGGTATTTTGTGTTTTGCTTTTCAATTCATTTGGCAACACCGTCTGTTAGCAAGCAAATCCGGATTCAAGATATTTGCCCTGATTTTTGTGCAGGATATAAATAAAGTTTTTATTGTCTTCCTTGCACATTGTGTCATCTTTTGGTCTTGAAATTATGTAAGCAAAACATGGCTCCAATAAAAGATGTATCTTAAATAGGGAAGAGTCTCTAAACCGCAGTCCCTTTAAGATGCATGGACTTCAACTCCCAAAATTCCCCAGCTATGTTGGCTGGGGAATTCTGGGAGTTGAAGTCCACGCATCTTAAAGCTGCCATGGATTAACAGGAGCTGGTTGCAATCAAAGGTGGCTTAGCCTTAAGACCTATTTCCCAAATCCCTCGAACTTTAAATATCTTCAAGGACAGAGAGAGGATGCGAAAGTGCGGGCAATGCGGAAGCTTCTTAAAAGGGCAATGCCCGGTTCATGTGGCCACTTTTTACTAGCTTTCTTCCCATCACAACAGCCTCATGAGGTAGGCTCAGAAGGATCATTAACATCGGGTGGGGAGGGGATTTTCAGCTGGATCATCCGGCGCTGCCAAATTTTTGCCACATCGTAGGTCCAAACCCCCCCTTGGCTCGGCGCCATCGCCTCTTTAAGAAGCGGCGAGAAAACTTCCTTGTATTCACTTTCCCTTCTTCCGGTGTTCCATTCCTTTGATCCCGGCGCGTTCCATCCGGAAGCGCCTCTGCGGACGGGATGCGGCGCTGGTGGTGCAACCTGGCGCCCGCGGCGACCTCGCTGGCCCTCGGGCTGGGCGTGGGCGCGGTCTGGGCCGGGGGGCAGAGCCGGGGCTCGCCGTCCGCGGAGGGGCTGCTGGCGCGGCTGCCCGTCGTGCCGGTGGCGGCGGCGTCCTCCTTGGAGGTGGCCCGGGGCGGGAGCGGCGAGCTGGCCAAGTACGGCCTGCCGGGGCTGTCGCAGCTGCGGAGCCGCGAATCCTACGTGCTGTGCTACGACCCGCGAGCCCGGAGCGCCCTCTGGGTGGTGGAGCGGCTGGAGGCGGCGACCCTGCGCGGCTCCTCGGAGCGGGCCGCCTGCGACTTCCGCGAGGACGACTCGGTTCACCCCTATCACCGCGCCAGCAACGCGGATTACCGGGGCAGCGGCTTCGACCGAGGCCACCTGGCCGCTGCCGCCAATCACAAGTGGAGCCAGAAAGCCATGGGGGACACCTTCTACCTGAGCAACATCGCCCCGCAGGTGAGCCGGGATGGGGTGGGAACAGATGGATGCCCTCCCGAACCCCAGGCGGAGTCAGGGAGCAGTTCCTCCCTTGATTTACTAGGGTTTGGCAGTTTCTCAGCATCCTGCTAAGAAGTGATTTTAAGTCTGTTTAATGGTAATCCTCGACTTTTATGTCACCTTTTTCAGTGCCATTGTAACTTCGGTCACTGAATGGTTATAAGTCGAGGACACCCTAGTATATTTTTGAATTTTTAACATTTTATCTTCCCTCTAACCTGGTGGCTTTAACTTTCTAGAATCCTCATTTAAATCAAAACGCCTGGAATAACTTGGAAAAATATTGTCGAAGTTTAACAAAGACTCATCAGAATGTTTATGTCTGCACCGGCCCTCTTTTCCTACCCAGGTACCTGTTCCTCAGTTTCCCCTTTCTATCCTCTAGCAAGCCCGCCTGTCGCGTGATCCAAGGGAAAAGGCACTGTTATTTTGAATTTTTTACTATGAGGTTGAAAGATCCAAGCAGATCTTAAGGCAAGGTGTCTGTTTGCCATGGAATAGAAAAATTTGGGGTGCAAAATAAAATTCAATATTTTTGCAAAATCTGTGACGAGCTCAGCTTGCAGGGGTCTTTTATTGGCTGAATGTCATGGCAGAAAAATGATCCAGTGCCATTAAAGCGTGGCTGTGTCATCAAACATTTGCATTTGGGATGTATTATTTCTTTTTTGAAACTTAATCAGAAAAACATTTGAAAATTTGAAAGATCTTTAATCTCAAAAGAAAAAAAAAGAAGAAATTCGTTTTGTGGCCTTTGATATGCAAATTCATGCAGTGAGGACTAGAAACCTATGTAGCTTTTTGGGGTGGAATAGGAGTCCTTTGTAACAGTCCGTTCTCCCTGCAGGACGGAGCCGGATGGGAAGATGTACGTGAAGTACCAAGTGATCGGGCGGAATCACGTGGCCGTCCCCACCCACTTCTTCAAGGTGCTGATCCTGGAAAAGCCGAGCGGGGAGGTGGAGCTGCAGTCCTACGTCCTGCCCAACGCCCCCGTGGACGAGAAGACCCCCCTGCAGCGCTTCCTGGTCCCCATCGAGAGCATAGAGCGGTCATCCGGCCTCCTCTTTGTGCCCAACATCTTGAAAAAGACCAGCAAGTTGAAAGCAATCACTGCTGGGAGCGGCCCCTGAGGACCCCCGGCAGCGAGAGGCGTCCCTCAAAGCCCCTGAAGGCAGGCGGTCCTCGGCTGGCGATCCCAAACGAGCTGAAAGGTCCGTTGCTAAGCGAGACAGGGATTGAGTCCATTCTGCCCCATTTTACGACCTTCCTTGTCACAGTTAAGTGGATCGTTGCAGTTAAGTTAGTAACATGTGAAACTCTGGCTTCACAGAATCACTTAACGATCGATCGTGTGACTGACGACTGCAGTGGTTCACTTAAGGTCGTATAATGGGGCAAAACTCAACAAATGCCTCACTTAGCAATGCAGATTTTGGGCTCAACTGTAGTCGTTAAGTCGGGGACTTGGTTTTCCTAACCAAGCAGGCGGTGTAATAACTACTGGAGAACCGCTTGCGAAGAAGTAGGGGAAACGACTCCCATCCAAAGGGCTTTTAGTGCCGGAGCTTCCCAGTTTAGTTCCCAGAAACGGAAAGGATGCTTGGAGGACATCCGAGGAAGAAGAGGGCAGCTGAGACCAAATCAGCAAACATCAGAAGGATCTTCAGATGAAGAAAAGGAACGGACGTGGGAGAAGAACGCTGTTTCTTTTGCAAACGCCAAGAAGAACATTTCGTTCCCAGGAAACTTTTCAGGGGTGAATCGGCAAGGCGAAGGGGGGCTGGCCTCATCTCAGGGAAAGCAAGAGGCTGTTCCTTGCCCAAACTCAGGTTGAGTTTTGGGGCAGAGAGAAATAATGGATACCTTCGGATCTCTTTTGCAAATAAAATGAGACGAATCTCTCCGTGATGGCCTTGAAATTTTGTTTTCCAAAACCAGCTGCTCTGTCGTTCTGCCTTAAACACGGTCCTCAAGTTATGACTACAACAGGGACTTGGGGGGGGGAGGCACACAACCCCCTTCTCCCATTTATTTCTGCCAAGCACATGCTTTAAAAACAGATTGTTTTTTTCTCCAGCAGAGGCGATGAAACAGCATCTCCTCGTTCAGTATCAACCGCAGTTTTTGGTTCGAGCGAGGCGGTCGCAGGTCTCTCCATCGTTATATAAATAACTTTAAAAATGCCAACATGGAGAAAATGCAGACACGGCCCCTCCTGTTTTCAAAGGGGGCCCTTAAGGAGCTGCAGAATTCTGGGAGTTGAAGTCCACCCCTTGCCAAGTTGAAGAAGTTTGTCCTATGGTCCGTCTTAAGCCCCAGAAATTCACGGGCGTCGCCATCTTGGCTCCCAGGGTGCCCCAATTGGTGCATGCACTGGTTCTCCACCAAAAGATTATCCGAGCCCGTAAGAAAAGTGCCTTTACTTCTGCTCCTTCTCATTTGGCTACTGGGGGCTGATTCACGTCTGGAACTCGGCTCCCACTTCGTCCTTCCTTAGCCGCTGCGTCCATCTTGGGTCTCAGTGCCGAGAGAGAGACCAGGAGGGCTTCCTACAAAGGCATGGGAAAGAGCTGGAGTCAGCCACTGGATCAAAAGGATCGTTGCTTTCTCCTGCAATGGTGTCCCATAGGATCTGTCAAGGATCCAGAAACAGAGTAACAGGCAGTCTTCAAATTACAGCCAGAAGCGCCAGAATTTTGAACCGTTCTTCTACCAAGGGTTATAAATTGAGGACTACCCTTTAGAGCAGGGCTTTAAGACACGTGGACTTCAACTCCCAGAATCCTCCAGATTAGATTAAGTCAGTAAACTCCCTGCGGGGAGAACCTGCCCAGAGAGACTGCCCATCCACTGCATTAATCCTGGCTTACCTCCGTCCGGATGGTGCGACTTCCTTGTCCCGGACAGGTGTTCAAATACAAATCAAACAAGGTACTGGGGTCGGTGACATCCAGGTGAGGATCTGCCTCCACTCCAGTTTCAAGACCTTGCAAACCCCCGAAGACGATCAAAGCGTGGCTACCAGGAAGAGACAGAGAGAGGAGGGGTCTTGGGAAGGCTGTCTCAGCTCCTGCAGGGCAGAGACAGCGCAACAGAGTTGGAAGGGACCGTGGAGGTCATCTAGTCTGACCCTCCGCTCAAGCAGGAGACCCTATTCCATTCCAGTGAAATGGCTCTCCAGTCTATTTTTGCAAACTTCCAGTGACGGAGCACCCACAATTTAGGGAGGCTGGTTTATTGTTCTCACTGTCAGGAAATTTCTCCTCGTTTCTAGGCTGGCTCCCTCTTCTCTTCAGCAGCTCCTCCAATATCAAGTCGCCCCTCGTCTTCCGCTTTGCTAGACTAGGCACTCCAGTTCCTGCAACTGTTCGTCACGTTTTAGCATAAAACATAACGTGCACATGCTTCATTGCTGTTACCTGAAAGCAGGTAGGCTGGCTTGATCCACGGAGGATCCGCGCTCCGAGGTCCCAATGGAGAGATCGTAGCCATCCTTATATGGGGATTCGGCAAAGACGGCGCCTGATGCGAAAGAAAGAGCTTTTAAAAATACACACAGTTAGTCCTCAACTTACAGCAGTTATCTCTCCTGTTTCTAGCTTTGGGTAAATTATACGGAGAGAAAGAAAGTTATGACATCAGACTTACTCAGACACGAAGCTAATCGGACGTTGTAGCCCCAGTAAAGGCCAGAAACGGTGCGGGGACTTTGTGTCGATACAACAACACCCTTCTGCGTTTTGCTCTCTGAAAGAGAAAGGAGTCAGTTGGCAGAACTGAATCAGCTCTTGCAGGCAGGCCTCAACTTACGAACACAAGTGACCCCAAACTTTACATTGCTAAGCAGAGGCCTCCTGACTGATGTTGTGGCTCCTTCTTAAACCTGCACAGACTTTGTGCTAGTTTTCCGTTACTGGGCACCGTCACGGGAGGGACCGGCTCTGACCTGAGTTTCTAAGTCAAGGCCTGTCCAAGAATACCTGGGTTCTGCTTTTTATCCAGACGCACCGTGACGCGAAGACCAGCTTCCAATTGCTTGTCTATCTGGACCTCCTGTGGGAAACCGACACCAACAAGGAGCATCACTTAGTCCGGGCAGAGCAGTCAAACCGATTGGTCTGTCTGTCCAGCAATCCATCAGTCCTTCCATCCATGTCTGCCCCTCCCATCTGTCCATCCATCCATGTCTGTCTGTCTCCCTATCTGGGATCGATCATCTATCTCCATCCATTTATCCATGTCATCTCCATCCATCCATCCATCCTTGTCATCCGTCTATCCATCTGTCCAATCATCCAGTTGCAGCCCATAAGCTCCTCCCCCTCAGCCAGCCATTGGCTGAGTGGCTGCCCCATCATGGAATGGTCCACCTTCCTCTCAAAGGGGGGCAGAGAAAGTGGACAGAACCGCAAAGCCTCCGTTAGGCTAACGCAGCTTGACCGCTATGAATTACCTTCCGCATCCCGCAGTTCACAAAGGACCCTCGGCCAGGCCTGGTGGGCCGGTCCAGGACCACCCCTTCCCGGTATTCAGACTCTTCGTCCATTCGGACATGGTGGGGACTGTCCAGAGGATTCAAGAGGCCTGAAACGATCCACAGATGGCCAGAAAGAGAATTAAAAAAAAAAAAAGTTAAAAGATGTTTCTACTAAATACAGCTCCCATAGAGGCCATTTCTCACACAACTAGTCCTCGGCTTACAACCACAATTAAGGCCCAAATTTCTGTTGTTAAGTAAGACATTTAAGTGAATTTGCCCCATTTTACGACCTCTCTTGCCCCAATTGTTAAGTGAGTCGCTGCAGTTGTTAAGTTAGTCACACTAACTGAGGAAACGGGAATCCAGGACTCACCAGCAAACTGCAGGTCCTGGTGCTTGGGGAAGAAGGACTTCCTTAGGTACCTGTTCAAGAAAGAAGACCCAGAGAGAGGAAGAGCTGCCACTTTTCTCAGACAATTGTGCAGGCAAAGCAGATGCCTGGCTGAGCTAATGACAAAAAGCTGCCACTTTCTTGCCTCACTAAAAGAGGAATGACGAGAGAAAGAAAGAAAGAAAGAGAGAGAGAGAGAGAGAAGGAAGGAAGGAAGGGAAGGAAGGAAGGAAGGAAGGAAGGAAGGAAGGAAGGAAGGAAACAGAAATAGTAGCTCTTACTCAAAGGCAAACACTGTAATAAACTAAGATAAATTTACACTTCAGAAAATGACCTATTCCTTGAACTCTTGAGTTCTAGTCCCTCTTTAAGCATGAAATCCGGCTGGGTGACTTTGAGCCGGTCCCTCTCTCTCAGCCCAACCCACCTTGCAGGGTTGATGTAGTAGGGAAAATAGAGGAAGGAGTATTAATTCTGTTTGCCACCTGGAGTTATTTATAAAAATAATAATAAACGTGGGATTTAAATAAATAGATGATGGCAAGGCAGGCAGACAAGCAAGCAAGCAAGCTAAAAGCGACATAATTGTGGCTTGTTTTGGCCGGACAGTCTTTGCAGGGCGACTTACTGGGGACACTCCAGGTACTGAAGGATCCGGGCCAGCTGGACGCAGGCCTGCCCTTTGCCCTTGATCCCCTCGAACTCGCCTTCGATGCTCCTGAAAGACAAGCAGCAAAAGTCACCGAGTGCCTCAGGCTGGCGACCCTGTTTGCAAAAATGCCAGTTCGCAGCTCAGCCTCGCTTGGGAGGAAAAAGCATCGTATCAACGCAGAGCCTGGCTTTTTGCAACTCTGTCTGGGGACCCAACCTTCACAGGGATTCCTTACCTGGCATTTTCTCCTTGATCGTCAAAAACCACGATTTCATCCACGCAGAAGATGACGCAGGCGCGGGCGATCTGTCCGGCCAGATACGTCCGCAATTCAGGCGACTGCGCATTGCTTAGAATTGAGCCAGGAACAGCCACGCTGACTGTGTGGTGCCGCCCTAGGAAAGAAGCGGGGGAAGTTAGGAGTGGGATTCCCCCTCCCAAAATATTCCTTCCTTCCCTCCATCTCTCCTCTCCCTCCCTCCCTTCTTCTTTCTTCTGAACATACTTAATACTTCTTTGTCCTTCTATTTTTCATCACAACAATAACATTATGAAGTGGGTTGGGCGGGACTACAATTCACCGTCTCCTGGTTTCTAGGTTAGCACCTTCATCACTGCAGCAAACTGGCTCTTCTATCTAATCTAAGGTTACTGTATTAACACAGTTTCTGGGTTTGGGGCTGCTGATCCATAAGCTGGCAAGAACCGGCAAGCTCCAAAAAGAAAAATCTAATGAGAATTAACCCTCAGTCCACCATGCAGGGAGAATACACTCATTGCTCTTTGCCCAAGTTGTGTGAACCCAACCTTTCTCATTCCTCAAGGCTAGTCAGAGACCCAAAATAGGTTTTCTGTATTTTGGCAGCCACCTTTGTCCTCCTTTGGCTTTGCTTCTTCTCTCTCTTTCTCCATCACCGCCCGGGCTCTCTCCTTTTCCAACTTCTTCAGCAGTTTTATCTCTTTCCATTTTTTCTTCTCTTCTTTTTCTAGGAGGTGAAAGCAAATGTTTGATTTTAAAATTCTCTCCCCTGAGGAATTTGCAAAGAGTTACAAGGTCGCCCTTCCATATACAAAATGATGGTTATTTTTAGGGAGAGTTAAAAAGCATCTTGCATCCTTCTAACCGGCAATCAGGATTTCTCTATGGACACAACTGACACCCAGCAACTCTTTTTAAAAAATATCTTTTAAAACTCAGTTCTTACTTTGTTGTTTCCATTTACGCCAATCCATCTTTTCTTCTCTTCCCTGGAAAACAGCGCAGAGACTTTGTCAGTTTGGAAGACAAAGGCTGGGTTCACAAAACATGCTAAGCCCAAGTTAAGAGAGCAAAAATATAAAGTTATAAAGGTGGGATAAACATTGAATAAAGGAAGGAAGGGAAGGGAAAGGAAGGGGTAAGGAAGGTTATAAACAACATGGGCGTATTTGCATTACACGGGATGTCCAAACAAACAGGATGAAGTTTAAACTAATGACCTCATTCACCCTTTAAACCAGCGTAGGACTGGGTTCCCAAAACACCGATCCACAACCTGCCAATCCACTTTAGCCGGGGCTAAGATGTTGTGTGAATCCAAGCCCACGCACCCCAAACCCCTAGAATGTCTGCATCTCCCTGACTCACTGGCAAACTTAACCCGCCTTCTCCCTGCCTAGCTCTTCCACTGGGCCAACTACAAGATCCATCACCCACGGCCAACGCAGAGGCGGAGAGCTCTAACCACACACGCATACGGAGGACCTCCAGGATGCAACCCGGGCGAAAGACTTTTCATCCTCCCCAGCAGGCAGATGACAACCCAGCCTCCCCATCAGAACCGGTAAAGTGTTGCAAAAATAAATCCATTTTTTTGCAAAGGGTTCCGACGCTGGCACGGATCTCTTCGCCCAGCCCCGCGTGGAGCCTCCCTGGCCAGGAGCAGGCTACCCGCGCCAGATGCAAAGGGAAGCAGCCCAGGAAAACGGCTGCCTCACCCGCAGGGCGCTCCAGAGGACGCCCCGCCGTTGCAACGGGGGCTGCCCCCCCAGCACCCCCCCCCGTGATCCCGATCCGCGCGCCCCGCGCCCCTCGTGCACCTCCCGCACGCGCTTCGCCCCGCCGCGCTCCGCCATGTCTCAGCCAGCCAATCCCTGGCCGGCAACTTCCGGAGGCGGCCGCCGATTGGGTGGGGCGGGAAGGAGCCGCAGACCGATGAAAATGTAGAGGGGGCCATCCGGCTGCATTCCTTTTCTTTTAATTCCTCTTTTCCTTTTTTTACTTTTTCCTTTCCTCTTTCCTTTCTTTCCGTTTTTCTTTCTTTCGTTCTTTTCTTTCCTCTTTCCTTTCTTTTATTCCTTCTTTTCCTTTTGTTTTCCCTCTTTCTGTCTCTGTCTTTCCTTTTCTTCATCCTTCTTTTCCTTCCATTTCTTCTTCTCTTCCCTTTTTTTTTTTTTTGCTCACCTTGTACTTCCAAGCTATTTTTCATGCGATTTTTATCCATGGAGTTTTGTTTTCTTTTAACTCCTTTTAGCTAGTTTTTTGGTGGGAAATGTTCCTTTTCAATCGATAAAAGCAAAACTTTTTTTTAAAAAACCTAATGGTTCTCTTGCTCTGTGTTTTGTCCAGCAAAGTCATTGACGCAGAGCTAAATAACATTTCAGAGTTACTGGGGCAGCATATTGCAACCTCAGATTAAAAAACATGTCCTGCATGTGTTTGTGTGTATGTGCTTCTGTGATGTTGAAATGCCCTTGGTTCAATGGGCTGGTTTGAGCATCCTCCCAAAAATGCACGGTTCAGGTGAATTTTGACCTAGAGCATCATGAAACCCTTGCAAAGTTGTTCATTTAACCATGATAGTCTCTTTCATTGATGCAACCAAGCAATCCTACCTATTATGGTCTGGTGGACAACCACACCCATTGATTGTGGGAATCAGAGGGGATCCCAACGTTCCGAACTGTTGCTCTGTGCAAGAGTTTTACGGTCTTTTCCAGCCCTAGGAGTTTACACGCTTTGCAGACATACAGCAAGAAGTGCAACTTTAATTAAAACTTGACACCCTGAGAGGTAGGAACTCCTGGGAGGTTTTCAGCATCTCCAGGGGTATGAATAGTCTTTGACACACAAGTGCATCGGCGCTGGGCTGAGTGGCTGCCCCCATCATCTTGCTGAGACCTCGGGAAGACCCGCCAGGAGCCTGCAGAGAAAGAAGAGGAAAGAAAATCAGCGTCAAACCCGGGTTCTGGAGACTTGCAGGGAGGGCTTGCTTTGCAAACGGCCCAGGGAGTCAGTCCCTCCTCCCAATAGGGCAGGTGGCAATGCCCCAAAGCTTGCCTCTGCTTCTCTCCCCAGGGCTGAGGTGTTACTGGTTTTGCATTTCCTGGCTCCATTCCTTCAAGATGTCCCCAGCAGCTTTCAAGGTCGAGTCCTCCTAAAAGATTGAATGAAAAAAGGATGAGCTTTTTTTTTTAAAATAAAATATAATTTTTATTGAATAATTATTTTTACAAAGTGAAAAGATAAACATGAAAGAAAATAGGATAGGAGAAGATAAGGGAAGGGGAAGAGGGAAGGAAAGGAAGTAAATGGAGGAGAAAGGGAAGGAAGGAAAGGAAAAGAAAGAAAAAGGAAAGGAAAGGAAAAAAGAATGGAGACTTCACCTTTGCAAAGCAGAAACGCAGAAAATGGTCAAAATTTTTCTTCTGTGGGACACTGTAGAAAGCAGAGACAGGAATGGAAGCCAGACGCTGTAGAGGAGGGAGGACATGAAAAATCAGGATGAAAAGCAAAATACATCTCTCTCTCTCTCTCTTCCCCCCTCCCCAAAAAAATATTTTGTTCCCCTTCTTGGATTATAACAAAAAACAGAGCCTTCATGGTGAAACTTTAGAGCCCCAGTAAAGGAAAAGTACGTGAGGCTCAGGGTTGAAATGAGGGGTCCTTGGTGCTCAGAGAGACCCCCCCCTTTAGAACCCCACCCTTCTCCACTCACCTTATTCTTAATCATCCATTTTGCAAAACGAAAGTCGTAGGATTCTTCCGAAGGCAACAAATCAATTTCTGGAAGAGGACACAAATGACGTGAGGGCCTTTGGCAACCTCCGCTGGGTCTTTAGAGGTCTTTACTGTAGTTCCCATCATCCCCAGCCATGCCCCATGTGGCTGAGGAACATGGGGCAACCCACTAGCATTGCGAGGCTCTGTTATTATAATCCTACAATACAAATAGTCTTAGTACGGGTGCAGATAGTCCTCTACTTACGACCAGTCACCAGTGACCATTTGAAGGTACTTCCATCCCAGTGCCAAAGTTATGACAGTCAGATCACGGGACCACATTTTGAGCCATCGACCACCAGCCCACATTTAAACCATGGGCAGCGTGTTTTGCCAAAAATGAGTGCTTACTTCTGGGTTTTGCCAAAAACACCCAATAGCAAACAATGTGTTCACTTAATGACCACAGATTCACTTAAGGACTGTGGCAATTCACGTAACCACCAACGTAAACGAGTTTGTAAAATAGGGTTGGTTACATGGGTGACTTGCTTTACGACTGCCAGTCTCCATTACGGTTGTAAGTCAAGGACTACCTGTAGTCCTCGAACTACGATGGCAGCTGGGATTGGGGTTTCCAACATTCACCGTTGCAGATGTGGGATCAACTCAACACAGGCCCAACCTGAACACCCAACCCTCTGCACAGCCCTGCAGGGACTTTGGGGGGGGGGGGGCTTACTAAACGTCGAGAGGTCGGCAATCAGGTAGTAGGTGCCCTCCGGGACAATCGGCGTCATGCCCACAGAGACCAGGCTTTCCACCAGGAGATCCCGTTTCCGCTGAAGCTCTTTGGGCAGCTGCAGAAAATAGCTGTCGGGCTTGCCGAGGCGTGCCAACTCTTGCTCAAACCCATGGGCCACGGCCTCCTGCTGAAGCAAAGGGCGAAAGAGAGGACGATGGGGTGGCAAGCCAGCCTCGGGGGGGGGGGGGGAGTGTGAACCCAGCAAAGTGCAATTTATCGAACAAGCCATGGGAAGTTGGCCTTGTCAGAGCTCGGGAAAGAGGATGGAGGTTTGCAAAATATTAGAAGGGCAAGACTTTGGCCTCTTCTCCCTGGATAATAGATGACAGGCAGATAATAGATGATAGATAGATGACAGACAATAGACAATATAGGCAATAGACAATAGGTTATAGGTAATACATGACACATTAAAAAACGGGGGGGGGGACTTCCCAATTACTCCAGCAGACAGTTAGAAAGATGATAAAGAAAACTTTGACCAGATGATCTTAGAGCAGGGATTCTCCCCAGGGGTCAATAGTGATTCTCAAGGGCCGATGGGACGGCCCAAAGGGTTGATAAATATCCAGGGGTCAAATGGTAGCCAATAAATGACAGAGGGTTGATTAGGATCGATCAATCTTTAGGATCTCTGTAGAACTCCATGTCAGTTTCTAGTTATCTATTATCTATTATCCCAAGGAACCATCACATTGCAAGAAACTGGACGGCTTGTTTCTTTCGTTGATGCTTTTAGCCTGCCGTGCAAATGCTGTGAATGGGCTGCCAGGTGAACCTGGGTTGTGTGAAAGCCACGCTTCGCGCGGCCCTGTCCACTTACCTGAGCTGCAGTGGCACAATGATAGATCGAATTTTGGTGGACGGTTCTTAGGTGTTTCAAGAGGTGGTCGGGCCCGATGGCCCAGCCAACCTGTCGGAAAAAAAGAAGATGGATAATTACTTCCCTCGTTTGGTATGTCTTCTTCAGATCTTTAGAGGAACACCCTCGGCTATTATATTCCTCAGTTGGCAGCTAGTTCTGCCATTTGCAAAAAAAAGAGGAAATGTTGATGAGCGGGCCTATGGGTGTGGGGAGTGGGTACAGATAGTCCTCGACTTACAATCGTTTGTTTAGTGACTGTTCGAAGTCACAATGGCACTAAAGCAGTGACTTGTGACTCTTTTTCACACGTAGGATCGTTGCAGGATCCCCCAGGTCACGTAACCAAAATCCAGACACTTGGCAACTGCCGCCACACCAGATCCCTCACCTTCCATCCTGTGGCACTGAAGGATTTGCCAGCGCTGCCAATGGTCACAGTCCGCTCCCACATTCCTGGCAAACTGGCTGAAAACAGAGAGGAGGAAAGTCTGTCTGCTCACCCAAGGTATTGTCTGAAAACCGCCACCCTCTCCTGCCGGCTCTGCCCATCTGCCTTCCATATCGCAGGACGTCGGACTCCCCAGAATCTTTCCAGGGGACTTGTTATAGAATCAGTGGGGCATTGCAAGAATCTACGTTGGAGGTGGTCCTCGACTTACGATCAAAACCCTAAGTGCCATTGCTAAACAAGGTACAAGTCGGTTGCCAATCACCAAGTTGGTTGATCACGTGACTGCAGGGATGCTGCAAATGATCCTAAATGAAGGCACCCAAAATAGGATCATACGACCGGAGAGAGGGAAGGCAGCCATCAAAATTTAGGCTCCAGGTCATAAGTAGCCCTGGGGAGGTCCATTGTAAATTTGGATGGTCATAATTCAAGACTACTTGTAAAGAATTGGGAATATTTGTGGGAAAAGGACCCACTCAGCTGGACCTTACCAATCCGCACATGCTCATTTTCGTCATAAACCAGCCACTCGTAGACTTCATCGCTTAAACAGAGCACGTCGTGTCTCACACACAAGTCCGCCAAGTGCATCATCTCATCTCTACTGAAAACCTGCAGGACACAAAGAGTCAGGAAGTTGGTCCCCTCTGAAATGCAACTATCACAACAACCCTAGTAGGTAGGCTAGACCTGGCCCAGGCGCTCCGATTGTGCTCGGCTTCCAGCTTCTCCATTTTATAAAAAGTGAACAGGTAAAGACTCCAGAAGTTATGGGTGCTCCAACACTGGAGGTTTTCAAGAAGAGACTGGACAGCCACTGGTCCGAAATGGTATAAGGTCTCCTGCTTGAGCAGGGGGCTGGACTAGAGGACCTCCAAAGTCCCCTCCAGCCCTAGGATTCTATGATTTAAATATCCCCGATGGCCACCTGGCAATACTTCATTACCTTCCCCAAAGGGTTGTTGGGGGAATTCAAAATCAGGACTTTTGTTCGTTTGGTGAATGCCGCCTCCAATTCGGCTGGATCGAGTTGCCAGTCCCGGCTGGATGCCAGCTTTCCACTTTTGGCACCTTTCTGGAGGAGAGAAAAAGGACCTTGGTGAATGATCTCCAGCCTGGTGCCCTTCAGATTCATTAACTTAATGTAGATCCTTTAAATGAAATTAAAATAGCAGCAGCAACAAAAACGAAGGGGGACCATTTTGTTGCCAAGAATCCATCACATAAACCCCAGAGGAAGTCTTGGAAAATGCACAGTCTGAGACCACAACACAAAGGATATGTTGCAAGACTGATAGTCGCCTCACAGAGGAAATCAGGTAAAAATCACAACCAGATGAGTTAATTCTACTGGATTGTAAAGCTACATTAGCAGAAACTTGCAAGTACAAATATTTCTCCGTCTCCTTTGCAGCCTGAGAAACGAGGAGGGACCCCTTCTGATCCTCTTTCTCCACCCATTATGCAGCTCTGGGCTGTGCCCTCTCTTATCTGACTGTCCCCTTGGCAGCGTCTCTTTGCCCACTGATCACCAATGCTCTGAACTTGAAGTGTGCCCTTCCCTTCCTTATTTAGAAGACCCATGAACGGGCACTCACTCACCAGACGGAGGGGGACAAAGACGGGTTTCCCGCCTGCCATTTTGGTCATGGGTTCATAGCAGTCAAAGTACGGCTCAATTATAATCACCTAGAGAAAACCAAGACGGGGATTGGGCACTTAAGTGACTCATGGCAAGGGAATTCTGGGAGTCCATGCACCCTTAAAAAGGGGCCAGCATGGGAGAAGTAATTGCCGACTTGACCCAGCGGACCCCAATAACGGGAGCTGAGATGCCTCCTTCAACAGGCAAGCTGAGTCCGCTGCTCCCTGCCCGCTGTGTCAAAACCCTGGACCCCCACTTTGCTGAAGGAGGACTGGTACCCCTTTAATTACCTCGTCCCCCTCATCCACCAGGGCCTGGAAGCAGCAGAAGAGAGCTTCGTACGCCCCCACTGTCACCATCACATTCTTCAGCGGGTCCAGGTCTCGCTGGAGCAGCTTCCCAAAGAAGCGAGCCAGGATCTCCACCAATCGCGGATGTCCCTGGGGAAAAATAAGACCCCAAAGTCTCTTAAGGCTGAGAGACTTTTGAGCAGGTTTTGCACGATGGTGAACTTAGCCACGGTTAAATTTTGAACCGTGGTTGAATCAGCTCAGTTGTCTGGATCTGGAGGCAATCAAGCTTCTGGGCTTACAGACGACACCCAGGGAGCTACGTGGCCTTTTGAACCAGCCATACAGGCAGTCCTCAACTTATAACCAGCTGTTCGAAGTTACAACGGCACTGAAAAAAGGGACTTATGGCTGGTCCTCACACTTACAACCGTTGCAGCATTTCCCCCGTGAACAGAATTCAGCTTGGCAAGCTGCATTATTTACAACCTTTGCAGTATCCCAGGGTCTTGTGAACAAAGTTTGCCACCATCCCAAGCGGCTTCTGACCAGCTGGAATTTCAAATCTGGGTCATATGTAGCTCTGCAGAGGTCTGTTGTAACTTTCTACACTCGTAAGTCGAGGACTACCTGTTGGTGATTTATTGGACGTTTGTAAGCTGCAGCTTAAAAGTTTGTGAATAAATCACAGGGCCCAAATTTGTTCCAGATGGTTAACAAAAAGCAAAGTTCACCCATTTTTGCACTAGACTGTTTGTGCCAAAAAGCGGATGTTCCACGTACAAAGGCCTGCGTGTATTGGTGCAACATGGTGTTTTCTCCACTGATCGCTTCCATGTAGGCTTTCTTGACAAAATCCGGTGGGGAAAAATTAGGAAAACCTTGACCCAAATTCACAGCCTTGTGAGAAGCAGCTAGTCGAGAAAATTCCACCCTAAGGAGAAAATCATTTAAAAAAATAATTTTCATGGAAATCTATTTTTTTTAACAAATAAGAAACGATAATGAGAAGAATGGGATGGTTTTTCATTTTTGCAAACATCTTCCCTGACAAATAATTTGGATTTTTGGGGCACCTCAGAGGGTCCTGGGAAGACCCCAGGGGTCCTCGGGCCACCCTTGATGAGATGCTGGCTTAACCCATGAACCAACCCGAAGAAGCAAATTACGAGCTGCCTACCAGATATTCTGGTCCACGCCTTCCAGCCGCCGAGCTTGAATTGCCTTGGCCATATTTTCCTAGATTTAAAAAAAGCAACGAATCATGAATAACTCCAAACCACGGACTGGCCAATCCCGGCTAAGTCCCTCTTCAGGTAGTCTCAGCTTACAACCATTCATTCAAAGTTACGACAGTGCTGAAAAAAAGTCCTCACACTTATGATGGTTGCGGCACCCCTGCAGTCACATAATCAAAATTTTGGTACTTGGAATGTATTTAAAATGTTGGCATCATCCTAGGTCTTGTGATCACCCTCTGTGATCTTCCCCATCAAACAAAGTCAGTGGGGAAAGCTGAATTCAGTTAACAACCGCAATGACTCACAAAATTAACAAAAAAAATTATCAGTCAGGCATGACTTACTTAACACCTTGCATAAAAATGTCGCCTCCAGTTTTGGTCGTAAATTGACAAATGCCTGTGGCTGTTTTTCCCTTTCTTGCAACTGTAGCTGATCCCCAAAGGCCAAACCAGTGTGTTGTTAACCCTTAGAAAGGAGGCCACTCAGAGATGCAATAGAGAGGCTAGCCTGAAAAGTCGGAAAAACCTCCCGGAAGAAAATCAGAGCCAAGGAAAAATCCACAGAAATTCCACGGAACTTCTGGGTGTTGACAAGGGCAATTGTGCAAGCACCATTCCTTGCATTGCATAACTCCCGTTTTTCCTACCTTTCGGTTACAAGGAAATTTCTCTGAGGTTTCAGTTTTTTTACAGATCGAGGAAGGAAGAGAGCCAGCAACCCAGAAGAACACAAACTTGTGTCACAGAAAACACCTCAGGCACCCAGAACAACCGCCAGCAGCTCACAAACACTCCCTTACACACTTAGAGAACTTGACACCTCCTTTGACAGGGGAGAAAACTTTGGAGAAGTTGCGCAGCTCTTTCAAGTGACCTCTGTGGAAACGGAAGTCTGCTCCAGTGCAGCTGCCGATTCTTAACCTCTTAATAAGACTTGGGACTTTAGACAAACAGTTAAATAAAAACTGTGACAGACGCATGGTTTTTTTTCCCCTCTTGCACAACACTGCCCTCCTAACTCTTGCATTTTGAAAATAAATAATAACGTTGTCTTAAATTGATATACCACCCAATTCCCAACGACTCTGAGCAGAAAGCAGTTTCTTATTCCCTGGTTTCCTTCTGAATTTCTACAGAAAAACCATGAAGAGAAAGCTAGTGCCTCAGGGAGAAAGGCTGCATTCTTTTCCCAATATGCTATTTCTCTGCTTGCGGGAAATTACAATGCGCAAATCTGAGTAAAGATGGCAGAAAAGGAAAGATTTTTCCCATCTGCGCCAGTTCTCTGCTTGCATGTGAACCTCATGCTCTAGCTTAGGAGCCTCCAAACTCAGTAACTTTTAGACGTGTGGACTTCCACTCCCAGAATTCCCCAACTGGCTGGATATTCTGGAAGTGGAAGTCTGCATGTCTAAAAGTTGCTGAGTTTGGAGGCCCCTCCTCGGGGCAACAAATCCTAGATACTAAACCATGGGCCAGTCAGTTGTGCTTCCTACCTTGGTACAATAGTAGCCAAAATACAAACATGGGGTTCTCCACAGACCATGAATCAAAGGCAGGCCACGACAAGGGCAGCTGGTACTCCAGAGAGCTCTGCACCTTTTTATGCATAAATAAAACAAATGTTTAACTCTCTGCATTATGAAACCCAAATTAAAATATACGGATTAATCGTCACACTGTCTGAAAATAGTCTTAAGGTTCTCCATTCACTTCCTTTATCACTAACCAGCCGCAGAGATCAGATTGATAGATTATCCAGCCTACAAAACAATACCCCAAAAGGAAAAACAAAAGCAGGCTTAGAGTGAAAAATGAGAAAAAAATAATAAACAGCTTAAGAGGAACCAATACAATCAAGCTTGATTTGAGCTGTGTAAAATCCAGATAATCTCAAGGTGAGAACGAAAAACCAGAATGTTTGTGAGCTTTTCCAAACTCTTATCTGTCACCCAGATTATTGCAACCAGCCCTGAAAAGCCTCAACAATGTTACCGAGTTTGCACAACACACTTCTCCGGTAAATTAAACTTAATTATTTCTTCTGAGTGGGCTGAAACAGGCTTAACCTGGGTTAGCTTCTTTGGGGGTTAAAGGTTTGCGTGCTGAGTTCATGTCTGGTCAGCAAACCCTTTTTTCAATGAGAGAGAGAGAGAGAGAGAGAGCTTTCTACAACTACACAATGATTCAACTTTCAACCTAAAATCTTTCATTTTTGTTCCTGTTTCAAGTCTGAAAGCCAGAAGCAATTTCCCAATGGAAACAGGATGGAATAACATCTTCTCGTTGCTTAAAACAGTTTACAGGGGCATCTCAGCCAGATTCCTTTGTCTTCCACCAAAGCGCAAATTGATAGATCTCCAAACTCAAGAGCACCAAGGGCACCCCTGTTCAACCGTGAGCTTCAAATGTTCTCTTCGGTAAAAGTCTATCTATCACTCCACAGACCAAACTTTGAAAGAGGGTTAGTTCAGCAACCGTTTTGCCAGCAAAGGTGGGAAACCCTGCCCGAAAGCCACAGCTGGCAAGAAGAAACCGATGCCACAAAAAAGTCAAAAGAAACTTACAACTTTGCTTTGTCACAACACAACATCTATCATGCTTCCTGGATTGAGCCCAAAGCAGCTTCTTCCAACAGCTGATTCATTTCCCTTTTCCGGTGGAGGGATAAGGGAACTGTCAGCCAACCAGAAAACCTGCTGGCTGCATTTAAAAATGGGCGTGAGACAACCAGGCGCTTCTATTTGGCGCATAAGCCGTGTGAGCTGCAACTGGCTGGCTGGATTACGGGGGGGGGGAGTGTGTGTGTGTGTGTGTGTGTGTGTGTGTATGCTTGTTTGTCCACAAATCAGGGTTTGGACAATTTCAAAGCACTGGCCATTTAATCCAGGTTGTTCTCTGTTGATGAAACTGCCAGCTGTCACTTTTGCAAAAGTTGCACCCTAGTTCCCACGTTGTAGATCATCCTACATCATCCTATGTTATCATCTGACTGAGGATATTACCTAGTTGGGTAAAGAAATGTCTGATTGATGAATGAATGAAAATGAATGAATGATGAACACTGGTGATGTTACCGACTTGGGTCATGAAAGGTCTGCAAGAAAACAACCAAGCTCAGAGAGCACCAAGGACCCCACAGTCCTCCTCCTCCTCCTCCCAACCCTGAGCTACAAATGTAGTTTGCCCTTGCCCAACATGGCCTCCGCCCGTTCCAAAGATGGCGGCCAAAGACGTAGCGCCGCGCCCGCTTGGCGACGTATCGCCGCCGAAGCCCCACCCACAGCCGCCAAGATGGCGCCGTCTAGTGGCGGCGGCGCGCGGTCCTCGTTTCCCGCCGCCGCCGCCGCCCGCCGCCGCCGCCGCGGGGGATGCCCGGGCCGGCCGGGTGACGTCAGTTCCGGGGTGGGGCGGAGTGGTGCAATGAGGGACTGAGAGGCGGACAAAAGACGGGGCTCCGACGCGGGAGGCGCCACCAGGTGGGTGCGGGGAGAAAGGCAGTGGGGGAGGGGGCGATGAGACCCCCCCCAAGCAGGAGGGGCAGACTTGGAAAGCTTCAGGACTAGGAACTTGGCTCAGTGACTATGGGGCAGGGGGAAAAGGGGAGGGAGAGGAGTCCCGCACACGCAGACACGCCTCTTTGCCCCCCCGAACTATGCGGGAGGGGAGGCTCAGGACTCCTGAGGACTAGGAGCTTCATTAATAAGGGAAAAGGCGCCCTCGTGGAAATCCTGCTGGCAGGGTGGGGGGTTGGGAGGCAAAGACTTGGCGGAGGGGGGCTGAGCCCATCCAGATAGACGGGAGGCAGAGGCAGACCGCAAGAGGACTAGTAACCTGCCTGATTTGATGCCAGGCGAGGAGGCTGGCCGAAGGACGAAGCAGCTACAGGATGGGCAAAGGGGGCTCTGGATCCGGTTTGCTGGGTGTCCTGCGGGGAAGCAGGTGGGGAGTTTGCGGAGGAACAGGAAAGGCAGGGAGGGGGGAAGGGGGAGCTGGAATGGGGAGACTGAGGGGCACGGAGGGTGCTGGGGTGTTTACAGCATTGCCAAGGAAGGCAGATTTGGGGGGGACTCCTGGAGGAGGGGGAGGCTGGGCAACAGCCTGAAGATGGGCAGGGGGAGAGAAGGAGCCTGGGAAGCGGAGTTGGGGGCTCTTTGCACATCATGGGCTGGGAATAGGATTCCCCCCTCCCCAGACCTTGTATGCCAGAATATATTTGGGGTGCCTCGGGCAAGGGTGCGTTCAAGGCAGGCCCAGAAAGGAAAAATACCCCAAACGGGTCACTTTAGGGAAGGGAGGTCAGAAAGCCGGGGGGGGGGGGGGAAGGACGTTCAAAATGGAAAACTCAAATGCAGGGGGCTCGACTGATTCTCGCATGGGGGGCTTCCAAAGTTGGGGGGAATGAGAAAGCCAGGCAGGTCAGAGAGCCGTGCCCCTCCCTCTCCTCTCCCCTTGCCCTCTCCATTTGGCTTTTGAACCCCCGCAAGGAAGGTGCAAAGAGAGGCCTAAATGCACTTTAGGAATTTATGATTTCGAGGGCGCAGGTGGGAAGGAGCCCTGGGGCAGCCCAAGAGGCTCTGTGTGTGTGTGTGTGTGTGTGTGTGTGTGTGTGTGTATTTGCGCAGAAGATGAAAGGGGAGATTGGAAAATCATGGCAAAGCGGAAAAGGGCTGGCCATGTTACTAGTCCCTGCCCTGGAGGCAAGGTGGCGAAAGAGAGCAGAGATGGAAAGAAAACTCAGAGATGGCCCGGCTAAAATCTCCGGTGGGTGTGTGTGACTTCAGGCTTGGGCAAGCCTGGAGGTATTTGGGGGGGGGGGTTAACCCCGTCTCCCGGAAAAGTGAAACTGGGAGGGGCAGGAAAAAGATGGAGGGAATGTGTGAAGGAAAGCGGGACTGGCTGGCTGCCGAAAGAAACGTAGGCGTGCTTGCAGGTTTTAAGGCAAAAGGGGCGGCTGGGAAACAGATCACTAGGTGACTAACTTTGCATTTTGTGGCCAACCCTGAGTCGTCATTGTTTTTATTCCAAAGGCTTGGTTGCAGGAGATGCTCTGCCCTTGTGGCTCTGGTGCTGGTACCCTTGCACCATTTTAGCCTGGCACTCTGTGTGTGTGTCTGCATCCCTTCAGCTGGTTCATCTGGGGTAATGCTCCCCCTGGAGTTGTTGGGAGGGAAAGAAAAGGAACATAGCTGAGTGTTGTCATTCCAGGAACCATGCCAAAATGTCCTTTAAGACAAAGATGGAGCAAAAAAAAAAAACCAAAAACACAGGGCTGCTCCTGATGCAGATAGACAAGATTGAAGATTCCGGGAACTTTAGAAAAAGGAAAAACATTTTCCAGCTCTTCCTTTGACTGGCTGCTGGAGAAGGGCAGCTTTTTAAGGTGTGGGAAGAGAGGGACTGAATGGGGAAAGGATGTTATGGTCGGGTTATTTAGGAGCGAATATAATTTGATTTATCAAATTTAGCTACCACCATCTAAGGGAGCAAAAAAAAAAAAACTGTTGTCAAGCAAGATCATGGATAAGTGAATTTTGCTCAGTGAATCACAGTTGTTTAATAACAGGCTTGTTAAGCGAATTCTGGGAGTTGAAGTCCACAAGTCATCAAAGGGCCGTGTTTGAAGACCCCTGAACTAAAGGAAGGATTGTAAGTCGAGCCGTCCTTTTGAGCATTTCTTTCCAAAACAGGCCCCTGACAAAAGGTTTCTCTTTCCAGCACAGCAAGGTCCATGGCGCTCGGAGGCTGCCTCCCCACCCAGCATCCCTGCCCGGCCAGCAGCTTTGAACTCCAGCCCAGATTGCTGAAGTGCAGATAGCAGAGCGGAGAGGAAAGCCGGCAGCTTTTTCGGACGGGGCAGTGGGGGGGGGGCATCCCGGGAATGACCGGCTTGGTAAGGTGACACTTCTTTTCTTTGAAGCCATAAAACAAGGGGGGAGGGAGCCATTCCAGTCACAGGTCAAGCAGCCAGCTGACCAGACGCAGTTTTGAGGTTGCTTCTAGTACAGCTAGTCCTCAACAATGTTTCATTTAACGACCGTTCGAATTAGGAGAGGAACAACCCTCAAGATTTTTTCTCCCCTGTGGGTGGAATTATGTAAGGGGATCATAAATTATTCCTGAGAAGCTGGAAATGGGGTTGCATGGCTTGGGGAAAGCCGTGTTGGATTCTAGGAGATTAAAGGCTGCGTGTAGCTTTGCTCTGGGCAAAGAAATCGCAGCTTCTCTCCTTAATGACTGACTACTATTAACACCTCACAGAGGGGAAAATATCGCAAGTGGCAAAGTGGCTTGCCTTCTTCTCGCACGTCTCTCTCTCTGGGTGTGGGTGTGGGTGTGTGTTGCACGCGTTTGGCTGTGCAGCAACAGCCCATTAAGGAAGATGGAATCGCAGCACAGGTAGAGAAATACTCTGATTTTAAAAAATACAGATAGTCCTCACTTAACGACTGTTTCCTTTATGGTCATTCAGAGTTACGACAGCCACAGAATGGGTGCTTTGAAGCAAATAAAATCATACATGATTCTCCTGTGATCTTGTGACTTCACCTTGGGCAGGCCAGCTTGAGAACTGGCTAAGGTATTTTTGAGGACATGTAAGTCACCATTTGTGATGGGTTTTGTTTTTTTACCAGTTTCTGGCATTTTTCCCACTCAAAATGAAGTGGCTTGCTTAACACCCGTGGGGTTCGCTTTACAACCGTTGTGAAAAAGTCCAGAAAATTACTTCTGGTCACATGGCTGCCTCGACTGATGAGCGTAATGGCTCCTGGCCATATTTCCAGGCTTAGTTATGGCCATAAATTGTGGACTATTTGTATCGCAACTTTAAAGGTGTGAGCAAACTACTTGGGGCGGTGATGACAAGAAAGGTCATAAAATGGGGCAAAATTCATTTAACAAATGTCTCACTTAGCAACAGAAATTTGGGCTCAGTTTTGATCCTAAGTCAAGGTCTGCCTATATTTTTCAGTTGAAGACACTGGCACTGCAGAGTGGAGATCTCATTTCTCACCAAATCTGCAGAGCTGAAGATCAGGGTTGCCCCTTTTAAAAGGTGCTGGACTTGGGACAGATCCTGGTTTAATGCTGGGAAGCCTCCTGGCCTCCCTCGCTATCCCAGCCTGTCCTGCACCTCACCTGAGTTCTCCTCCCTCAGCTGAACTGTAACAAGGCTGCCCTTGAAAGGACGATGCACAGCTCACGATGACTTGGCACTTTCCTAATTCATGAGCGCCAGCAGCACAGCTGGCTTGTTGGGTGGCTGTGTCATTGCATCAGTGTGCCTTGTTCACAACTGCCCATTTAGGGTGGCCCTCCTGCCGAGTTGCAGGAAGGAGAAACTGGGAATGTGGCCTTTGGTTTGCATTTTGCATTGGTGTGCATCACTTTGCATTTAGCTGAAACACGTTTCCTGTGTTTAATGTGCCCAAATCTGTCTACTTATGTATGATCAGATTATAGCATCGGGTGCAAACCTGCGTATTCATTTGCTAGGGAATGCAGCATGAATAGTAAGATTTTGAACCTGTCTTCTGTTGTTTTTATTATGTATTGATTTATTGTTAAATATAGTCGCCCAACTCCCGTGGAGCCTGTGGTGTATCAAACAAAACAAAACAAAAATCCATACTAAACGGATGAAAGCCTAAAACCACAAACAAAAAAAATCAGCCCAGATCAAATGAAACAGAGCTTGGTGGTGTTCTTGCAGGTGTTTCATGACCCAACTAGGTAACATCATCCGTGCTAGAAGCAAACCCCACTCTCTTCTAGCACGGATGATGTAATCTAGTTGGGCAATGAAATGTCAGCAAGTAAACAACCAAGTTCAGAGAGTATTGTGGACCCTAAGTGATGCTCCGTGACGAACACAACACAGACTTGAATGCAGCGTTAGAATCTTTTAATGGATCTAAATAGTGATATTTGGCTACACGAACAGCTGTTTATATAATAATAATAATAATACAATGATAAAGTTGGAAGGGACCCTATACCATTTCAGACAAATGGCTGTCCAGTTTCTTCTTAAAAACTTCCAGTGTTGGAGCATTCACCGCTTCTGGAGGCAGGTTGTTCCACTGGTTAATTGTTCTAACTGTCAGAAAGTTTCTCCTTAGTTCCAGGTTGCTTCTCTCCTTAATCAGTTTCCATCCATTGCTTCTTGTCTTTGCCTTCAGGTGCTTTGGAGAATAGCTTGACTTCCTCTTCTTTGTGGCAGCCCCTGAGATATTGGAACGCTGCTATCATGTCCCCCCTCGTCCTTCTCTTCGTTAAACTATAGCAAGGAGTCACTAGGGCACACTTTTCTGGAAAATACACAGAAGACAGCACCCTAAAATTATATTTAAGTGGTGCTCCGGAGGTTGCCTTCTGGAGCTTTCCAACACATCCTTGAATTTTTCTTCCTCTGCAGTTGTGACTCCTTCAGAACGAGGCTGAAAACCTTGGGAACTGGTTTCCTTCTTACTTTTCCCAACTAGGTCTTCAAGGTTTTGCTTTGTTCTTGAAAGAACTTTTGTTCAGGAGGTTGAGATTTTTTTTTCTGTTCAAAAAAACAAGTTTACAAAACCTTTACTTGGGTGGGGGAAAAATAATAAAAGGAATAGAATAGCCCAGGCTGGAGTTTAAGGGCCTGAGAACTTCTAACCATCTTTTTTTTGCCAGAACAAAAAACAAACAAGCTGCATTTCCAAAGCTCTCATTTTGGGAGGAAAACAGCCCATCCACTGCGTTAGCAGAGAGACACACACACACACACCACTGTTTATAGATCAGATAAGTGTTGGGCACAATTTTTTATCCTCTTGAAAAATCTGCCCAGTGTTCAGGAAGTAAGATTTTCCAGCCGGGAAACTGAGCAAAATGAAGGAAGAAAATTAGATGAACCACCAAACCAGAATTTAGAAGTGTCTTTGCAGACTCTTGCTTCTGAATAGACCTCTGCAGAGCTGTGCTAAAGCAGAGGTGCTGGAATAAAAGAATTTCTTCCCCATCCAATTCTGTCATTGTAGGTACTTCAAATTTTGCAGCAGGGAAAATATACTTGGTTGGAAATACAACTGTTGTTCAGTGAGAACTCAAATATTTTGTATAGTACAAGTAGGGTTTTTAATTCTGTCTTATGTCTGGTCTTCTTATTTTTCTCTAATTTTTATATTCTGATACAGCCTTGTGGCTAGCCAGTAAAGCACTACTTGTACTCCTCGACTTATAACCATTCATTTAGCGACCGAAGTCACAACGGCACTGAAAAAAGTTACTTAGGACCGTTTTTCACACTTACGGCTGTTGCAGCATTCCCCCAGGGTCACGTGACCAAAATTCAGACGCTTGGTTCATCTTTACGACCATTGCAGTGTCACGTGATCCCCTTTTGCGGCCTTCTGACAAGCAACGTCAGTGGGGAAGCCAGATTCACTTAACAACCCTGTTACTAGCTTGACAACTGCAGTGACTCACTTAACAACTATGGCAAGAAAGGTAGAGGATTTCCTGTATTAATGGAATGAATCTTCAAACTATCCAGACTTCGAATTGAGTAGAAAAGGCTTTTCGGCGCCCTTTCAGTGTAACACCAATGTAACAGAGACTTTTTCAGTGGCTCTCTTTTGACCTTGAAAATCAAAAATCTCCTCCTGAGGATTTTTCTCACTTGCCTGAAGTTGTTTGTTCCGAAAGATGAAACTGGGTCATAAAAGGAACATGTTGTTTCCTGCAGTCACAAGTTTAAATAAATAAGGCTGGCCTAGCCAAACATGTCAGCTGATTTAAACTGCACCTTTTTTTTTTTTGCAGTTTTCTTTGCTTCCCTTGTCTTCCGAAGTACAGCTTCTGAATTTTGAAAGCTGTGATTTATTGCACGGGATGTGTAAAGCTTTATACAGGGGTGGGTGGTGTAGGAAAGCTTGCAGTCCCTTTGCTAAAAAAAAAAAAAAAAAAAGCAGCACAGATCTTGTTTTTGCTGAATGCGGGTTTATGATCCTAGAGGGGTTTGCTTTCATTCTTCCCGTCTTCATCCCTGAGGGGAAAAACGAGAAATGAAATGAATAATCCGCGCAGGAAAAAAGTCAAACCCTAAGCTAATGAATGCTTCCTAACTCTTGTTATCTCGTGGTTCTGCATCAATAAGAGCAGATTAAGGCTGGCTGACTCCTATACAGGTAGTCCTTAGCGTACGACTATAATGGACACAGCAGAGACTTCAGCAATGCTCCTTGATTGGTGTGGAATATAACAATAGAATCTTGTCTAGGTTTCCGTCTGTCCCATCTTATACTAAATAAAATCAAGGCAGAGTGACACTGAGTTTCTTTCTGACCCTTCCTTCAAACTCTGGGCTGTGTCATCTTTGCTACAATTTCTCTTTAACAGTTTGCTCTTTCATTTCTGAACGTAAGCTCTACATTTAACAAAAAAAAAACCCCAAACCCCTGTGCATCTAAAATGCAGCGGGAACTTAAATTTCCATAGGCTAGTCCGTCCTCTTTTGTTCAACTGTCTCGCATTTGCAGCGTCCCTGGCTCCCTTGGAATCTGCCTTGCCTCCGTTCAATTATATATATTTTTCAGGATTTTTTAATTAAACACAATTAAGCCAAACAGGAAACCGGCCCAGCTGCAGACAAAGCATCCCCCTTGGCCTTACAGTTTCGATTCCAAGAAAGTCTTGAGTTCCTTATAAGGTCTTCTTGGAGAAGAAAAAAACAATGGATGATTCAGTCCAGCTTGTGGTTGGTTGGGAACAGAAAGGTCCAAGATGGAGGGATTCAGAACATCTGATGAGTCAGAAAGACCTTGGGCATCTTTGGTTCTTTATTTTTTATGCGGATCTAACATGGAGGTGATTGCAATGTTCTCCCAGCTCTTAAAGTCAAAACAGTCTCTCTTATGTCCGTGATGGCACCTTCTGCCTTCCTGCCATCCTTCAGATGTATCTGCCCTCAACCACCAGGAGACACTTGTGGGGGTCTCTCACGGGAACAAGTCCTGGTGGGCAAGAGCTTCTCCAGGATGGGAAGGGGCTTTTGAGCTTGGTCGTTGGCTCTGCCCTTGTTTCTGCTTTGCTAAAACATCTGAAGAACGGTTGCAGGAACTGGGTATGTCTAATCTAGAGAAAAGAAGGATTAGGGGTGACCAAAGGGCAGTGTTTCAGTATCTGAGGGGCTGCCACCAAGAAGAGGGGGATTACCTGTACTTTATGCCATAAGCGAAATAAATAATGAATAACAGGATTCAGGACGCTTTGAAGGCCAAGCAGCACTTCCTTACGTTGGCCGCATCTGCTGAGAGTTTTTTTCTCTCTTTTCAGGTGAGCCATGATTCCTGTCACGGAGTTGCGCTACTTTGCCGACACCCAGCCGGCGTACCGTATCCTGAAGCCCTGGTGGGATGTCTTTACGGACTACATCTCCATCGTGATGCTAATGATCGCAGTATTTGGTGGGACCCTCCAGGTCACCCAGGACAAAATGATCTGCTTGCCTTGCAAATGGGTTACCAAAGATGCTTGCAACGATTCTTCCCGCGAATGGACGGTGGGAAGCGTGGACTCCAGTTACTATAATGCTTCTCTGGGGCCATCTGTGGAGCCTGGGCCCACCGGGATCAAATATGAACTTGACCGTCACCAATATAACTATGTGGACGCCGTGTGTTACGAAAACCGCCTTCACTGGTTTGCCAAATATTTCCCCTACCTCGTCCTGCTGCACACCCTCATCTTCCTGGCTTGTAGCAACTTCTGGTTCAAGTTCCCCAGGACCAGCTCCAAGCTGGAGCACTTTGTCTCCATCCTCTTAAAATGTTTCGACTCTCCCTGGACCACGCGGGCTCTGTCCGAGACGGTGGTGGAGGAAAGCGATCCGAAGCCAGCCTTTGGGAAGATGAACGGCTCTATGGAGAAGAAGTCTTCCAACGTCAGTGAAGATGTGGAAGCCACCGCCCCAATGCTGCAGAGGACCAAGTCTCGGATTGAGCAAGGGATCGTGGACCGCACAGAGAACGGCGTCCTGGACAAGAAGGAAGGGGAGCAGGCCAAAGCTCTCTTTGAGAAGGTCAAGAAGTTCCGGACCCACGTGGAAGAAGGAGACATTGTCTACCGCCTCTACATGAGGCAAACCATCATCAAGGTCATCAAATTCATCCTCATCATTTGCTACACGGTCTACTACGTCAACAACATAACCTTCGACATTGACTGCAAAGTGGACATCGAGAGTCTGACCGGCTACCGCATGTATCGCTGCGCTCACCCCCTGGCGACCCTCTTCAAGATCTTAGCATCCTTCTACATCAGCCTGGTGGTCCTCTACGGCCTGATCTGCATGTACACCCTGTGGTGGATGCTCCGGAGATCCCTCAAGAAGTACTCCTTTGAGTCCATCCGAGAGGAGAGCAGCTACAGTGACATTCCCGACGTCAAGAACGACTTTGCCTTCATGCTCCACCTGATTGACCAGTACGACCCTCTCTATTCCAAGCGCTTTGCGGTCTTCCTGTCAGAGGTGAGCGAGAACAAGCTCCGGCAGTTGAACCTGAACAACGAATGGACCTTGGAGAAGCTGCGCCAAAGGATCACCAAGAACTCCCAGGAGAAGCTGGAGCTGCACCTTTTCATGCTCAGCGGCATCCCCGACACGGTCTTCGACCTGGTGGAACTGGAGGTCTTAAAACTGGAGCTCATTCCCGACGTCACCATCCCGCCCAGTATCGCCCAGCTCACGGGCCTCAAGGAACTGTGGCTGTACCATACGGCGGCCAAAATTGAGGCCCCGGCTCTGGCCTTCTTGAGGGAGAACCTGAAATCCTTGCACATCAAGTTCACGGACATCAAGGAGATTCCGTTGTGGATTTACAGCCTGAAGACGCTGGAAGAGCTTCACCTCACGGGGAACTTGAGTGCCGAAAACAACCGGTACATCGTGATCGACGGTCTGCGGGAGCTGAAGAGGCTCAAAGTGTTGAGGCTGAAGAGCAACCTGACCAAGCTGCCCCAGGTGGTGACGGACGTGGGGGTCCATCTCCAGAAGCTGTCCATCAACAACGAGGGCACCAAGCTCATGGTCCTCAACAGCCTGAAGAAGATGGTCAACTTGACGGAACTGGAACTCATCCGCTGCGACCTGGAGCGCATCCCTCACTCCATCTTCAGCCTCCACAACCTGCAGGAGATCGACCTCAAGGACAACAACCTCAAGACCATCGAGGAGATCATCAGCTTCCAGCACCTCCATCGCCTCACTTGCCTTAAACTCTGGTACAACCAAATTGCCTACATCCCCGTGCAGATCGGCAACCTCACCAACCTGGAGCGCCTTTACCTGAACCGGAACAAGATCGAGAAGATCCCCACCCAGCTCTTCTTCTGCCGGAAACTTCGCTACCTGGATCTCAGCCACAACCTGTTGACTTGCATACCAGCGGAAATCGGAGCGTTGCAGAATTTGCAGAACCTGGCGGTGACAGCCAACAGGGTAAGGAAAGGGGAGACCGGGGGGGGGGCGCTTTGCAGTAAAATCCTACTTGGGTTTTGCAGTTAAGAACCTAGAATAATCCTGCATCCAGATTTGATCACCGCAGTATAAAGAAAGACGCCGAGACTCTGGAAAAAGGGCAGAGAAGAGCAACAGAGACAGTGAGGGGGCTGGAGGCTAAAACATACAAAGAACAGTCACAAGAATTGGGTAGGTCCAGTCTAGAGAAAAGGAGGGCCAGGGGAGACAGGATAGCAGTCTTCCAACATCTGAGGAGTCGCCACAAGAAAGAGGAGTGGGTCAGCCTATCCTCCAAAGCACCAGAAGGCAGGACAAGAAGCAACACATGGAAAGTAATCCAGGAGAGATCCAGCCTAGAACTAAGGAGAAATTTCCTGGTGATTAGAATAATTGATCAGTGGAAGAGCTTCCCTTCAGAAGTTGTCACAACCGCATTATCTGCTTTTTCATACCGCTGTGGCCTCTTTGTCCGTTTTTAAACTCTCTTGCTTCCTGAAATGCATCTTTGGAAAAGGAAATAACATGCTTTATTTGAAATATATAAAATATAACATATTTATTTTACATTCTTTTTACTTTATGAAAATCTCGTACTTGCCCTTTTCTGGTCCCATAAAAATCCAGTGTTTCCTTGATAGGTAAAAACTTACTTTTTCTGCAGCTATCTATACTTCTGACCCCAAAACCCCCAACCACTTTCCCTTAAGATTTATACTATTAAGTTTGTCTCTGAGCTCCCTGTGCTTAGATAATGTGTTTTTACTAACACATTAGGAGATGCAATGAGGCTTTTTACAGACAGCTATAAAAAAAACTTCGTAGAAGATCCCAAAAGTAATACAGGGCTCTCGTTTCGGGCTTGACAATTATACGAGCTGAAATAACACAGCTCTGTGTACCTTTTGGGCTCTGTTTACTTGTTCAGAGCTTAAAATAAAGAGAGAATGGGACAAAGCTACACACAGCCATGAACTGGCCATTTTATCAAACCTGTTGCTGCAAAAATAAATAAGATTTTCGCATGATTAAAGTGGATTTATCAGAGAACAGCCTCGCTAGAAGCCTTTTGAATGAAAAGGCTTGTAAAGATTAAAAAAGAAATCTTGTTATTTTATGCAGCAGGGCCGGATTAAATTTGATCCAGGAATTTTTTGTGTTTGTATTTTTAACTATTATGAGATAACTCTCGTTTCGTAGAGACTCTGTGCCCGTTTCAGGCCACCATTAACAAAACTATGACCATTGACAATTATTAATCATTAAGTTATTATCATTATTCAGTTGATAATTTTAATGATTATATTTATTGTTTATTATGGTGATCCATCAGCCTTTTGTCTGGAATGACATAGGGTTTTATTGCAAGGGGTTGGTCTAGAAGACCTCCGGAGATCCCTTCTAACTCTGTTATCCTGTTAAAAATCTGTATTTGGCAAGCATGCTTTAACATTGCAGTGACAAGCAAAATCAAAGGGGAAGTCAGATTCATTTAATAACCCTGTTACTAACTTAGCGACTGCAGTGACTCAGTTAACAACTGAGGCAAGAAAGGTCATAAAACGGGGCAAAATTCACTTAACTGCCTTGCTTACAGCAAAAATTGGGGGCTCACTTGCGGCCGTAAGTCAAGGACTGCCTGTGCCTTTATCAAGGGCCAAGGCCAGCTCCTTCCTGGGTACAAAACCCTCCACAAAATCACCCCTTTAAAAAAAACCTTGATTCTGTTTCAAAAGACAGGGCAGTATTGCCCATGATGTCAGTGCAATTTCCAAAATGTTAATTTTGTTCTTTTGCTCTTTGTGAAAAGAAAAGCGGAGGAACACTGGCTGCTGGATGTTTGTTCTCTTGCCACTGAGCAAAGGGTCTCATTTCTTTCTCCCCCCCCCTTTTCGTTTCCCCAGTTCTGGGCAGGGCTCCAGTTCTCATGAGGCTGAGGGGAGGTGGTCTTTTGTTAACGGAGAGGGCTTCCTTTTTGCTTTTGAAAGGAAGAGTTTAAAGTTCCAGTTCTTTCCCCTGCCAATTGGTTTCTCTAATTTCGCAATCGCAGGCTGTGTTGGAACTGGCAATCCAACTGGGTGTGTGCGTGTGTGTGTGTGTGTGTGTGTGTGCGTGCGTGCACCGGGTTGGGGAACCCTGGTTGGGAAAGTCCTTTTAAAACCACGTGTTGGGACACTGGCGTGTTAGGTACAATCTGTGGGGGTCCTTGGCGCTCTCTGAGCTTGGTGGCTTTCCTGAAGACGTTTCATGACCAACCTAGGTAACATCTCCCATACCTAGTTTTATTATTTTTACAAATAACTCAAGATAGGGAACATTTCCAACAAGCCTGCCTCCTCCCATTTTCCTTGCAACAACGACCTTGTGAGGTGAGCTGGGCTGAGAGACCGGTCGAAAGTCACCCAGCCGGCTTGCGTGCGTAAGGTGGGACTAGAATTCAGGGTCTCCCGCTTTCTAGTCTGTTGCCTTAATCACTGGATCAACCCAACAACTTTGTTGCTTCTTTTATTATTATGTTTATTCCGAGTGCTTCCCCTGAATGTTTTCAAGCCCAAACATTTGGAGCAAAAGAAAAATGTTTATTTTTTTAAAAAAAGGAAACCTTTGAAACTGAAACCTTGTAGTCAGCTTGCTTTATTTTCCACTCCCTGCCCTAAATCAGTTACCCTGATTTATGAACTCCGGATATTAAAATGCCTCGTGGACGTTTTTCTTTGCTTCTCCTTCAAATATCGTCACCCACCCACTTCCCTTCCTGGCTGTCTGCTTCTGCTGTTTTAAAAAGTTTGTAAAATCTGAGTTTTCACAGCAAACATTCTTTCCTTGCTGGACCGAGGGGCTTGCCTTAATTCTGGCCCTTTCTGTTGTTGTTTTTCTTCCGTTCAGAATTTAGCAAAATGCTGCTTGGGGAAAAAAAGCCAAGCTGGTAGTTAGCATCAGCATCATCCTCTGTGAAGTGGCTGTTCTGGCTCCCACAGACAATGTGTTGATCTTATTAGCTCTATGACAACAAAGCAGCAATAGATTAATTACAGGCCCTTTTGCCTCCCTAGAGGCTCTTCCTGTTTTCTGTGCTGGTTTGTTTGCTTGGAAACAATTTATTTTCCCTACCTTCCGGCCCCCGAGGCCACTTTTACCAGAGGATGGTGCCTCTCTCCCAAAAGAGGCAGAAATATCGGGTTTTCTTAGAAAACGGTTGCTTTCAATACTCAGATTTCTTAACAGCAAGTAAAAAAAATCTTCCAAGTGCAGGCAAAAGGATTCTTAAATCCAACAAATTTTGCATTCTGTGTATTTTTAACTGTTGCAAGCACAGGTAGACCACAGTTGAGCCCCAAATTTCTGTTGTTAAGTGAGTTTTGCCCCATTTTACCACCTTTCTTGCTATAGACTGCAGCTGTTAAGTCAACTTTGAGCCGGTCAGGATCGAACTGCTGGCAGCCGGCAGAGTCAGCTGGCAATGCTGCACTCTAACCACTGCGACACTAAGGCTCATACAGACTGGACAGCCAGTTGTCTGGAACGGTAGAGGCTCTCCTGCTTGAGCAGGCGGGTTGGACTAGAAGACCTCCAAGGTCCCTTCCCACTCTTGTTATCTTCTTATTCTGCTGTCCTGTAAAGTTTGCCCCCCCCTCCAGCTTAATCCTCCCTCGCTGCAAACGGGGATTTATTTTCGGCTTTGCCTCTTCTCCAAGCTGGGCCTGAGCGTCTCTCTCGCCTTCCCTCTTTTCTCGCTCCAGATTGAGGCTCTCCCCGCCGAGCTGTTCCAGTGCCGGAAAACAAGGACTTTGCACCTGGGCAACAATGTCCTGCAGTCGCTGCCTTCCCGGGTGGGCGAGCTGACCAACCTGTCTCAGATCGAACTGCGGGGCAACCGCCTGGAGTGCCTGCCGGTGGAGCTGGGCGATTGCCCCTTGCTGAAGCGCAGTGGGCTGGTGGTGGAGGAAGACCTCTTCAACACCCTGCCTTTGGAGGTCAAGGAGCGACTGTGGCGGGCGGACAAAGAGCAGGCTTGAACCCGTTGCCGAGGAGGAGGAGGAGGAAGCAGCAGATGCCGCTGAGCTGGGGAGCTGCAGCCTGGCCCTTTTCCTGCCTTTGACCCCGCTTCCCTGGCCCCCTGCTCTGGAGACCTTCACCCAGGGGCCAGGGCTCCCTGACTGACAGCCAAGAAGGATCAGGAGTGGCTGGGAATGAGACCGTTTCTCTGCTTCAGGAAGGAGAGGAAAAGCAGGACAAACTCTGGGGAAGGGATTGTGACTCGGCCCGTCGCTCTCAGTGGGGAAGGACGTGGGAACTGGTCCCCCGAGGCTGAGGCTGGCACGCTCGGAGGAATTTCCCACCGCTGTGTGTTGGGGCAGAGAGCCTGGCCCTGCGGCTGTGTTGAGTGGTCCCGTCCTTGAGTGCTTCGCCCCATCCGAAGGGGAGAATGGCGTCCACCTCTCCAGCCACGCATTGCGCCAAATCCAGTCCTACTCCCAGCGATGAGGCTCAGATCCTCTCCGAGAAGTGGATCAGAGAAGATGCAGCCTTTTTTTTTCCACCCAATGGTGGCATTTTTTTTTTAAATTGTACTTTACTTTAGAACCCTATTTGCAAAAGTCTGACCTAAACCCCCTTTGTCCTGGAGTTTCTCCCCAAACTTGAGGTTCCCCAAATCGTGATGGCAGAAATCACTCGTGTGTGTGAGATCGAAGAATTTCCACATGAAGGATGCCAGTCTGTATTTTTCCATTTAAAAAAGTCTTAGCAGTTGTAAAAAAAAAAACAGCGTTAGGCAGGCAGGGGAAATTGTTAATTTTTAAACTGACATTGGACATTCCTTATAGGACTTAACACACATGGCTGCAGTTGGGAAATGCCCGTTCAAGGGGAACGGGGGCACTGACGATAACACTAAAAAGAACCTTTAACGTACCCAGTAGTTTTTTTTTTTAATCTGCTACCAGCATCTTTCCAGGAGACTAAGACTCCATCAGTATTCCCTTTACAGTTTTTCTTTTAAAATAACAGCTGGTCTGTTTTTCGCTCTTTTCGTTTTTGAAGCCTCAGTTGTCCAAAGAGACACGATTTCGCCTCCATTGTCCGGTTTGACGCAGCACCAAACGGGTCGATTCCCTCCCAAGTTTCGAAAAGGCGTGGCCGAAAAGGCAGAGCAGGGGTTAGGGGTTTTTGCCAGGGGAGGGGGCCGGGCGCATTTCTTTGCAAGGAAGACAGGAGTCGAATTTGCACTAGTGAAAAGGGGTTTTTTTTTACCCTCCACAAGTGGCCTAAACTTTCCACCCTGTTTGCATTTCCACCTGCCAGGTGAGCAAGGAATTAAGTTCCCAAAGTTCTCAGCCAGGATGGAGTCACAGTGTCCCCTATTCAGAAGGACTGGGACTTACTGAGTCTGCCGTTCCCAAAAATATACACACTATATATACATACATTAAAACTAAAATATCGTATCTGGAAGAGAGTTGCTCCCTTCAGTCGAAATGAATTGCACAGGCTTCGATCTGTGAAGAAGGGTAGAGCAGCCAAAGCTGGTTGCCATCTCTTCGGGCACCCCTGCCACTGGAAGGTTGGTCTTGGCTGATCTCGAAGAGGTGGGGGACCTCTCTTTTTTTTCCCCTTCTTCCCTTTTCCAGCAGTCAACGGGACAAGCTTCCCTGCTGCCTCCGTCCGCCGTATCAGGAAGGATTTCTGCAGGCTGGCAACGCTACCAACATCCAGAGCGAAGTGACCCAGGCACCGGCATTGTTCGTATTTAAAATAAAGCTACTTGGAAATCCTCAAGAAACGTCGGGTCTCTGGTCTGCTTTAAACCACGATCGTAGAAAAACGGGGTGGGAACCACAGATTTCTCTGATGTTCTTAACTCTGGTTAAGAAGCCACAACCAAGACAGCTGTCAGAGAAAGGGAATCTGAGTCTGGGCCAAAACCGTAACTCGAGAAAGCGTCTCAAACAAGACTCCCCCTAGTATCTAACGGCAGACGGGGACGGGAGGGGGGAAGCACATTCAGACTTGCAAGCTTCTGCCACTGTAGCCTTATAATAAAAGCAGCATTTGCATGCATGACTCTGGTTTCCTAGTTTGGACTTCCTTGGGGAGACTAAGGAGGAGTGAATTGAAAAAAAAAATAGTAACAGAAAAGTTGTTAATTGGAGAGAGAAAAACTGGCGGAGCGACTTTCCCACGCTCCCGGCCCTTTCTCCCTCTCTTTGGAATGTGGAGAAACAAGTCCCAGCTTCTCCCGTCTTCACGCTGGTTCTGCCCTCTTTCACCTTCTCCTTTCCACCGCCAGCTGACTGGAAGAGCCTCAGCCAGGTGACCGGCTGACCAGTATCGGCTTTCTGCAGAGATGCTCTTAAGGTAATTGCGCTTTGGAGAAACGGACGAGGTCAACGTGATCTCGCCTTTCTCTCTTTCCAAGATCTGGTGCTCCGGGCTCTGCGGGGAATACTGGCAATCAGACAACCAACCGGCAGCTGCCTGGGGAGCACCCAAGGATGGCCGAGAAGGGTCTTGGGTGATGCTGCACTCTAGCTCTCATCATCCCCAGCCACGTAATAGTTTTCCTGGGCTCGCAAGCTTACTGGGGGTGGGTGGGTTTTTTGGCCTAAATTTAGGGGTGTCCAAGAAACGGGAAAATCTGAGCAGTTGCCCCAGAGCTTGCTGTATAATTCCCTGAATGTAAGTGGAGGGAGGGGGGAGCTTAAATTTGGTTTTCAGGCGGCCCTAAGGAAATCCCAAGGAGAACAAATTAAGCTCTGCCCCCTCCTCTTTTTTAAAAAAAATCTTAGGGGGATCAGAGCCAGTTTGGTGGTTAAGGCACCAAGCCAGAAACCGGGAGACTCTTGAGTTCTAGTATTGCCATAGGCATGAAAGCCAATCGGGTGACTTTGGGCCAATCACCAGGTGATGGTGAGTTCTAGTCCAGCCTTAGGCTTGAAAGCTGGCTGGGTGACTTTGGGCCAGTCCCTCCCTCTCAGCCCTGCCCACCTCACAGGACTGTTGTGGGGGAAATGGGAGGAGGGAGGAGGAATATTAGGCAGGTTATCTGCCTTGAGTTATTTATACAACTAATAAAAGTGGGCCATAAACGAATACAAGAAATAAATAAAATCAAATTATACATGGCTGGCTGGGGAATTCTGGGAGTTGAAGTACATGCATCTTAAACCTTCCAGGCTTGGGAAACTTAGCCCTAGGCTACGCTGCAGCAAGCGTGTTGTGACAAGAAAATCCTGCTTTGGTTCCCGGGCGGGCGCATTGTGTAGACCCTGGAGTGGAATTAATTCTGTAACCCGGAACCGTAACTCACTCTGGGGAATTTTCCAAGGTTTCTGCAATCTGCAAACGGTGTTTTGCAACCGGTGAATAAGGAAATGAACACCGTTAAAATCTGCAGGCCGTTTAGGAGATGGGACAAATGTCCGAAGCCAAAGTCCACTGCAGCGGCCTCCAGAGTCAGCTGGGGTCATGCCTGCCTTTGTCCTTTGCAGCTGATCACATGATGATGAACTGACCAGCCCAACTTAGCAGGGGAAGATTGATCCCTGGACATGGAGCAAACTGGACACAGGCAGCACCTGTTCCTTTAATAAGTGACGCGTTTAGCGTCAATGACAGCCATCAGCCAAGAGACCCTCTCTAAGGTAAGAGGAGAAGGGAGCAGAGAAACAAAACTCAGCAAGAATTTTATTTCTTTATTAACGAAAGAGATCGATGTGGCCGCCCAGTTCACACACAGCAGAGACTGAGTCATTTCCAGTTCTCTGAAGAAAAATTAATAAAATTTTGATTTTGCAGCCCTGGGGGGCCAGCAACGTTTTGTTGGAAGTGATTTTGCTAAAATTGTAGACCTTAAATAAAAAGGCAGAAAAGAGTTTCTAGAAATTGATAGTCAATAAAAATGGATGCCGATAGTAAGACCATAAGAAGAAGAAGGAATCAGTTAAAATACTAAATACTTTTAAATATCTGAAGGTGGTTGTCTAATTTCATCATGCACTGTATCTTTAAAATGTCTTAATGAATATAATAAGTACTAAAATATTGTTTTAATACACAACTCAAGTTTTAAAAGTTGATTCGAATATATACAAGGAAATCCTACTGATCGCAGGATTTCCCCCCCCCCAATTCTTTGCTAAGATTACAAACCATTTCTACTGATTTTTTAAACACGACTTGCGGTTATCTCTGCAGCTTCTCCCTTTCTCCTTAAGTCTCAAATCTGGTAGAGATAATCTGATTAGTTTCTATAAAGGGCAACCCACCAGCTCTTTAAATAAAAACAAGGTGTCATTAGCTTCCTAGCAAGATTTTTTTTTTCAAATAAATTCTATGATAAATACAGGAAGCTGCCAACCCTACGACCTCAGTTAAGCCCAAAATTTATGTTGCTAAGTAGGATGTTTGTTAAGTGAGATTTGCCCCGTCGCTCTCTTTGGAGCCTCTTATTCTATCTTCTTTGACCAAGTTCATGACTCATCAGCATCAGAGAACAAGGAGAGGCTTTTCCAGTAGGATCAAACTCAACAGTCAACCTAAACCACTTGGGAATGTCAGCTTGGGACTGGGTTGATCTTCCATACTGTCCAGCTGTCTGAAGATATTCCCAGGTGTCTAATGCTGTGCAGGCCTGGGCAATTCTGGGAATTAGGTCCACAGACCTTCAACTAATCAAAGTTGAGGGATGGCGGTCTACATATCGTCTTCAACTTGTTCTGTAGTTCCACCAGGAGGGCTTCTTGGTCCTCAAACGGTTCTTCAGCCTAGAGGAATGCAATGCCATGAGGGCCCAGATCCGAAAGATAGTCGCATCTATGGACGTGCCGGCCCACTGCCGCACGGAGTTTTCAACCCAGGAGTCAGAACAGCTCCAGGCACAGGTGGGCAATGTCAGGAGGTGCTTTTCAGTTCTTGCTTAAAGGACTTTGTGGATAAATGCAGAGAAGTGATAAAATTGGGTAAGTCATAGAGGTGACCTACTTTACAGCCCATATTGATATTTTAATCTGGTTTCTGACAGGGGTCTGCCGAATATTTCCTCAACAGTGGAGACAAAATCAGATTCTTTTTCGAAAAAGGTGTTTTTGATGAAAAAGGTACGGTTTTCCCCAAAGCATCTTGACGCTCCCGTTTTATCCAATCTCGTCTTAAACCCAGCCCTTTTCATTTGCAGGGGACTTTCTCGTTGCAAAGGAGAAATCGGTCAACAAAATTGGTCACGGTAAATAAAGGGCTACCGGGGGATCCATTTCCCTAAGAAATAATTAATGCAAGTTGGAAAAAAAGGGAGGGACTGGATGAAAGTGTAGAGTGTAGTCCTTGACTTATAACGGTTTGTTTAGTGACCGTTCTAAGTTACAACGGCACTGAAAAAAATGACTTTTGACCGTTTTTCACTCTTAAGACGGTTGCAGCATCCCCAGGGTCACGTGATCAAAATCCAGACACTGGCTCACCTTTAAGTCAGCCGCAGTGTCCCTTTTGGGAAGCAAAGCCAATGGGGAAGCCAGATTCACTTAACGGCCGTGTTAGTAACTTAACAACTGAAGCAATTCACTTAACAACCGTGGCAAGAAAGGTCGTAAAATGGGGCAAAACTCACCTAATAATATGATTATTTCTAGCACTGCATGCCTACGATCCGGTCTTCAAGCAAATGACCCACGCAGTCAAGGTGCAGGTGAGTTGAGTGCTGGCCAACCCTGCAGGGCTGTCGTAGAAAATTGACTGGCATTAGCTCTGCCTTTCCTCATTCAATCCTTCACAACAGCCCTGCAGAGTAGGCCAAGAGACCTGCATAGATCCCACAGGGAGCTGCATGCTGGGATTGGTTTTAGTAAAAAAATGTTTTTATTCCAGTTGGCAATGAAATGGACCAAAAATGGGACCTAAATCTTGATTTAGAAGTTTTAGTTTGCATGCCACAAGCAAACTCAATGCCAAACCAGCCACACTGAGCTAAGAGCGAAGGGTAAATCCAGCTATTGGGGCTTTTACAAGGTGAAGTTTTTACTGCCATGATGGTTTAGTTAGCAAACTACAATGTTGAGAACCAACCTCTCAGTGAGAGGGGAAAAGTGCTTTTAACTCTGCTTTAACTGGTAAAATGTTGGAGGAAGTATGTTCTCAGGCTGCAAGGGAAAAGGGCAGAAAATTAAGATTTTTTTTTTTAATTTGGGGATATTCTGCAGGCTTTGGCAAGAAATTTGGGTCTGGAAAATCCTGTGGTGGTGCAAAGCATGTACATCTTCAAGGTAAGCAGCATTTTTAAATATATATAGTTGGGGAATTCATAGGTTATGGGTGGAAGGCTCCTCAGAGGCCATCTAGTCCAACCCCTGCCTGCTGCAGGAACCCACAACTTAGAATCCCAGAACAGGCTTGGAAGGGATCCATATAGTCTAACTCCTTCCCCAAACCAGAAACCCATTATTACTACAATGGATGAATTAAAAAAATATATATCTTTTTTTTTCTCTTCTGGTTTAATAGTCTCCCCCCCCCCTCATTTTACAGCAACCGGGCATTGGTGGGGAAGGTGAGTTTCTTATTGTATGACCTTTCCTCTAACTTTTGATGTTGGACTGCAACTCCCATTGTCCCCTGCAGGAATGGGAGGCATCTGGGTGGCTTAGCCTTGGACAAAATGTCCGGCGATTAAAGGTCCACCCTCCTTTAAATCTCTCAAGGTGGCACTTTCATAAAAATCAGGATGTTTGTCACCCTGAAACAGCGTGGCTCAAGGACCCCAACACTGCCCTTATGCCTGGACTGTGTAGGAAAAATAGAAATGTTTGTGATTTAGGCTTCTCTGAAGCCAGCTTACGGGAGTTTGCAAACCATGATCTGCCAGGGGTGCAAACAAGCCAATTAGGCGGCTTCACGTATCTTCTCTGCTCCTCTCAGTGACCCCACACCAGGATGCGACTTTCTTGCACACAACCCCTTTGGGCAAAGTGATGGGCCTCTGGGTCGCTCTGGAAAACGCCACCCAAGAAAACGGCTGTTTGTGGTTCATTCCCGGCTCTCACACAAGTAAGACGTGAAGAAGGCCTGGCCGCATTCTGGCTTCTTCTTTGGTTCTGACTTCAGGACAAGGGGAGGGAGACTACTGGGGTAAACTGCCAAGAATTGCTGCGAGTCGGGTGGCATATCAATTCAAGAAATAAAATTAATGACATCCAAGGGAGCCCCTAAAGCTCAGCCTCCTGATCTGGTTTCCAGCTGGCATCACGCGGCAGATGGTCCGAACTCCCCCTGGGACGATTCCTTGCACCGATTTCGTGGGCACAGAGCGAACGTATGACGACTGCCAGTTTGTCCCTGTGCCAGCGGGCAAAGGTGGGCTGGCACCCCTGAAATATCTAAGTGGGCCGAGCCACAAGCCGGGGAGGGAAATTGGCTCTCTTCTCCTGGAAGGGGAAACGTAACTTGGGAGCCAGGACTGGGGCACATGGATAGGAGGGGTACCTAAAATTCCATCATTTAGATCAGGGGCCCCCCAAACTTGGCGACTTTAAGACTTGGGGAATTCTGGGAGTTGAAGTCCACAAGTCTTAAAGTCACCAAGTTTGGAGACCCTCTGGATTTAGACCAGTTTTAAATCGGGGCCTTTCCCTCCATTGAACGGAAGAAACCAAACCATTATAGGTGGTCCTCAAATTAAAAGCTCTGAAGTTGCAACGGCACTAAAAAAACGGACTTGTGACCATTTTTTCCCCCATTATGACCGTCGCAGCACCCCCAAGGTCACAGGATCGAAATCCGGATGCTTGGCAATTGGCTCCCATTTACGATAGTCGCAATGTCTTGGGGTCAAGTGATCCCTTTTTGCGATCTTCATGCAAGCGAAGTCAAGGGGGAAGCATCACTAACTTAACTGCAGTGAGCAAGAACAGTTGTAAGGTGGGGCAAAAATCCCTTAACTGCCTCGCTTAGCAACATAAACTTTGGGCTCATTTGTGGTCATAAGTTGAGGACGACCTGTTTTAGAGATCAGCTGGCACGACGCATCATCTTTGTTTCGTTTTTATTTGGAAAGTCCTTTGCAAATGGCTTGGAGATATTCTACAGAAGCCAAATAATGGAGTTGAGCTTGATGAGTGATGTCAATGACACATCCTGTCTTCTCCCCAAAAGGAGAATTAGCCACAATTTCTGGCTAACCTCCCACAAAGGCGCAACTCGGCCCCCATCCCTATTTTTGAACTCTTATCAGCCAAAATTGATGGGCAAAATTGGCCGAGTGCTGCCCCCTGCTGGGAAAAGCGTTTCCAATGACTAAATTGCTACCAACCTTGGAAGAACAGTGCTGAAAAAAGTGCCTTACAACTTGGTCCTCACGTTTATGACCACGGCCGTGTGATCTCACTCCTGGTGCTCAGCAACTGGCTTGCATTTATAGATGGTCCTCAACTTGCGATAGTAGTTGAAGTTGGAATGATAAATCATGAGTCACGGTCATATTTTTATCAGTGTCATTTTAATCTTTGAACTATTTTTTACTTGTTTTACAGTTTGTAAGAAGCCCAGAGACGGGCGGCATGATCCGGCCCAATGTTTTGACATTTTTTGTAGTATGGTGGTTCTTAAATGAACACTGCAGTCACTAAATGAACCCATTGTCCCCATGGACATTTTTTTGCTGAAAACTGAAAGTAAATGCTAGAATCCGGGGAAAAAAGTCACAAATTGTGTCCACACGACCATGGGATGTTGCGAACAGCCACAAAGGCAAACACCCAAAATGCAATTGTATCCCTGCAGGGGGCAGGTGTGGCAATTGTAGCTTCGAAAATGGGCGTGGGTGGCAACCTTGAATGGCCGTTAATCGGTCGTTAAATCAGGGACTACCTGTCAAACTCTCAGATGGTACGTCTCACTCTTTTTAATGGGGGATCAGGGGACCTAGTCCTCATCCACGGCGAGGTGGTGCACAAGAGTGAAGCGAACTATTCTGAAGAGTCCCGCGAGGCTTACACCTTCCACCTGATGGAGGACAAGGATGCTGTTTGGAGCGCCGAGAACTGGTAAGCGAAGGGAGACGGAGGGGAGGACCTTGTCCCAGGCAGGGTCTCTCTGCCAGGGCTTTCCTGTGCCCCAGCTGGCTCTCTAGCATGGGAGCTCAGAAGCCAGCCACGCTTTGCATGGAAAGTGCTTGAGATGAGAACCGTCCGTGAGTTGAAAAACACTCCCCTCCTATAAGCAAACCAAACCTGATGTGGTTTGCTTCCCTCAAGGAAGTCCAAATTATCAGAACAAGCGAGTGTGTCGTGCCTTCCAAACGTGGACATTGTGGTTTGTAGGTCCGGGTGGGATGCAAACTCGAGTCATCTCAAAACCATGACTGTAAGGCGCCCAGAGTCGCCTTGCGGCAAATAAATTTAATAAAACAAATTAAAAAAAATCTGTAGTTTATTGAGGGTCTGTGCAATGAGTGAATCTGGCAGATGTAGCTGGGCCCAGCCAGCCCCCAGCTGTTTTGGAATTCCAGCTCAGAATTCCATGCAGCACAGCTGGAATGGCTAGAATTTTCTAGTTCCCAACACAGCTGGAAGAAACCACTCTAGGAAAGGTGCCTATAGAACATTCTCAATATACAGGTAGCCCTCGACTTACAGCAATTCATTTAGTGATCATTTGGACTTACAACAGCATTGAAAAAAGAGAGTTATGACTGTTTTTCACAAATTGTAGTCTCCCCAGGGTCACGTGATCAAAATTTGGTCGCTTGACAACTGACTCGTATTTATGACGGTTACAGCAGTCCAGGGTTACATGATCCCCTTTTATGACCTTCTGTCAAACAAAGTCAATGGGAGAGCCGTTTAACAACTGTGGTGATTCACTTAACAACTGTGGCAAGAAAGGTGGTAAAATGGGGCAAAACTCGCTGAACAACCGTCTCACTTAGCCATGGAAATTTTTCCTTTGTTTGGGGTTAATTCACATTTTTTGGCTGATCCATTTAATGGTTTTTCTCACCCGTTTCAGGCTTCAACCAACTCTGGAGCTGCCTTTCCCATCGCTCTACACGTGCAACTAAATCCGCAGAATCTCTCTTTTGGGACCCCCACCCCTCTCGGGGAACCGGCGGGGGCTGATCTTCGGCTCTGCATCTGTAACTGGGGAATTTCATCTCTGAATCCGCTGAGTCTGCTCAGGAGAGCATGGGTGTGGAATTAAAGCATCAGTTCGTGACCAAGGAAAGTCGGACTGTTCTTGCTCAGCAATGATCCGGCACAGGGACGTTGTGACGGGAAAGGAGGCATGCAGGGAACAAGCACTGCTCCTGGCTTCTGAGAGGAGAGGCGAGTTAGAAATGCAATAAAATGTGGACTGGAATTCCAACTATTTTAAGTGCTGTGGATGAGACTTTTGTTAGAGTATCTGAGAGTTCAGAAGTGTGGAATAGATTTATATCTCACCCTTTTAGAATTATCTTTGATTTTTTTGTAATTTCCAGTTGGGGTTAGGAGAAGATGATCTAAGTTTGCAGTTTCAGCTAGCTGGAGAAAGATTCCCCCAAACCTTGCCTCTTCATGATGTTCAGGCTCTGCCGTCGTCTACAAGATCCTTGGAATAGATGGGACTGTGTTGGGTTCCATGCCTAAAGCAGGATTAGAACTCAGGGTCTGCTGGCTTCCCGTCCAGCCCTTTGACTGCTTGAGCAAACCCATCCTATAACTTGCTTTAAAAAAAACAACAAAGCAACTCCTTGGAGGATTGCCAGCCAGTTAGAAAATCCTTGTAGCGTATTATGCTGCAGGAGCCATCAAAAAAATAGACCACAAAGAACAGCCTCATTATATTTCAGCTTTAAATAGTGAATGTGCAATAATCACTTACAGGGATGAGCCGTGGTGTTCCTTTTTGCCACCCTGAGCCAAAGACACCAAAGAAACACCGTATGGGTGTATCTGCTTACGCTCCAGAGGAGAAACTTTACGCCCTTCAGGGGTACCTAAAGCATTAGCAGGATGTGGAGGTAGAGGGGCAATAGTAAATTGTCCACCTGGGTGGTGTAGGCTTCTAAAAACGACACCAGGCTAATCGAGAACAAGATCCAGGAGTAGCTGGCGTTCAGGTCCACAGAACTGTCAAAAATCACAATCAGGGCAACCGCAATAATTTGAGCAAATATAGCCGACATGGTTCCTTCAAAAGTTTTCTTGGTTCCCGGCCACTTGACTTCCCCCATCGTGCTCCCAAAGATAGAGGCCACTGAGTCCCCCACACCCACAGCCAGGACCCCAGAGTAGGGCGCCAAGGCTCCTGCCCCAGTCAAGGCACCCTTGGGGGCACACGGCCTCGGTGCCAGCCACACCGGGAAGGACATCCCAAGCAGGAGGTAGATGTGAGTTAAGATCAAAGGGCCGCTGTCCCGCTCGTCCAAGAACAGTGAGAGCAGCTGCCTGAGCGTCTGTCCGAAGGGCTTGATGGTGAAGTACCGGATGTATTCCAGCAGGATGAAGACGGCCAGGCAGATCACGGACGCTACGTACAGCAGCTGGCGGTCATAGATCAGCCCTGGGACATAAGTGGCCACCACGATGAAATGGAAGTACTTCCGGGTGACGGTTGAAGCTTGGTGTTTTTTAGAACCAGAGGACCGCTTGATGTTTTGATAGAGGACTATCGCACACGCCAGAGCAGCCAGGAGGGTCCAGTAGGAGAGCAGGTGGATTCTGATCTGGGTTTGGGAGAGCAGCTGGAAGAGCCACGTCAAGGGATTCCTGCGGATCAGACGGTAGAGCCACGGCATGACCACGCCAAGGCTCAGGACGGCTGTCATCATGTGGAAAAACATGGAGGAGGTCCAGGTGGTGGAATCCATGAAGAAAAACAGTAGCGCGAAGGAGAGGCCCAACAGGACCACTCCCACCATCACCACCAGGAGGAAGAAGTCCACGGGACTCCCTCGGTTCTCGCTGACGTTCAGAGAGCGCTTGATGAGCTGGTTGAGGACGAAACTGAGGCCGGCGAGGATCAGCAGGGCCTCCCCGGGGGTGAAGCACCGAGGCAACAGGTACAGCAGGATCATGCTGAGGTAGACAAAAATGAGCAGCACCTCCAGCACTTCGATCACTTCGGAGACGGTCAAGGAATGCTTCATGGTGTAGATGATCAGCGTCCCAGCAACCCCGGAGAGCACACAGGTATTGGTTGGCACGGGCTTGGTAATACCCAAGGCGATCACTGACAAGAAGAGGGTGATCATCATGCCGGTGGAGGCCACGATAATGCCCAGGCGTTCGAAGTACACAATGCCAGCCACTCGACATCTTTCCTTCATCACGATGCCCAACAGAGGGATAACCATGCAGGAAGGGAGGAGGCCGCTGTTGGCCGTGGTCCGGAACTGGAATACAGCCCCACCCAGTCGAAGAAGATGGTCCCACTTAAACTGGATGTAAAAAGCTTGGACGGCGAGGACAAGAGCGGACCACGAGAAGCGGTCCCAGACCACGCTGTGCACACAAAGCACGATGGCAAACACCACCAGTGATTCCACGAGAACTGGTTGTTTCCACATGGTGGCAGTCAGCTAGTTACGTCGCGCAAGGGAAGGATCTCCACAGCTGCCCAGGGCCTTCAAATGCAGGGACCTTCAGGGCTGATGATTCCTGTTTGGGTCATCCCTAGAAAAGAAAAGCCAAATCTTTTAAAGAAGCACATAGTGGCAATGATTCATCCCACATCACAAATGAGCTGTCTTAACAGCATTCCTTTAACAGAATACAGAGTTGGAAGGGACCTTGGAGGTCTTCTACTCCAGCCCCTGTTCAAGCAGGAGACCTTGTATCATTCTGGACCAATGGCTGACCAATCTCTTCTTAAAAACCTCCAATGTTGGAGGATCCACAAGTTCTGGAGGCAAGTCATTTCACTGATTGTTCTCTCAGGAAATTAACTCTGAATGGTCATTAAACAGCCAGTCGTAAGTCAAGGATTCCCTGTAGGCAAAAAATACCGGTGCAGCAAGGGTTATGGGGCCAGCAGAGGCCATCTGTCTGCTCCTCTACCTACGCCTGCTCTTAGAAATGAGCTTTGCAGATTGCATCATTGTTATTGTTTGTCGTTCTTCTTTGCCTCTGATCTGTGTTTTTAGCGGTATTTTTAGCAACGCAGGCTCCTTAGTCTAACAGCTAGAGCCGCTGTATGTGAAAAACGGTCACTAGTCACTTTTTTTTCAGTAACTTTTCAACGGTCAACTGTTGTAAGTCGAAGACTACCTGGGATCTGAAAGCAGAGGGTAGGATGCCGATGGACAAAACTGTCATCAATTGCTTATTCACCCCAAAAACGCCTCTTTCGGCATCCCCGCCCTCAGCAGGGAGGAATCGCTTCCCCGGATTGCTGTGGCTCTAACGGTCAGAGGCCTCCCTACCCACCTCAGGCGATACTTCTTTCGCACCCCTCCTCAAGTTGCGACTACTACCATCATCCTTGGAAAGCGCCGTCTTGGCCGCGGCCTATCCTGCGGGGCTGTTGTGAGGCAGATTCTACGGGGGGAGTGCACGCCATACACACACACACAAACATCGGGGCCTGAGGCTCCTGGAGCAAAGCCGCGCTACGATCTCATCCCGCCGCCCTTCAGCTCCGCCTCGTCGCCTCAGTCACTCGTTCACCTACCCGGGCACCGCCATCTTGCGGTGACGATGGCCGCGCGCTGCTGACGTCAGATGGCTGCCTAACGGTCGAGCGGGGAGGTCCAGTGCGCAAGCGCCACCCCGCCTCTCATTCCGCCGGCGGCCCCGCCCCCTTCCTCCTCGTGCGCTCGGCGGGCATGCGAGGTAGGCGGGCGGGGGGAGGGGGGAGGTCACGTGGGAGGGGAGGCAAGATGGCGGCCGGCGGGCTGTCTGCGAGGTAGGGGGCGGCGGGGTGCGTGCGGCGGTTGGCGGGACGGCGGAGGGGAGGGGGCGGCTGAGGGGGGAGCGAGGCCAGCCGGAGCCCCGAGTCTCGCCCGCTCGTCTCCCCCTGGAGCTTTGGGGTGAGAGTGTTGTGGGTTGGAGGGGAGGGGGGGACCCCAAGCAAAGCCCCCTCCATCTCCGGCCCTTATGGCTCCTCGTTTGAGGCAGCGTACTTTATTTATCGTTATTTATTTGAATGGATAAGCCGCCCAGGTCCAGCGGACTCCAAATTACATCTTCTTCCGCCTCCTTTTCCCTTCCAACAACAACCCTGTGAGGTGGGCCGGGCTCAAAGAGAGGGAAGGTGTGGCTTTGGTGCCTAAGGCAGGACTCGGACTTAGATCTTTGGGTTTCCAGTCCGGCTCCTTCTCCACTGTAATGGAATAACCCCTTCCCCCGGAAGGAAAGGAATAATTCCCATTTGAGTAGGAAGAGGCGGGAATTTTAAATATATTTACCATCTTGAGCTGCCCAAATAGATCTCCGTGTAGATCTCCCATCAGTTCTGCCAATAGATCCACGAAATGATCCCCTGATTTGAATTTGGGGTCTCTGAACTGATATTTCTGTGAAAAATATGGCAATTGGTTTCAGCTAAGTGGAAATATACGAGGGAATATATTAATCATGAACTTTTGTAAGTATATTAATGAGGTGTTACAGGAAAGGATAAGAATCTACATATAATTGAAACTTAGGGGTCACAATAGCTTAGAGAAAGCACAATAGAACCCCAAAATAGTTTGTAAAAATAACAAAAACATCTGGTTTAAAACTGTTACTTTTTACTGTATTCCTATGATAGAACCTCCCATTTTGCACCCAGGAAGTTTAACAGTATCTGAAACCATAGGCTCAAATGTGCATTTGCAAGCCTCTCGTTCACCGAATTTTTGACTTGCATTAAATGCAATCTGGTATCAATTTATAATTTGCAGTAAATTGAGTGTCGCATGATTTGAACACTAATTATGACCTACCTGTATGTTCAAAGAGGCAGGATGACATCATAATTGTTCTGGCTGTGCATTCTTTACACATTTGTGCTATTTGACGTCAGGGCTGGCTGTAAGCCGAGGGCTTATACCGGTCCAGTGTCTGCTGTGCTTCAATGGTTAGATGGCCTAGGCATTGGTATTTGCACGTATATCTTTTTAACATTTATATTTATTGTGTTTTATTAATCTAGAGGAAATGTTAATATATATCGCTAGTTCGTGTATGATACGCCATATGCTAAATAAATCATGTACGGTTCCCCTTGATGCTTCTCAAAGTTGACTCAGTGAAGTGTTCATCCCTGGACATGAGGAACTGTCCACTGGTTGTGTTGTGTTGATTCTGTGAGGTGGACTGGGCTGAGAGACAAGGACTGGCTCTGAATCCCCCAGCCTGGCTTTCATGTCCAAGGCAGAATTTGAACTCGAGTCTGGTTCTGGAGTCAGCATAATTGCTGACCCTATCGTACCATTCCAGAAAAGTGGCTGTCCAGTTTGGTAGGATTGCATAGAGAAATAGTTCCGTGAGCCTTTAAAATACTTTTTAAGGAAGGCATGTATTTTATTTTAAGGAGCAGCAGAGAACTGTGGACCATTCTTTTGGGAAGATCAGCTTTGAGAGAACCGGTAAGCAATGTTGGTTTAGGCTGTTTCCTTTGAAACCACTGTGGTTTGGTGTTAATAATATAGAGGGAGGCTTCTTTAAAAGAATCTCTGCTTGTGGACTTCAACGTCCAGAATTCCCCAGGCAGCATGTCCACAAGTCTTAAAGTTGCAAAGATTGTTCAACCAATTGTACAACACTGCTCCTTCCATCTATCTTGCTTTGCGAAACTAAGCAAGCAGCTTTTAAATTTGCAGTTTAGAGGAACCTCTAGATTCATCATCCTTTTGTCCTGATTTAGGCACAGATTGCAGAAGAGTTGAATAAACACTGGCAGAGATTGCTTGAAGGACTTCGTTACTACAGACCACCCAGGTACGGTAACCGGGTGCTGGATATCCAGCACAGTACTCAAGTTAGGAAAAGCTTGGAGAAACAGTGGGTTTTTCTGGTCATGAACGTGCTTCCTCCTTTTAGAAATTCATCTAGACTGAAATTTTAGCAGAAAAAACAGCAGCTAAAACATTTGTATTACCCTCCCCCTCGTCTTATTTAGATGAACTCTTAAGGCTTAAGAACTGGTTCTTAGGCTTGGTTAAAGAGATAAGCGGGCCCTCAAACTTGGTTTTCTCTGCATGTTCTTTCTGAATTTTGTCATGTGTGTGTTAAATCTGGATCCAACTTGCTGAAAAGGTGAGAATATTGGAGAATTACGGCTTTTGTCCTTGGCTCCCTGAGTGGTAACTAACATCTGGCTGTAACTGAAAACTGGATTCGAATTGCAAAGTTTTACTTATCCAATTATCCAATCCAAACAAATTAAACTGAATAACTATTTCTTTATGTGTAGCTCCAATTCAGCAGAAATAGTGAAAGCTGATAAAAACGTGCCTGCTTCATTGAAGGAACTGGGACTCCGAGTCAGCAAGTTTTTGGTAAATTCTTTCAAGTCGCTTTGCTTCTTTGCCTGTTTCAAGATGGGTGGGAGAAAATACCAGAACTGAAGAGAAATTGGTTTTCCCCAGTTTTAACTGTTTGAGTGAGGTTTGTTTCTGGGACTTTTGAAGTCTAATCGAGATGCTTTGCAGATTTTGGAAGCAGCACTGAAAATTAGGCTTTCTTCTGTTCTTCATTGGCCTTTCCCTCTCTCCCAAAATCATGTAATGTAGCTAAAAGTTTGTCTGCCGTTGCAGGGTTTGGATGAAGAGCAAAGCGTGCAGCTCTTACAGTGTTACCTTCAAGAGGATTATAGAGGGACTAGAGACTCGCTAAAGGTAGGTGACTTTGAGCCAGTCCCTCCTTCACAGTCCAACTCCCGTCATGGGGGGGGGGAAAGAGGAGGAAGCGATATTAGCTATGTTTACCTCTTTGACTTATTTATAAAAACAACAGATGGGATACAAACAAACAAAGGCATGCGTGCTCTGCATTCCTTGATGACTAGCTGAAATCTGGATGGGAACGTGCCTTTCTCGTTTGCACGTGTCTCTGGCCCAGCCTTGACTGTTTCGGACTGATTCCTTGCCTTCCTTTTTGTTTCTAGACCGTGCTGCAAGATGAGAGGCAGAGCCAAACCCTGCTACTAAAGGTGAGCCTCCCCTACATCCTGCAGGGAGCCCGGCCCCCCTCTTTTGTGGTTGTGGGGTGTGCCTGTGGAGTTGACTCCGTGCAGCAGAGGGGACTGAAGTTCCCAGCAGAAACAAAACCGCTCTAGACAAAGTCTTTCCTTTAACCAAAGTAGTCAGTCTTGCCCTCTCGGCGCCCAGGCGTCAAACAGCTACTCCTTGACTTGTTTAATGACCGTTCAAAGTAAATACGAAAATGCAAAGACAGCTGCTATGATAAAGACAACAAAATATCTTTACAGATTGCTGATTACTACTACGAGGAAAGATTTTGTATTCTTCGGTGTGTTCTTCACATCCTCACTTACTTCCAAGATGAGAGGCACCCTTACATGGTACGTATTGGCTTCCTTCCTTCTGATATTCTAGCATAATAAATCACTGTTAAAAAAAATGGCACGCAAGTACAAAATGGATGAAACTGTCTCTTAATTTTTATTTTATTTTTCTAACCTTGGTTTTGCCACAAAGGTCCCGTATTCGCAGTGTATGGAAAAACTGGATAAGGAACTGGTTCCTAATTATCGGAAGCAGTTTGAAGAGCTGTATAAAGCAGAAGTGCCTACATGGGAGACACATGGAAGTCTAATGGTATATTTTTTTCCCCACTGATACTTTCATAAATCCAACCTAGAATACTGAGGAGAAATTTCCTGACAGAACAATTAACCAGTGGAACAGCTTGCCTCCAGAAGTTTGGGTGCTCCATCCCTTTTAAGCAGGGGGTTGAGCTGAAAGGCCTCCAAGGTCCCTTCCAGCTCTGTTATTCTGTAATTCAGCTGGTCCCAGAAGGAAACATCCTTGTGAGAAAGAAGTCTTTTTGACCTATGTTAATGCTCACTCATTCACACAGTGGTTAGTGGTTCTATCAAGGAGTAATTGACCAGGAATTGCATGGGAGTGAAACAACTCCAGATTCTGAGAAGATGCAGAGGCAGATGAGGGAAATGGCCTTAAAAGCTGTGTACCATTTGTCCGTAATGGTATAGGCTTTCCTGCTTGAGCAGGAGGTTGGACTAAAACACGGGTCCTCAACCTTGGCCACTTTAAGACTTGTGGACTTCAACTCCCAGAATTCCTCAGCCAGCAAAGCTGGACTAGAAGGCCTCCGAGGTCCCTCCCACCATATGATTCTACATTCTGTGTTCTTGTTGTTTCCAGAAAGCCCCAGAAAAGCCAATGCTGCTTTTCCTTCTTTTCTCCCGTTACCAATGTGTGTGTTTAACCGCCTGCCACACCTGCTTTTTGCACGTAGACAGAGCGGCATGTCTCTCGCTGGTTTGTGCAGTGCCTCCGCGAACAATCCATGTTGCTGGAAATCATCTTCCTTTACTATGCCTACTTTGAGATGACCCCGGAGGAGCTGCTGACATTCGCCAAGCTGTTCAAGGAACAGGGGTTCGGCTCTCGGCAGACCAACAGGCACCTGGTTGATGAAAGCATGGATCCCCTGGTGGATCGGATTGGGTGAGTGAGTGCCACAGATCAT